CCTGTTATCTACTAGTAGTAGTATGTCAGCCTGCCCTGACTTATGCCACAAATCCAGCTGTCTTGACTTGCTAGATCGGAGTGTCAAATTCAGGTCTTGATGGCCGATGCCTCTTTTCCACTTTATGACTGCATGCAGGTGGTTGGCTCGCCTGTGGAATGTGGTGGTTGTCCCACGTGTCGAGGATGCTGTTATCTCCAGGGTAACAGCCAAGCGCTCTCCCTCCCAGCGACGGTCTCCTAGCAACAAGGGCTTGAGCCCAGGGCAAAGGGCCGTGGTCCGAGCAGCTCTCAGCATCCTCCTGAACAAGGCTGTGCTGCAGGGCTGCCCACTGGCCAGATCAGGTGCATTACCAATGCTCTAATATTCTGGGCTTCAGTACAAATTCTAACATCTTTGGCTTTTTGAACACGGTAACGTTTAACTGCAGTACCTGCAAAACGTCTTGATATATTTAAAATGTTTATCTTCCTTCTTTATTTCAGTTTAAAAGGCTTGGCTAAAAATTTTATCTAATGTTTGTGATCTGTAGTAGTTTGTGGACTATAGTAATGCATCATATTTTTTGTATGAATGTTTAGAGATGGATCGGCTCTTGCCAGAGTTCCGGGGTGGGTGTTTTCCACTCTCCTCCATTAGCTCCTCCTACAGAAAAGGTGGGAGAAAAGGGCGAGATAGTGGGGCATGGAGACGATCCAATACCAGTCCACGAAAAAAAGGAAGTCCTGCTTCTGGAAGATCCTCCAATAGCTCCTTACGAGAAGGTCAGCAAAGACCTATTATTTCAATAGAACATTATTTCTAATAGTTGCTATAAGGTATGGTTTATACTCAATTCTTGGCAAGTGACTGTATATAGTTCTTAAAACAGATGGGTGACAAATTAAAAGAAACCTCCATACATGTTCAAAAGAGTTGATATCTGGTGACTGCGAAGGCCACAGCATATGATTAATGATCATTTTCATACTCATCAAACTGTTTAGTGACCCCTCATGCCCTGTGCATGGGCGTGTTTCGTCCTGGAAAAGACCACCCCAATCAGAATGGAAATGTTACCTCATAGGATAAAGATGATTAACAACTATTGATTTGTAGTCATCATTTCTTTTAAGGGGACAAGTGGACCCAAACCATGCCAGCAGAATGCCCCCCACAACATAACATAACTCACTGTAGGGGTTGAGCATTTAGGCCTGTACTGATCTCTTAGTGCACGCCACACATGCACTCGCCCACTTGAAGAGAATATGGTGAAGAATGACTCATTTGACGGTGTTGCATTTCTCCAAACTGGAACACACTGGAACACTATAACGTTCCTCTCTATGTAAGCATGGATGGACTGTCTAATCACATCCTGCACTGACATTCTGAGTCACCTGAGGAACAGTTGCCCTTCTGTTTTCCTTACAAAATACACTAATGCATCATGGCCATTGAATGTGCACTTTTGACCCCAGTTTTCAACCTAAGTTACTGATGTCTTACCTAAATCTAAATGCAGATGTCACTTCAGTTGCTGTCTTAATGACACTATCCAATTGAGCATCTTTATGACTGAAGTTTTTGCCATCTGTGTCCTAATAATGATATTCGAATTTTTCCTCTTGCCATCTTGATCCAAAACTGAGGTCACCTAGGCTTGTTCAGTATTTTCTACATGCTGCAGAGCATGGTACGATGATATCTGCTTAAATGAATCATGTAGCACACCTGTCTGGAAGAATTTGCACTCGATATTTCTGCACTCCTTTTTTCAGGTTTTTCCTTTAATTTGTCACCTGTCTGTACTTCACCATACAATAATCTTGAGGGTGAGGGTAACACTATGCTGTCTTTTCACTCTTCAGGGTCTGTGGCCAATACAGACGTCCACTTAATGACAAATGTCAGTCATCCCAGGTTTGTTTTCTCAAACTGTGCATGTTGGCTGTACTGCCACCAGCAGAGGGCACCGTTAGTTCAGACACTTTCTTCCACATAAGTACTGCAGCATTTTGGGTTATTCAGTGATGGGCATAATGGGCCTGGCTGTTGTGTAACAGATCTCAGTGTGGTGTGTAGTGATGCTGATTGTTGAACGTGCTCCTTCAGGCTCAGCGATGGAGACTCGGTCGGTCTGTCTTTCTACTCTGATGATGAAAGCGATCTGATCAGGGAACTACAGACCATGTGCTCCAGCAAATCCGAGCCTGACATAAGCAAGGTAATCCAATCTTCCATTCTGTACAAGGTGTTATAAGTTTCTACATCTGTTTGTCCCAGTGAAACGATGCACTCACATTATACAAAAGCCTACAAGCATTTTTCAACAGCTCTGTTAGAAATGCAGTGTCTGTGGGTTTTGCTCAAAAACTATATTATCCCACCAGTTAACATCATGGAGGACTGATCTGAAATATTTACAGCATTGGTTCTAGAGCATTTAGTAAAAAGAGAAAACAGGGCTCCCGAGTGGCGCAACCGTCTAAGCGTTGGCCCTATTATCAGGAGATCGCGAGTTCGATCCCTGGTGATGCTACAGCCATCCGTAGCCGGGAGTCCGAGAGAGCACAATTGGCCTCGCTCTCTCTGGGTGGGTGGGATGGCCCCTCCTTCTCCCCCCATCACTCAGCGCGATGCTAGTCAGCGCAGGCGTCTGTTAGCTGACGTAACAGATCTGGCGGTTGGCGCTTTCCTCCGAGCGCGTTCGGCTGTCCAGTGACGTTGCGTGAAGAGAAAACAGGTTATTGTTCCACGTCAGACTTGGATTTGTAGACTCTCCATATCCGTTTATGGAATGTTCTTTTCCTCTTTCACCTGTGCTGCAGATTGCTTTGTCCCAGGAGGACTTCATCATGCTCCCTAGCTCAAGTCGACCTGCACCACAGAGGAAGGATGAGCAGGGCTACACTGGGCTCCAGTCGCAGGCCAACAGAACAGAGAGCGGTGTGGAGACGGCAAAGCCTCCACCACAGCAGGTAAAACCAGCCTCTAGAGCAGGAGTTCCAACTGCCTCAGCACTTCGGTTTAATGTCTTCACTGATTTAATTCACCTCATTGTTGTTACTGCTACTAACCAAGCTTGATTTCTATAGATGGGCATATAAACTATTTCTAAATGAACAATACTCAGATATCCCAGTGAGAATGTTTTACACTGGGAATTTATCTTTTTGTCTGAAATATTTCCACATATAGCTACACTTGGATGTTGCACGAGATGCAGCATCAGTTGCTTGGGACATGACTCTCTGCAGCTCTCCCGATTAAGTGAACAAATATTAAGATGATTGGAATAAATGTATATTGAAATGACTAGGCCCATTCCTGTTCTTGACTTCATTTTGGTGTCCTAGAGCAGCCTGCAGTGCTGCAACCCTCCAGGACCTGAATTTGACACTCCTGTTCTAGAAATTCAGTCTAGCACACAGAAACATTACAGACACCACTAAACCGATTTGGCTGTATCTGCTGTGAGGCAGCGCGCACACAATTCAGTTTGCAGTGATGTCTGTGAGAATAGCACATACATAGCACTGATTGAACTGATGAATTGTTCGCAGATTGACAGTAGCCATTCAGCAGGCAGCCACGCCTCCCCTCGGCGTGCAGCTAGGCCCAGGTCTCAGCTCCCAGTCCCCAGCAGCAGGGGGCTCCAGCAGGCACCCAGCAGCACCAACCAAAACACAACCCAAAGCACCACCATGAACAGCAGCAGCAGCCGTTTGTCCCAAACCCACAGAAACACCACGAGCAGAGCCCACATGAGCAGCAGAACGAGGCAGCCTCTACCCAACAACAGAAACAACCAATCAGAAGAAGACATCTGGATACTGAACTCCAACTCACATGAAAACTACAACAACCATGAATAGACCCTCCCCTCCCAGCCCTGTATACTTACTCTGTAAACTCCCTCCACATTGTGAAGTTATGTTACTGACAGCCTTTTAGTATTTATACATGTTGTCCATACTTGTCACACTATATTACCTTGTGTACTTGGGGACCATAGTTTTATTATATTTCACTGTTGAAGTATTGAGTTTGAAGCGAGTATCAGAGGAAGCAGCCAGCAAAGGCTAATAAAAGAAGCGCTTTGTCAGCTTTTGCCTTTTAGGTAAAAACATTGTGGATCAAAGAAAAAGCAGGCAAGTCTTTTTTGCTATTAAGTATTTTAAAACAAGTATTTTATGTTTTAAATAGTTGCAAGGTTGGTTTTAAATATTGTTGAAATTAATCAGGGTTTTACCAAATATGTGTAAATAAAAAAAATGGGAACTTAAATGTTATATAGACTAGTGTATGTGGTATTGAGCTTGTACATTGATGAACCTAAAAGAGAGAAAAAAAACTGTACATAGTGTTTGTAATATTAAAGTTTGGTTGATATTTTCACTTGTTTCAAAGTGAACTGAATGTGGCAATAAGTAAAGTCATTGAAAACACAGGTTACTTTCTTTTGTCTGTAAAGCCATAATGAGTAGTTTCAGTTCCCCTTAGAATTTGTGCGTCTTGCTCAAACTTTGACCCTGCCCACCCCTGAATATTAAGGCAGCACACATTTAATTTATGACTGATTGTTCTTCTGTAATAAACGCTTAGGATAATCAAGTATTATTTTAAACTCTCCATTGTTCATATGTACAGAAGAGATTATAGTTGACCATTTATGTTGAAATGTAAGTCGTCTGATGAGGTTCAGAGAATTGTCCTCTTTCCTCCCAGCACAATTAAAAATGCACTGTTACCCTAACCGTCAACTCAACCTTTGTTTTTTTTTTCCCAAAGCACCCCCTACATATGCTCCAGTGCTATTGACCTACATTGAAAATGATTTTGAATGAAAACTATGATAAACAAATAGGTCTGACAAGTAAGGTTTCCTAAACACTAGCCAGGTAGGGCAGAATATGCAGTCTCTGGGCTTGAGATTATGATCCAAGTACCTTTTGCTGTATCCATGTTTGGCTATAAGAACAAACATGAGGGAAAAGAGTTATATCAAAACTTACTCCTTGTTTACAGAAACACTGTTTATCTATTTACATCTAAGCAAAACAACATTTTTCATTCCATTTGTGCCTAATTTGTGCATAGTTCCATGAAATTCCTAAATAAAAAAATAAAAGGAACAAAGTACTCTTTCCATTTACGTGATTTACATCAGAGAAAAGCAATGTCATGGACACCAGTGGTCTTACATTGACTCAATAAGTTAAGAGGGAGATGAACATAAACATTTACTGAAACATGGTGAAGGACACAGAGGAATGACTCATAAAAATGTCTTTTTTTCCTTCAGCATCTGACCATCATTCCTACTCCCACTGTTTCCACTTCTAATAGTCTAGTACCTTAAGTTACTGCATATATAATTTACTGCATATATAAAAATGTTTGAATTGTCTTACTTGTCCATTGTACCATGATCGTGACCACATTTATAAGTCCTCCTTCAGAAAAAACACTTCTCAAAATATAAAGTGTTCCTATTGGACAGCATTGTCAGTAAGCTGGATTTTGTCCCTCACTGAGCTCATGTAAATAAAGTCTCTGTATGGTCTCTGTTGAGTGGGGCTCAGAGGCGAGTGTCCTGGATGTCATCCTCTGCCTCCTCCTGCAGGGTGAGTGTGACGGTGCTGAGTTTGGGCTGAGGAACATGCATGCTGGAGTTGCGACGGGGGAAGAGTTTGAGGCGTTCAGCTGGACTAATGGCCTGTTTCAGCTGACTGGTCTCATTCAGGAGTCTCTGGATGGACTCGTAGGTCTTCACTTTACCCTGCTCCATCATCTGTGACAAAGTAATAGATACATGTCAAACAGTGAGCTTCAGTATCACAATAATACTGCATTCAATTCAAACACTCTCAGATACCGCATTGCTGAATTACTGATATAATAGCAGTGATGCAGCAAACCAGACATGACTAGTCCACATTGGGTTTTAGTCATGGTCATTATACTGTAACAGGGACTTATCCAGTAGCCTGCTTTGTCATTTGTTTCTTATGCATTTACTTCAGTTTTAAACTGAAGAATATTTTTACTGGTACTCGGTATTAGCAGATACCTTGAGTTCAGATATTAGAATATGTATTAGAAGAGAAAAAGTGGAGTGATGCATGCTGGTATCATAGTTAATAATGTCATCATAAAATTATATACATATGTCATAACAGTGTTTTTATTCAGAAGCCTAGCAGAGTCTTGTGAATGAAAGTAATGAGAAAGAGCTTTACCAGGAAGCTCTGGCACTCAAGCAGTGGTTCCACCTTGTGTTCACACAGTAAGATGGTGCAGGTGGAGAAGGACTGCCTCAGCGTCTTCTTCAGTACCTTCACAGTGCTGTAATCCAACAGCCCACAGTTATCATCAAAGGCAGGCAGTAAAGCTAACTTCAGCTTTTTCATTTCAGAATCCTTTAAAAGATCTCAGCACTATGTCTAAGTGGCTACCTAAAAGCCTGCACTCTACAGTTAAGGTGTTATGATGCTTGTTTACATACAGTGGGTCGAGGTGGGCACTAGGTTCATCAAGCAGCAAGATACGAGCCCTGCTGAGGATTGACCGGGCCAGACACATCAACTGTTTGTGGCCATAGCTCAGCACGTGCCCCCCATACTCCAGTTGAAAGTCCATCTTATCAGGAAACTGCTCAATGACTGACTTAAGACCCACCTGCAGAAACACAGTCATTAGCATTAACACTACTCATCCAGGGCATCCTGAGATGTACTTCAAATACATTTTATATAGAAAAATAATGCCAAATAGCACATCCATACAGTTCAGAACGTCACATTTTTATCTGAATGGTTTGGCAAAATAATCGAGATTTTGTCCCTAGCATTCTTTGGGTGGAAGGCAGGAAACACCCTGGACAGGTCGCCTGTCCATCACAGGGCAGTGACACAAACATATACATTCACACACACACACTCACACCTAGGGGCAAATTTGCGTGTCCAGTTGGCCTGACTGCATGTCTTTGGACTGTGGGAGTAAACCGGAGCACCCAGAGAAAACCCACGCAGACACAGGGAGAACATGCAAACTCCACATACAAAGGTCAACCCAGCCAGGGAATTAAACACAGACCCTTCTTGCTGTGAGGCAACAGCGCTACCTACTGCGCCACTGTGCCTCCGTAGTTAAACTATGGTTGCATAAATAAAATACTTCCATAAATTTAGTGACTATGCTTCGATTGTCATTTTCTTTCTTAAGAAACAGTTGCTCTTTGCAATGATGTCAACAATAATAACAATATTACAACTGAAGTACTATTTATATAATGCTGACTTAAGTATAGGGTCATTGCTGGCCAACACAGAGTAGCCATGGCAGCAGCTGTCCCTTGACAAGAAATTAATGTCTTTAGAGCACCCAAGGACTACAATGAACAAAAGTCAGTCAGTGTGTTCCAGTAATGAGACTCACCTCCTCAGCAACGCTCCACAACTCTTCATCACTGTGGCAACCATAGGGGTCCAGGTTCATACGGAATGTTCCAGTAAAGATGAAAACTTTCTGTAACAACAAGTTTACAGGAGTAAAAATGACAAATAAATGAGAGGAGCAGAATGAGGGTATCTGAGCATAGCAAAGAAGTGTCAGAAGGTGTGGATGTACCTGAGGCACCACGCCGAAAGCCTTGCGCCACTTCTGCAGGGGCATGTTGTTGAAGGAGACACCATCGATGGCCATGTCTCCGTCTGTGTAGGTCAGGCGCAGGAGAGCACTGAAAAGCGTGCTCTTCCCAGAGCCTGTTCTGCCCAAAATGCCCACCTAAAAACACAAACACAATGTCCTATCAACATTCCCTCCATTCAGGTACTAGACAGCATGTTTGGTATTACACTAACCACAACCTATGTGGACATGCAATGAAAAACAATGAAAAATGGAGATGCAAAATGGTTTCCACTAAGGTCTGTGAATTAAGTTGGTAGTGTTGAGTGAATAATTCAACAAATTCTGCAACCTACATTAACTGGATATTGTCTCAAAAAATAAATCACGTGCAGAGCAAAAACGGTAGAAAGTACATTTCCATGATTATTTTTTATTTATTAATTCATTTGTTTTACTTCACAAAAAAGAGCACATCAAACTTTCACTGTTTTTGTAGGAACCTAAATACAGTGATATGCAAAATATGGGCACCCCTGGTTAATTTACATATTTTATTGATTTTTAAATTGAAAAGAAGAACCTCTGCTGGGGATCTATTATGCTTTGGTGTTGTATGGCAACCAGTGTCACAGGAAACACTGCATATGTACATGAAGGAATGAATTCCACTAAATATCAGCAAATTCTGGAAGCAAATGTGATACAGTCCGTCAAGAAATTGAAGCTGAAAAGAGGCTGGCTTGGCACAGTGGTCCAAAACACACATCAAATCCACCATGAACTACTTGTCGAATGGCCCTCACAGTCCGCTAACTTAAAATCTTTGTGTAGACTAAAACATGCAGGACTAGAAGCATTCCAAGCATTAAAAAGTGGGTGAAAATTCATAAATAAAAAATGGAAAGACTCCTAGCTCGCTACAAAAGGCATTGCGAGCCGTTATATATGCCAAAGGGGGTGTTATGAAGTACTGACTTAGTAGGATGTCCAAATAGTGTGCACGCCACTATTATTATTGTTTTTTCGCTTCAAAAATTAGCAAAAGGGGTGCCCAAACTTTTACATGTAGATGTACTATAGATGTTCAATTAAAATCTCCAGATTACATTTAACCCCTTCAAAATCCCAGGCTTATTACTGAGTAACTACAGGGACTTCAATGCAAGCTGGTTGAGTTATTCTCAGGTTATAGAAGTGTGTAATAAAGCTTTGGGCCATGTAAGGAGTTAAAATGTTGGCTGCAGATGGAGGTGTATGTGTGCATTGGGCATCGGTATCTGCTATGGGACTTGAGGGATTGCTCAATGATGTCTCATCAGCCAGTTCATAATTAGAGGGAGGTGCTAAAGAGCTAATGAACTGATTTACTTAGCTCTTAATAACCATGACAGCCAGGCAGAGACTCTCTCACAGTTGTACTTGTATCAGGTCCCAGCAATAGAAAACACTTTAGCTGTGTTACCAGCCTCACATACTACATATTTAAAGAAGTGAGCCATGCCCTATTTGATACTGTCCTCTGAATGGGACATCTTTAACTACAGTTTCTATTTTGAAATTTGTGTTTGCAAACTACACTTTACCTACCTTCTGTCCTCCCTCCACTGTGAAGGAGAGGTTATTGAGCACAGCATGTCCGGCCTCAGTGTATTTGACCGTTAAATTCTGCACGTCCATCTGGCCACGGCTGGGCCAGGTGGCCTCATTGAAGGCATCTGGGTTCTCGATGACCAGGTCTGAGACTTTCCTCTGGCCCAGCTTGGGTTTGGGCTCCTCAGACGGCAGATCGATGAACTTGAAGACGCGCTCCACAGAACGCATCTGGAGGTGAGGACAAGAGCGATGATGTAATCACGTTAAGATATTGCCTCCTACTGAGTTTGTTTGGTTTCTAAATGATGCTTGACCTCTGTGATTGAGTGTGTGCTGAAGGTGAGTCTAAAGCTGGCTTTACCGTCATGCAACTTAAATTGCTTGAAACTTAGATGAAATTGAACTTCACTTAAGTTGCATAATGTACTGTCCTGCTCAGTCACAACAGTTTTAAGCATCTCAACTCCGTGAAATAAGTTTCATGAAACAGCTAATCGAATCACAGATAATGCATCACATGATCACATCAAGCAACATCATTTCAAACAAGTGATTTCACCCAACCACGGACTAAAAGTGAAGACAATATAGCAGAATATGACTGAAAACAACAAATTGGTAGTTTTTCCATTTGTCAGATACCTGAATCATGACAAAGACACGTGAGTTTCTCAAAGCTAAAGCTTAACTAGCCAGCTAACATTAGCTGCTGTTACAGCTGTTTGTGCCACTGTTTATCTTTCTTTGTTATCCTGTGGTTATCATGATCTTTGTAGTTAGATTATGTATTTTCTCCTCTTCTCTATTTGGGATCAAATTATTACAGAAGAGGGCACTGAAATGCCATCCTTGATTAACGTGCAGGGCTTCTAGGCCAAGATGAGTGAGGAATGAAGTACAACCATAATGGCTACTTAAACATTAATTTTCAAAGGCATAGCATAAACAAAACATAATAAAAAAGTCAAATATATCAAACTATAGATAGACCTAGATATATAGACAGAAAAAAATGCAATGACAACTGGAAAAATACACAAAGATGATAAAAAATCTTGCAAATATGAATGACGTGCAAATATATCAAGAATGATGTGATGTATTAAAAACACATGCCGCTAATTTGGCTAATTAGTGTAGTAAGCAAATGTTTTGCACGCAACTTTGTTTTTGATTTGCTTTGTGTAACTATCAAATTGCAAGGAAATTGTGTTGCATGCAACTAGTTGCATTAAGTTACATGTAAAGCCAGCCTTAGCACGAGCACATATGAGTAAATTTGAGGTTGAATATCTGTATATGAGTAAGAGTTTGTGTGTGTAGCCATTCTATTTGCATATCTATGACGAAATTCCCAACCTCTTCAGGGGAGCTTTGGGAGAACTTAATGTTCTGCACCCAGATAAGGCCAGTCATGTCATAGACAAGCATGGTGGGAAAAAAGGAGGGAAAAAAGCTTTGAAGTATCAACAGCCTGCACACACAGTCTCTTCTACGCCACTATAGAACAGGACAACTTCTGCCTTTCAACTCATGTCAAAAATAAGCAAGTCTGCAACTTCACTGAGGAGAAAGGCAGAGAAGAACAGCTACAAAGATTCCTTAAATCTAATGAATGAGTGTATGGGTGTGTGAGTGCGTGGGAGAGAGACAAGGACACGTACCATTCCATCCACTGCAATGCTGGTGACGACACACCACTGGAAGGTGCCTAGAATGAGCATTGCCAGGGCTACAATGATACCAATCTCACCCGGTTTATCCTCTGCGGAATAACACACACACACACACACACGTGCGTAAACATGAAGTACAACGGTCCATGCAATGACCTCAAATATCACTTCAAAGGCATTTTTTCCAAGTACTGCTAGCAATTAACTCTCAATGAAATTAATTGTCTGTGAAACCTGCCAAATCAAGCATTCACTGGCTTTTTAGACCCACAAGGCTTTACTGTTACGTGAGAAAGCCCTCAAGATAAACAGTCAAACAGTAGCATCTGCTCACTCGTCACAGCCTCAGCAACCTCCACTACTCAGCTCCAAGACCATCTTGAGCACATGGAAAGGGTTCAGTAGTTCACATTCAGTACACTACGTGGGGTGTAAAAGCCTCATGCCCAATATAGTGCACTATGCACAGAGCAAGGAGCCTATTTTAAGATTTAGTTCCAGAAGCAGAAAGTGGAAGAGAGAGCTCTTACGGTTGGTTCCTACAGCAATCCAAGCAGCAAGGGTGAAGAAGAAGACATAGATGACGTCAGCACGGAAGAGGAACCAGCGCAGGGTGGAGAGGTAGAGGAACCAGACGGACGTGTGGGTGTTCAGGACTTTATGGAAAAGGGTTTCAAAATAGGCCTGCCGGTCAAAGGCCCGGATTGTCCACAGGCCCTTCAGGGAGATAATGAGATGGGAGAAGATGGGACTCCGAGCTGAATGGAGAGAAAAAGAAAGAAAGAGAAGAAGAGAAAGAGAAGAAATTAAGAACATGCATATTATACTGCATACTTTACCAGGCCATGTTTCTAACGCCAGTATCCAAAAGTTTAATGGCAAGTTTTTATTTGTTTAAACTTAAGAGGTCAATACACTACATTTTTAAAGTTTATGTCAATTTAGGTGACATTTCTGTGGGTTTATATACAGTCAAAATTATTTTAAACCTTGTTTTGTCTCTCAGAGTTAAACAGGCTGTTTTTATTACTGTGCCTTTAAGACATGATAGGCTTGTGCACAGGGAATAGGAAGTACTTGGTTGACCATTCGAGGTGCCAGTATTTGAATACTGAAATCACAGTTCACACATTTGTTGCATTTCATTACGAGAGGACTGAGCAATAACACAGGTTAACAATTCAAAGATACACCAATTTGGAACTGTAAAACAGGCAAGTTTTAGTATTATTTATATGTAAGCATGTTATGTTTACACCCCATACACAAATCCCTTAATGTGAGCGCATTGCCAAGGACATGTTTTAAGTACTGAAAAGACAGCTTTTATTATTAAATAGGCTAGGCTGGTGTTAGGTTAGGACTGTCTAAAATATATTTCTCTGACAAACTAACATGTTGGCACATCAACCGCTGAAGAGGAAAAAACACCTGACCTTAAGATGACAAATCTCCATCAGCACCCAGTGTTGTACTGAATAGCTGTAGTTAACTGTCATTTGCTCATCTGAAGCCGCTTCAGTTTTGTTACTCATCTGACACGAAAACCCCTGGCTATTTTTGATCAATGAAACATATTTTGAAATGTATTCCTCTGCGTAATGCTATTTTTGGTGCAACATTAGTAATGTCACCTTTTGGTGTTGTTTTTTTTCTTCGCCGCAGTTAACTGGGTATCTGTTATGGATGCAAATTCCAAAATTAGTCAGAATGCACATGCCTAACATGTAAATGACCTCTGTTGTGATTGTCAGGCCTCTATTGTGTCTCATTTACAAAGCAGTCTGGGCTGAAACACTGCATATAACTTCAATGTGAATACGCAGGACTAAACTGTAGGCTGAAGAGACTAAAAAAGTGAGGAAATCAAGATTTCTACGATAAGGCCAGTGAATCGATCATCAAACAATGCTGTTTTAATGGTATAGATCTTCCCTTCATCTGTCCAAACACATGGAGTCTCAATTCCAAATGTTCAAACGATCTGACTTCCACAGTGACCCCTGGACTGGGCACATCTTCTAAGTGAAACTGAGGAGACAGAGCCTGATAGGTTGCATCCTGAACTATTAGCCTGTGTGCCTAAAAAACCTGTATTCATTTTATACATCCCATCCCACCTGGTCCCACTGAGGAGGAAGCCAGGAAAAGGAAGGAAGAAATAAAAGTTTGTCCTCTGTCCTTTTGCTTTCAAGCACATACTCGCAAACAGCCTCACATGTTTTTGAAAGTAGAGTACGTAACATGCGCCATTCTCCAGATATTCAGTTCATCATCACATTCTTAACATTCATCAGAGAACGTCAACATCCCTAACCCCCTTTCACAAACACGACAGCCTCCTCCTGTCCCAGAAATGAACGGCTTGCACAGTTTGGCAGTTTGCTGTGATCTCTCCCTGTAAAAGTGCTGCCTCAGTGAATGAATGATGTCAGCACAGTTTGGAGGAAATCCCCGGCCGGCTTCGCTTTCCAAAACCGCTCTAGTTCTGTGTTTACAGCGCGGAAAGTCCTCACTGCTCCCTGCATGACCTCGGACTAACTGACCGTGGTGGGGTTATTGCCCAGCTCAGGCATATGAGGAGCCGTAGACGAATAGAGGGGCCATATTCTGACCTACGCCCAACCCGCTTCCTCTGGGATATCCATCTCCTCCTGCTTGACTCATTCATCCTCTCCTCCTCTCCTGTTTTCTGCCATGCTGCTGACCTTGTGCCAGGGACTCTGTCAAACTAGCTGACTTGTCGAAGAAGAGTTGCACGCCAGCATGTACAGTGTACAGTCAGAGACACATGTCTCCATCTATGAGCCCTGGGCTTGCCCTCTTGCCTCCTCTGTGACCTCCACTGGCATGCAGTGCTCATTCCTAGGAGTCTTCCTGATCCTCACATTGTCCCTAACCACCATATGTCCGGTCTCTATTATGAAGTCACATAGATGCCACCTCCATTGCTCACGCAAGCAACAGGAATTCCATCAAACACTGCAAATCAGGCTGTTTAAAGCTTTTGTCTATATCGAGTGTCCATTCAAAGTGAACATATACAGATACAGATACACTGATTTAGTTGTGTATATTACATCATTTTCACATAAATAAAATATTGTTGCTGTTGGAACAAACGCTGTTGACAAATGGACCAATAATTCCAAAATTACTTGGAATTAAATCTCTTTACATCAACTTACATTGAAAGTTAAGAACAGCTTTGGAGATACAATGTTTTGTTGCGACAGGGACGATATCACATCAACACAACAAATTTGCATCAATGCAGTTTATGTTATTCTCACTGAAAATGATGACCACCTTTGAATTGAGAAAATTTAATGCACCAGTTTTTCAGAGCACATCTATTTTTCCCTATTTATTCTCACCTTCTGTCTCCATTTGCTTCAGCTGCTGACCTGTCCGCAGGAAGTACTTCCTCATCACAATAAAGATAATGGCCAAGGGCGTAGCTGCGAGAAATATATATGGACGCATGATGGACACCACCAGAATACATCCAATCACCACCAGGGTCAACTGTGGAGAGAAAAGCCAAAGTTTAGTGCAGGCAGACCAACTGGAGGCCAGATGTATCACTCCACATATGGCATGCCAATTTCTGCTCACTGCCCTGAACCCACCCTCTAAAATGCTGAGAGCTAATCACAGATACTACTAACCTGGACAAGGTCAAACATTAGGAGGGGCAACATGTCGTCTATTATGGCCATATCCTTAGTGAACCTATTCATGATAGAACCTTTAAAAACAAATCAGAACACAAGTAGGACGCATTAAATATGCAAAAACATTAAAAAAGGCAGAATTCTGCTTGTTTGTCTCTGGGACACTGACCTGTCTTCATGGTGTTTAGGATGGACATAGGTGCCCTTAGCACAGAGCTCAACATTTTCTGATGCAGCTTCTTGGAGACGGTGATCATGGTGTGGACCAGTGGAAGGCCCCGGAAAAAGCCCAGTGCTAAGATGCTTTCTGATGTGGCTACGTATATGTAGATGATGTAGTAGCTGCTGGTGGGGCGGATGATGACAGCGTACTGTGAGCTTGCCTGGGATAAATTGGCTTGTTTGGTGTTGTTCAGATCGAGCAGCCGATGCTCCTCCTTCCAGATCACACTGGTTAGAAAGCATATGCAGGTATTAAGACTATTTGCAGCAACTGATTAAATGCTAATGACTGTTAAATGTTGGGAGTCCCCCATAAATAATTTAATTTTTGATAGAGAGAACAGAAGTAAATAATTAAGAAGGTGTTCAGTGGCAAATCAAGTTATTATGACTCTGCTTAATGACCTACCTGCTTTGATATTTATGTGTCAAACCATTAGGAACAGAGTTTGATACTCCTGCTGTGTATAATGGACGTGGGATATGATATGCTATATGATAAGAATATGACACTTAGTTACTCTATACAATATGGTTAAAGGATAAATACTCACTCTGTTATCAGGAAAATCCCAGCAACAGATCCAGCCACCTACAAACCCAAATACCATTAGGAAAACTCTTCAGCATTGAACTGAAAAAGAGCCATACTTGTCTGAATGCAATTCACTCTGCATTTGTGTTTGGATTTTTTTTTAAAGCCTGCTGCACAAGTAATTGTTAGAGGCACAGAATGCTGGAAGTGACAATTTAAATAGTGAGAAAAAATCATCATAGCCCCCAACTTAATCAGGGTTCTATGGAATTTTATTTTTTATTTACAAAGCTAAGAACAATACAATCACTGCATATGTTCACACATAGCTAGTTTACTGATTATTGTATTTGCCTACTAATTATGTCCACAAACAATTGTGTCGACACCATGTCATCCCATATTTAACATGCCTTTTTACCAGGAAGGGCATAGATAAATATGGCAGAACAGTGAATCAGTTACATACGATAGTGATTGTCTCATTACCTCAATGGCATAGATGATAAGGATGAAAATCAGAACATAAATGAGACTTTTGTTGCTTGTCACATATCGGACATATGTGTTCCATTTTGTGGTTTCAAAGACATTCTCCATTTGTTCATCTGCAAAGCATGCCTGCGAAGAAAACATGCACCGTTTAAAGTGTGTTTCATAACTATTATTCAAAAATAGCATGCATTTAAAATGATCAAGGATTCACAATTCAGTATGTTCACTAGTCAACAAAACAGCACGGTCTACAATTATGATGTCCAGCCCTTCTCCTGGAGAGAGTACAGCATTAATGTAATGTTGTATACATTACGCTCCAGTATGTTAGCTTGGGATTGCAACCAAAGCTGAATGACATACTGTTTGTTAATCAGTTTGGTGAAATTGGCAACAAAATAACCTCTAACAAATCCCAATATTTTATTTTGTGCTGTGAACATCCCGACCAACCTCAGACCTTCCTAGTGATTATTTCTATGGGTATTTCGATGGAGGCAGTTACATAATCCAAATAATTATCAAAATAATGCAGGCCTCTTTAATCATGCCCTGTTAAGAATTCACCACTACCACAATTGCAATATCTAGCCATATAATTACAACATGGTGTTTTGCTCATATTGCGCAGCCCTGGTTGGACCTAGGATGGGCTGGCTACCCACGTCCTACAGCTATGGAAATATCAATGTGTCTGATGCCCCTTACCTCAATATTCTCCTCATCCATATCTCCAGTGATGTCATAAACACTGTCCTTGGACAGTCGGCGGGCGTAGATGTCCACCTCTGAGGCAAGTTCGCTTTGTGGCACGATGGACAGGCGACGGCGGAAGGATGACTGGAGCTGGTCGCGTCTGCCTTGGCCCTGTGCATTGGTCATGAAGGCTAGTACTGACTGTCTCCTCTGCCCTGCCATGTGCACACCGTGATTATGGTACATATCGTTAGCCATAAAGGACTCATCCACCAGCTCGTTCTCAGGCACCAGAGAGATCTTGCGGACGGGCAGCGGTCGTTTCACCTCCTCCTCGAGCCCAGTGATGATAAAGGAAGCCTTGCGGTCAGACACCAGCGGGTTGATGATGACCGACTGTTTCCGTTCATCTTTGTAGGCAGGAGGAGCCACCTGCCGGTAAGAGGGCCGTTCAGGACGGATCCCTGAACTCTCGTCCACGGAGACTCTGCGCAGGGTCTCAGTGAGGATGGAGCAGCGACGCTCAGCATTGATGCTGTCGTAGGCCTCCAGGCCGAGTAGCAGGGAGCTAAAGTCAGGCCGCCGGGACTGCAGCTCTGAAAAGGTGCCATAAAAGAAGGACTCGCCATTATGGAGCAACAAGATCTTGTCAGCCCGCTTCAGGTGTTCAATCTTGTTGGTGACCACGATACGGGTCTTGGAGGCCATGAGTCTGCACAGACACCTGGGGAAAGAGATATGGTCATAAGTCTCTGTGGACTAAAACTGAACAGATACTGTATGATCAGATATGTCCACTAGCTCACTGGATATTAAATAATAGATAATCTAAAATCCTACATGTTCATACACTGGTGGCATATTCATCACGATATTTGCCTATTAATTGAGCCCATAACTAACAGCAACTGTATTTTCACAAATGATACTAGCCATAGTACCATTATATAGTGTTATATTTTGTTATATTACTGCTATAGTCATCTAATACAGATGGGTCAATGTAATAGATATGATTTAGCTTGTGAGGGGCATCGTAGACTGGAACCCTTATCTGATCTACAAGATATATACACTATAACCACTTCATACTGCAAGTGGAACTTTTCTCATGTATTACTTTGTGGTAAATATCAGCTTGTAAAAAACATACTTGTCAAATATCTCTTTCTCTGTTGCAATATCCAGATGGGTGAAAGGTGCATCCAGCAGGTAGGTATCAGCATCTCTGTACACAGCCCTGAGAGATAGAAGTTAAAATGTTATTCTAACTTTCAAGTTCATGTCTTATCCACCACATTTAACCAGAGTGGAGAACCTGCTATGATCTACAGAACTAGATAAATCATCCCAGGAAAATCCTACAGTGAAATATAAAAGTGTCAATATACCCGTCTAGGCGTAGAATAAATAAAGCTATAAAGTTATGTACTCAAGGCTTAACTGTTCTTTATGACCCATATTAATTTACAGGAAGAGAGATAACAAGAACTTTTTCTGACTGGGGGAAACTATTTAACACACTCGCTTTGGCTGTCTGAAAGACGTGGGGATTATTTTCTTCCTTGTATCTCTGAAGTTATTGTGGGAAGGAAAGCCCATTTATTTCAACATCATAGATCATGATAAAATAAGAGGAAGAAATCACACTGGGCAAACATTCCAAAGCAGTGTGCAACATAAATCTAAGAGCACTTCATTTTATGATGAAGTAAATTAGAGGTGGTGATAGATGGCATGACGTTCTGACTGGAGTTTTTACGCTGTATGTTACAAAGAGACTGAGGGTTCTGCTCAACTAGACCACTTTGTGCTGAGTGGTATGTGTAGATCAGAGGTTGTTTGAATGTGTGTGTGTGTGTGTGTGTGAGTGTGTGTGTACCTGGCTAAGGCCACTCGTGCTTTCTGACCCCCGCTTAGGTTCAGTCCCCCTTCTGCTAAAGGTGTTCTGTCCTTCTCAGGAAGAGCAGCCAGATCCTTAAAGACAGAACACAGAGCAAAACCTTATGACAAAATTATTCAGAATCACTTATTAAATGTAGCTGCTGAAATTCAAGTGTGCTGGACACACAATAAAGCATAAAATTTTCTCTGCTTTAACACACCTAACTCAACTCATCAAAATATCAAACCCTTAAAAAGTTGTTTGTATTACATCAGGGAAACTGGGGTGGGTGATATAGCAAAAATTTAACATCACAACATTTAACATCACAAGACATTTTTACACTATGCGATAGGTATCACAATATTTAGCTTTTCTGATAGGAGGGAACTGATAAAAAAGAACCAGTAGTGTATACAATGATTTCTATTAAACATTTCGTTTACTGCACTGCACTAAATCCACCAATTGTCGACTAATTGTGCTTTACTTGTAATGAAACATGCAGTTGGTCAGTGTTCTTTAATTAATGACGATATCCAAAATATGCTCTGAAAAGTTACTGTGATGTAATATGCTGTCCCGATAGTGATAAATATTGTCATACTGTCCACCTCTGATGGAAACCATTAAGCAGTGAAACCAGTAAATAAGTGTAGGCTAAATGGTAAAACTACTTCATGAAATAAAATATCTTCAAGATGTAGAATATGCATCGCAATAATAGCTTCTTTGATAATGGATAAAATGCATAAGAGCAGCAAATGAAAAGTGCCACATCTAAAAAGGTTATAAAAATAATGAGCACAATGATGTTTGTTAGCAAAAAAGGCACCTTTTTAAGAAGAAACAGGGAAAAATCAAACAATTAAAAAAAATTAGCTACTTGTTTCTATGCAGTCACTATACACTGGTTATTGTTGTTTAAAGACTCTCTATAATTGGTCTAAAACAGTTTTTTTATATGATACATGTGAAGCATATTATTATGTAACAATATGCTTGACGTGTGCAATATCACCCAATTGGCCAACCCTACCACTCACAGTAATATAGCGCTCTACATCTGCATTCAGACACAACAGAAACCACCATAAAATACAATTATGATTGATTCTATCAGGATTCTGGAACACACACACATAAGCACACAACACAGCACACAAATAACACGTTTGTGATGTATGTACAAAATGCGCATGTCAGAATAAGAATCACTTGTATACAACAGTTCATGTCATGTACATGAAATCCGTCTTGGCAAGTATGATGCTGCTCAGTATAAAAACACAGCACAAAAGGGTGCACATTCAAACACACACTGTAGATGCAGGTAAAGCAGATCACAAACACATGAAGGAAAACAGATGATACGCAACAAATTAATGAATAGGAATGCTTATGCCATTAAAAGGGTTTTCCTGTAACGGGCCATCCTACCTTATCATTGTCCAGTCTGGAAGCATTGAAGGAAAAAAATCATTACGTCAGTAGAAGTAAAAACACTACTTGAGACAATAGCTGGGCATTGTGCCAGACCCACAAACCAGTGGGCAGCACTAGTGATTTTGCTGTCACACAGGTGGAAATGCTTGTGTTTACAACCCAGACATGACGTGTGAGATGGGTCTAAAATGCTATGTGACAACAAAAGAGGAATAGACTTCCCAGCAAAGGCTCACTAAAGACATCTGTTTGACAAAGTGAAGACTTCTTCTCTTTGCAGCTTAAAGACACTACAAACATATTTATGAGGGTCTGGAAACCATGTCATGAATATCTAAGACCTGCTGTCAAGTGACAAAATGAAACTTAGTTCAAATTCCAATCTTTTAGCTTACAGAAGAACAATCTGATACACTGAAACAATGCTTTAGCGTCTTTGTGGCAGTCAGTGAATAAAGGGGGACTTTTCAGGTTTAGGTGATACAGTATCGCAAATCATCGTTCCTGAAATTACAATGCAAAGTCACACTAACATTTAACGTCTTCCATCTGTGGAATAGCAGAGTGTCACCATCAAGAAGGTGTCAATATTGTGCTCAAACACCATTTACTGTGGAAATGCATTCTGTGTTAAACAGCCTCAGTTTTTTTTCTACCAGAGGGAAAGTCTCGCTGTGGCACTGACTCATCAGAATGTCCATGCACTAAAAGGAAGCTACACAAGGCCAAAGACAAAAGACAAAGACAAAACCTCAAAAGAAAAAGAGGAAAGGCCTGTTGGAACATAATTTTGTGATTTAACTGTAATAACTCCAGCAGAGGATTTTCTTGCTAGTTCTGAAAAAAATACCTTTAGAAAAAAATAACAAACTAAATTGGCACACAGGTTTATTGCTACGTAAAGTTGGTATCAACTATCACAGATCTTGGTGTGAGGTGAGTAGTTCCTCGAGGCCTGGATGTGACTGTGAACACGGAGTCTATGGAGTATTTCGTATCTCTGAGCCTCTTTTCAGAAGAGATTCAATTAAACCGGGGCCCTGTCACTCAACACTGCCGATGGCTGCGTACGATTGGCTGTTTAGGTATCAAGAGATTGCAGATGAGGGGGGTGAGCCATATTGAGTAATATGACACAGTAGTGCAGCTCTGAACGTAACAAAGGTTCTCAGTTCAACTGCCAGCTGAACATTCCGAGTGGCATGAGATTAGTCAACAGGAGTGAGATAGAAAAAGAGAGGGAGGCAGAGAGAGAGAGAGAAAAAGAGAGAGAGAGAGATTTACAAATGCAGGGAACACTAATTGAAGGATGAGACTCTGAGTGGCTCAAAAAGTAAATGATGAACATTTACTTGTTCATCATGTACTTTTCTCGATAATCGAGACAGGGAAGAATATGACAGAGAGAATGAGTGAAAGAGAAAAAAAACGAGTTATGAGATGACCTAAGTTTGCAAATACCTCCTCTAGCTGGCATGCTTTAACCACACTGGTATAGCGGAACTCATCACAGGTCAGGCCAAACAGGATGTTGTCTCGAATGGTGCCAGGCATGATCCAGGCCGTCTGTGAGGAAAAGGAGACACGGCCGCTGTGGCGGATTCTCCCAGAGGAGGGAACCAGCTCTCCCAGGATGGTCATCAGCAGAGAGCTCTGCAGACAAAAAACAGCCTTCAGACAATTCAGCAGCAAGTGCATTTTCATTTCATAGCCAGCATTTAATTCCATTAGCATGTGGCATCATGTTTTGTGGTAGTTCTTGATATACTAAAATACAACAGAGGTCTGCCATGCCTTGGGTAAGATTACAGTTAGGACTGTGCAACAGAGTGATGTAACTGGACATCGGAAATGACTGACACTACTTCAAAGATGATAAGCGGTATGCTGGGAACAAACTAAATTGGCACACAGGTTTATTGCTACGTAAAGTTGGTATCAGCTATCACAGATCTTGGTGTGAGGGGAGTAGTTCCTCAAGGCCTGCATGTGATTGTGAACACAGAGACTATGTTCACCTTAACCTGAAAAGTCACCCTTTATTCACTGACTGCCACAAAGACGCTAAAGCATTGTTTCAGTGAACTGTTCATCATTTAAACAGCTCACTAAGTAATATTAAGTAATATGTAGATTTAAAGTGTTATTCCCTTTTACTGTTATAACATTGGATTATCACAGGCAGTAATAAGCTAAAAGTGTTATAAAACTGTTATAACATTGGATTATCACAGGCAATAATAAGCTAAAAGCTAAAAGTCTGACCACTATGACAACAGAGAACTTTTTTTTTAAGCCTGTATACATGGCTTTGGAACTATACTACAACATAGATACAGACAATAATCCTGAATTTTGATCAACAAAATATTGTGCTAATTGTTTTTAGATTTCACTCAGGCCTTACCACAGTTTAAGACATTAAGTCATTAAAGTGTTTTACTTGGTCACTTTAGACTACGAGACTTATTGTTACACTGCAGTACTGGTACACTCGCAAAAAAAAGGCCTGCACTGAGACAGCAGTTCCTGCAGAAAGTTGTTCTGAAGAAAAAAATCTACACACTGTTTTATTATTTTTAATGTTAATTTTAGTTTTAAGTTTTAATATTAATTTTCAAGCATCTTAAACTCTAGGCATATTATCCAGTTATTAATCTTAAAATTCCATTTTTTTACCAATCACTAACAATTACAGTCATTTGTAGTTAAAAGAGGTATACCAATGCATTGTAATATCACAAAGCCAGTATGTGACAATGTGTATCATGGAGAATGGGCAAGCAAACGACCAGCACCAATGAACAAAACAAACTATTAAGTTCATTAGCAAGCTGTTCAACAACACGGATACAGTCATCAATTTTCTTCATGCAAATTTTGTCCAGATTATAAAAATATCAAATTGCGAACCCAGTATCAGCAATCAAACCAAATTGTGGACCTAGTATATCATTACACCCCTATTAGTTAAGCATCAAAGGTCTGTGATCAGCAGTTTCCTCTCACTTAATCCCTTAAACTACAGATGTGTAATTCAGTTATTAGTCTTAAGACTTAATATTCAGTAATTACTCTGAATTATTTGTTGACTATAATGAAACTGTGTCATAATGAATTATGTAGCTATTAGAGTGAGGATGGAAGATGATGTAGGATTTAACAGGATAAAAAAAGGAACACTACTGGTAGCTGTAAGAGTTTCCTGTTGTCCTACCTTTCCAGATCCTGTGGAGCCAGCCACAGCCAACATTTCACCTTTGTGCAAGTGCAAGCTGATATTCTTAAGGACAGGTGTTACGTAGAGGTTGGTGAAGAAGAGCCCGTCTCCATTCGGAAAACCATTTGCTTTGTTTTCCTCTTTAATCTTCTCAAAGAGTTCCCCAATACCCTGAAACAGCAGAGTGTCACTCAATCACTTTACACTGCAAAAACAATATTAACCACCATTTAAAACTTGCTCTGAATAAGGTAATGAATGAGACAAAGGGGTCCCAAAGTGATTTCATTCAATTTTACTAACATTACTATAAAAATGATATAATATGCCATGTAAAGAAATGACAAGTGATATGTGAAATGATACTCACTGAATAATCATCAAAAAATGTGCCCAACAAATATAACATGACAGTAATTTTACAACCCACAGTTGGTCTAATGTAGCCCCGCCTCAATTATTACATGATCACCAGATCACAACTGTTTTCAACAGTTGTTTGCTTTCACAATAATATGTTCATGACAGAATGTGAATTTGTGCATTTTCATCAGTTCAGTTTAGGCCAATTAAAAAAAGCAGAAAACACATTTATTGAAACACATCATCATCTTACAAAAAACATTAAAAGTTCTATCTTGGTGCTATAACACACGTAGCAGGCAGTGGTAAGTAATGTTGTTTATTTGATCTTTGTTTCTGTCCTCAGTTGGGATCTACTAAGTATCTACATCTAGGAATCAACAAAGCTAACCAGCAACAAAAATGAGGCAATTACATTGTTAATCACAAATCTTTATCTGGCAATTCATCATCAGGTAGGATTTCATGACAGTCCCAATATGAATTTATTCTACCATTTTTGCCATGTTAAAGATGGTTGGCATGCTATGCATACATAGTGGAGCGTGTTTTGTTATTTTTGTTGTCCTGTCACTGGCATTGTGACTATATCCCAGGAAAGCATTCAAAAGGTTTGTTAATCCTGAGCACAAGCTATGAGCACAATTCTCTAGAATACAGTCATATTATTTGTAAAAAAAAAAAAGTAACTTATTTTACTACTTGTACTTGTTTTACATGTCGTTTAAAACTGAGTACATTAGTTATAAATAATTTGGGTCAGCAGCTAACGTCTTACTCCTTACTCCACCGCTCTGTTTAGGCCTGTTTCCATGGAAAAATGCAGTACATTTTCAAGAGCCAATCAGAATGCGACTGATACATAATTATATCCTGAAAATGAGAAAACATACAACAATTAGCTAGCATTTAACTTCATACACCAGTGTCAGCTGGTGGTCAATTTTAGGTATTAAGCACAATGATCAGGACAAATGGCTTCACTGAAAATAAAGATTCCCCTCAATGCAAAGCCAAGCTTAAATAAACAACATGATGAAAATATGTGAAGTAGTAGGTGGTAGGGCCTTTAGGCCTGTTAAACAGAGAGAAAGAGAAAATATTTTAAAAGAGTTATGATTAAGAAATAAATTTGTTTAGATTTTTGGCCTTTTTATTTTTATTAAGCAATGCTTAACTGCTTAAATAGATGAGCTGCACCTACAACATACAGATACATAAAAACATGTTTATAGTTGCACCGTGACCAAAGACAATGAGGTCACAAACACATTATTTTAAAAGACCTGATAAAGTGACTGGCAACTCACAAGTAAATAAGAGAGCACAACTGGGGAAAAGTTAGAAAATGTTACTGAGAAACTCATAATCAAATGTGGACAAAATTACTTTGTAGACCCAATACATGTGTGTGGTGCATAGATGTGACTTTTCTGTTCAGCGTGCTTTTGTTATAGCCTATGCTAATTTAAAAAACATATTAACAATTTTGGTAACTTCCTCCAAACTCAGCCTTTTTCACTTACTCCCACATAAAGCTACTCCCCTGGCTACCACTCTCTGCAGTTTTACTGGGACAGGACAGTGAGAACTACCCAGGAACAGAGAAATGGGTGTGACTCTGGTTTAATCATTGACCTCACTCAGTCTTTGTTAGTCTGTGGCGTTAGAGTGATTAATTTCTGCATCCATTTCATATTCAAATGTGGCTAGAAAAAACTAACAAAAGACAGCAATTAGCCATCACCTCCCCTACTAAATTCTCAGTGTCAGCAAAAACAGTCAGGCTGGGAATTAAATCTCCATCATCCACACTGCCTTTCGCACAGAATGTTTTAACTTCTACAAAAACTGTCAACCAATACATGCAGTCATGTAGTTTTATAAACTTTTGTATTCTTCCATAAAACCAAACTGTTTAACTAAGTAATATTTTTTTCTGAATGCTTTTTTGGGATATAAGAGTTTTGTGCAAGGAAAGGAAGAAAGGCTCTGATAAGGATTTTGATTGGTAAGTCACAAGACAAGTGACTCCTGCTGATGCCCCTCTGATATCTCAAGCAACATGAAAGTATCAGAGTCAGGAGACAGACAAGCCCTGCAAAACTTCAGGGTGTTTTTAAATGTCAATATGCGGAGAGCAGTTAGTGACTTTAGTGAAGAAAAGCCAAAAGTACCTCATCCCAGGAAGCTGTGACATTTTCAAGCGTCATATCTGTGATGCTGAGGTCATACTCCAGCATTTTGTATTCTTCCTTGCTGAGAAAATCCTAGAGGAGAGAATTGGCAAAAAGTGTAAGACAGTAGAACAAAAAAAGGTTCCGAGTCACACTATGGATACAGTTCATAACAGACACAGTTACCTCCTACTGTCTTTCAGTAAAGCACAAACAGTTATACAACAATACAAAGAATCTGCTGTTCTGGACAGTTTGATCAGTTCTGGCCCACAGGACAGCAGTTCATGTCTCTTTAGTTCATGATAAGAAGAGTAACAATAGTCATTGTAAGCATTTTTGAAAATGTACTGCTAACCATGCTAAAGCTAAAACAGTTACTGTAAGAGTTACAGGCAGCTTTTAACTGACCTGTCCATGTTCTGATTTGTTGCAACTGCTGTGAGTTTGGACACATTTTACAGAAGACTGGTAAAAATCCATTTCCACATAATGAGGAATTAGATTAAAAATACCTAAACTAACTAAAAGTGTGTTATTAATTTCAAATGATTTTTATTTTTTGTATGTGTGTGAATGGTCACACTGTTCAAGTATAGCTCACAGATCAAGTATAGTTTTCTTATTAAGCTAACATGCATGGCAGAAAATGTCATTGTTGTTTCCAACCTGCCTAGCTTTAAATAGCTACAACAATATAATCTAGTTCAGTAGCGTAGCACTTTTAATTGGAAACTCAATGTTATGTAGCGATGATACAGATATTTTGCAATACAATTTCTCATTAAGTTGAAATTTTATTGGATCTTTGTCAATGTTTTGCGAAGCTTGTCCACCTGCTGCCACGAAAGAGCACATTTGTGGAAGGGGCATGGATAAGTCAATTGCTTAATTTTGTATAAGGTTTACTATGTGTGAAGAGCACCATAACCATGGCTGGGTTTGAATGGTTTAGTTTAATCATTAGCCTTGTACTCCTATCACAGAACAACACATTAAAAAAGCCTGTGTCTGAGATCTTGATTCCATAATTGATTCAATAAAAGCTTGGCATCAAGCAGTGATCAATTCCCCTAATACACAGTCATGCCAAAGCTAAGGCAAAGTTAAACCTATGGACCACGTGAGTTTGATGAACACACAACTACACAAAATGGCACTGACCTCGATTTTCCAGATGAGCCGAATGGTGTCATACCACATCTGGATGCCAGCAGGCAGCTGGCGCGTGACAGTCATGCGCAGCACCATGCAGTAGGAGAGTGTGGTGAAGATGCGGCGCACTGTGATGCCCGTGGTGAGGGCTTGAGGTACCACTGCTGCTGTGATCACCCAGATGGCAGAGAAGAAGTAGGCAGCGCTATAAAAGTAACGCAGAGAGCCAATCTTCCTGGTCAGCTTGACCTCGTCCCTGAAAGCAGCCAGGACAAAAGAAAATCAAGAAACAATGCACATACGGCCTATCATGACGTGAGATACAGGTTAATCAGTTTAAAAAAAAACAAGAAACTGCTACACTGAAATTGCTGAAAGATCTGAATTTAATTGAGCAGGTGACTAAGTAAGTGGACAGAATTCTCTTCCTTCAAAGTTACAAAATTGACCTAAAATAACGCCTGAAATGGGCTGTTGCATCTGTTGCATTAACAAAAACACAAAAGCACACTAGGTGTACAGCTAAAAATACAACCACAACAATTGAAGGAGTCATGCCCTGTAATCCAGTTGCCCTTTAAACTCATTATGAAGCACCACCCCTACTGTTCAGACAGTGAAGTATGATCATTATAGTCAACAATACGGAAAAAATCTCAAAAACCAAAGGTAATCTTTTAAATGTTCTTATATTTTATATCACTGCAAAAATACCACTTAAAATGCAAATATTTAAGATAATTAATCATTAAACAGGCTGATGAGCGAGACTAAAAAACTGGAGAAATATGTCCTACAAAGCATTTTCTTTTGTTACAATGTCTGTTTTTGCAGTGTGATGATTACTCATTCGGCCTCATTTACTCTTACTGTCTGATGTTCTTGATGATGGTCTCCATGATCTCCTCCCAGCCGTAGGCTTTCACTGAGTGCAGGTTCTCCATGATCTCTGAGGTCAGAGCTAGACGCTTGTTGGTCAGCAGTATCCTTTTCGCTCTTAATGATAAAAGAAGAAAAGAAACAATTTGAACTTTTTGTACGTTGTTTTTTCAGTGTCCTACTACTACATTATACACATACGTCATAAATAAAAAGAAGAAGGCTGATGTAAAGTAAATGTAAATGTGGACAACATGCTGCCGGAACTGAGCTGAGCTGAGACAATGCCATAGCCAACTCTTCCTGGATGGTGGCCGTGACTTGCTGGCTTTGTTTACATTTCTTGTGCTTGTGCTCCTGATTAGAAGAAGAGGTGTGAGCTACCTGTACAGACTCATCAAGGAGCCTGACCAGCATGAGTCACTGCTAAAATGGGGGTTTCAGTGAGTGTGGGATAACTCCTCAATGCAGAGGCTATTTCTGCCTTTTGATGTAATATTCTTCTTTAATAACACAATTTTTAATGATGTTGTCTCTTTCGTTTTGATACACAAAGAACATGATCTAATAAAAAACTACCATTTTCAGAAAGCAAACACATGAATAGGAGTATATTTCACACTTTATTCAGATTTTATTCTTGCTCTAATGAAACAAATAAAAAATAAGCTTTTTGTGATCTGAATTTTGATCTAAATGTATGTGGGCCGCTCAGAAACTATCACAGTGCATCCAACTAAAGGCAGCATCGAGCTGTGATAAAAAAAAAAAACATGGGACACTCCAGTTTCACATGCTAATACATTGTACTATGCTCAACATGGACATGCATACATTCCTGTCTGTGAATGTATTTCTAATGATAGGTAAGACAAAATAATATGAGAAATTTAAAAATCCAAGTTACAGATCTATGCAGTTATAAATATAAATATACAGGTAAAGACTTACTTGTAGGGGCCCATTTTATGGGACAGACAGGCCTGTATGACTCCCAGTAGGGAGATGGCAGCAAGAGCACATAGGCTATTGATGTCAATGAGCTCCCAGATTAGCCCCACACACAGTATACACTGCAAGGGAGAAATCCACACATAGTGGGCCATGCCCAAGCTCTGTAAAGCAAACACAATTTCAGATGAACTTTTGTCGCACCATGATGACATATATTACATTATTTGGAAACAGTTCAGGTCAGTACAATTGTTTCTTAGGAACAGTAACAGTTAGAGTAGCTGTGACATCACATCACAATATTCATACAAATGAACCACATGTCCACAAGTACATCTAGAACACAGGGCTGAGATATTAGTACAGCTGGACACTTTTACAGAATAGCCTTCCTAATGCAATTCATTCAGCTAATTAGTACTTTAAAGCCCACAGATAAAATGTAGATGTTAACTGAGTGGTTGTTTAAATCACACATCAGCAATGTTATGAAACAGATTATACTCCACCTCAGGAATATACTGGATCTCGAATTAAGTCTGCTGTCATTACTGAACAACAATAAGAAGCTGATTCATGCTTTTGTCTTCTCTTGTCTAGACTACTGCAATGCCCTATTTACTGGCTTACCTAAAAAGATTGACAGGACACGGCTTGCACAAAATGTGGATTCAAGAGTATCAACGTGTACAAGTAGAAGGGAGAACATCTCACATATTCTTGCATCATTTTACTGGTTGTCTGTTCCTTATAGAATTTAAGTTATTTTAATAGTTTTTAAAGCTATAAGATGTTGGCACTGACATACATTGCAGTGTCTGGCAGACTATAAAGCAAACTGGACCTTATGGTCATCAAATGGCTTACTGGCTATTCCTAAAGCCAAACATAAGAAAAGCTCTGAAACACAGACTTTTGTTTTCATGTTCCAAAGATCTGGAATTCTTTGCCTAGTCGTATCGGTCAGAACATCTGCTATTGCTAGATTTAAAAACATTGATTTGTGATTCTTTTATTTGCACATTTTTTGTGAAGTACATTGAGCTGCATTTCTTTTTTTGTGAGCAGTATTTCTTATTAAGAAAATGTAAATCCCAAAAACTATACAAACAAAAGCCTAAGATAAAAAAAGATGCACAAAAGCCCCTGTTTCTGTAATAAAATAACATTGATTAATATTAAATAGTAATAATTAAAAAGAGTAATAATAATATTTTTTACTATACTCACATTAATAAAGGAATTACAAGGATTTGTAAGGACGTTAGCACTTTGATAATATCTATGTATGAAAGGTCCTGTATGATATTATTAGCAGTAGTAGTCAGTATTATTATTATTATTATTGCTTTGATTATCATGGGCCATGAAGCTTAGAAATAGTCATGTATGGTTTTCCACCAATGATCAAATATGATGGTCATATGACAGAACACAGTAAGAACAGAGAAAATGGTATGCAGTACAAGTTTTTACAAATGTTTACAAGTCTAGGGCAAAGCAAGCTTTGACTTGACTTAAATACTGCCCTCAATATCTACAGGAAATTAATTTACCAAATGCACCTACATCAGCTCCCGAGTGGTATACCTGGGCAAGAAAGTTAGTGTTCTACTGCTGGGACCTGACTTTGATTTCCAAGGATGCTATAGCCATCATGGCCAGGAGTCCAAGAAATATCCAGCCAACAGCGTCCTGTGGGCAGTGTCCTGTGACCACTGATGAAGGACTAGAGGATGACACATACAAACTGTGCAGCAGCAGATGAGCTATTGTCTCTCACTTTACATCTACAAGGTGCACTGGCAAGGCAGGAGTGTCTAATAGAGTAGACAGTGAGCAGACATAGTGTTTAAAAACTCCAGCAGCACTGCCGTGTCTGATCCACTCATACGAGCACAACACACACTAAAAGTGTCACTGCAGTGCTGAGAAAGACCAACCACCAAATAATACCCGGTCTGTGGTGGTGCTCTGGGGGTCCTGACCATTGAAGAACAGGGTGAAAGGTAACAAAGTATGCAGAGAAACAGATGAACTACAGTCTGTAATTGTAGAACTACAAAGTGCACCTATATGATAAGTGGAGCTGACAAAATAGACAATGAGTGTAGATACAAGAAGGTGCACCTAATGAAGTGACAGTTTGGTGTACATCTAAGAGGTGTGAAGTATATAACTGCTGTCGGAACAAAACTTTGTTTTTTTCAAAATAGTAACTTTACAAGAGAAAGAAAAAATATTCTTAACTTATATCATAGAAGTTAAAGTAACCAAAAACTAAATTTGGACCATTTCTATTGGGCCATTCATCATGAACTGTTAACTCAATGCAAAGGGTAAGCTTTCAAATTATGCAAAAAAAGTACAGAACATCAGAAACGGGAATACAAGGTTTTTGTGTGACACCGACAATATATGGTGTCGCTCAAGTTTCTTTTATTCTTGCATTCTTGGACTCCTGGCAATGATGGCAATAGCAGTGCGGCGATAACATTTAATAAAACAGAAATCGTCCTACTTCAGTTCACCTTGGACAACAAACACACTCATGATGCACTTGCCTAGCACCTAACTGCGAGATTCAGTCTGCACACAAATATATTCACATACAAACCAGTGAGGGCTGGTGTGAGTGATCACTCAGCAAGAGGGGGACACATTACTCTACAAACAGTGGCACTCAGATCACATTCTCTATCTCACAAGGGGAATGGCACGACTTTTCGCTCCTTCACAGCCCACACAAAAAAGGCAGAACTCACATATGTTCTCTGTAACGAAAAGTCCTTTACGCCCGCCACATTTTATACAGGTGATAATTGCCTCTGAGCACTTGCAAAGCGTTATAACATTCAGCACCCTGGCTCAAGCTCCCTGAAGGGTTCCAAAGTTCAGCCTTTCTCTCCTCTGTTGCCTCACACTTAGGGTGATGCCCACACGCCATTGTAGAATCAGATATGAAATATCATACTTAGTGACTTTCAGACTGAGACTTGTAGAGATGTGTGTTAGCGTATTCATGTTAAAAAGGTAACTTCAGTTTAAACACTTGTGAGTGTTATGGGTAGGTGTGCAGATACAGTCAAACAAAAGAAAAGTACTTGCCTGATCAAACTTGCCCAAGTTGGCAGACATAAGGCTGACCAGCTGCCCCGTGCTGATTTTGTCCAGAACTCGACTGGACAGTTTCAGCGTCTGGGTTCAAGATGAAGAAAAACTTAATCAACCATAAATTAACAACATAAATATCTAACCACAAATATCTAACAACACAACAAAACTCAGTATGTAACTCAGCCTGACTCAGTACAAAAGAATTAGGACAAGAGAGGACAAGAAGTAATTCAAGAACAAGAGAAGATAAGAATAGCTGGCAGCTCACCTTTTTGTAGATTAAACTGAAGAGGGCAATGCGGATCTGCATGCCCAGGTGGTGCAGCCCAAACATGGCAGGCTGCAGCAGGAGGAAACGGGCAATGAACAGCAGGCCCAGGCCAAGAGCCAGGAAGTAGCCCTGCTCCCGCTCCGGCTCGTGGAAGGGGTCGAATGAGGCAATGATTCGGCCCAAGAGCTGTGGTTGCACAGATTTCGTGGCTTCCTGCACAAGAAGTATGGTAAAGTGAGACCGGCTTCTACACAGTAATCTAATTCAATAAAAGACAATAATGGTACACTTACAGGGGAAGGTTAAAGCATTCTTATATGTAAGTTAATGGAGCGAGTCATTTAGGATCGTTTGCACTGGTCCATCTGTCATGGAACGTTTACACAATGTAAAGGCCAGCTGACATTTTTAAATGGTGTCAAATTAAAAAAGTGAAAAAAATTAACTTCTAAGTTTTGATATGACAGTGACAATATGTGCATTTTCTGATAATTAAAAAGTTCTTAAAAGTTTGTGATTGTTCAATAATGCTGCGCACGAAGCACACTGAATATATCTTGATATGTTTCTGTAATAAACAATTAAGGTATGGCACACACCAGGTTTTTGCACACAAGGTATATCTCATGACTTTTTCAGCAGAAGAACCATATGCCCATCTGATCTATTCTACCAGAATACAACATTAATATATGATCAGTGCTAGAATGTGCCCTTTACCAAGAACAATAACGTCAGGAGTATTACTGTTGGTGGTTACGTAAGAGGCAGGAGCTTTCCCTCTAAGCTAAGGACACTGCAAGAGTCACACTACACTGTAAACTGCACTAAGAATCACCCGACTACACTGCTGTAATGCCAATTAACCAGCAAACAGCACAGCACAAGCTAACAATCACAATATGCAATACAAATCTGATAGATTTTGTCTATTTTGTTCCTGTGCATGCAGAAACATAGCTCTTTGTTGCCACATGCAGAAGTCCTTTCATGCCAGAGATTGAGTAAGAAACAGAGAGATGAACACATGCAGCTACAGACACTTACCCCCAAGTAGAGGAGGATTCCAAATAACAGAAAAGGCCGAATGAAGCATCGGGAAAGCGCTCGGAGGAGACTGGGCTTTTTCTTTGCAGAGATAACTTCTCTGTCCCATTCCCTGTATATGAGAGATGGGAAGTTCAAAAGCAACAGTTAAACATCCCTCCACATCCTCCTATCCACAGTAAACACGGCATGGCCCACATTGTTCAGGACACTCGTGAATAACCAGGGTGATTTAGCGAACTTATTAAACGAGGTAAAGAGACCCTGACAAGCCAGGGGAAATAGGGAGACTGCTCCAAGCACTTAATTGTATAAAAAGTTCAAATTCCCAGAAGACCAGCATGTTTGAGGACTAAAAATACTGCCACTATCCATCACTCACCAGGGGCCTGGCACTTTAAAAGGTCGCGTTTGATGCCCGTTAAAGGGGCATTGGCACCCCAACCCAAGCAAATGCATTGTAGGCTATGTGAAACATGGCATGTTAGGGCCTTTACTGGAAGAAGCAGGTGGCATTTACCCAGAAACAACACATTAACACTGTGACTCAAAGGTGTGACATTTAGACCTGCATGCGTAACAGGACCCTCAAAACCTCAGGGAGACAAAACAAGAGCAGGAACGATGCGTCCTGTTAGGAGCTTCTCTCAGTGTAAATATGGTTGTGTGAAAAAATGCTATGTTTAAGATTCGAGTCATTCTTCCAGACCATCCTCTCCCCATTACTGAATGAAAAAGCACACTTTGCATTAACCCCTTAAATGGCCAGGCCTGAAGTTTTGTTACACACGTCTATAACCTAAGAATAGCTCAATCAGTTTGCACTGAAGTCCCTGTAGTTACTGAATTTAGTATTTAATAAGTCTGAGATTTTTAGGGGTTGAACACTGCAACAAATAATAGAGCAATATTAAATAAAATACCATTGTTTATGATCTGACTGTCTTACTAGCTTTATCTAGAGAGATTAGAGAGCATTACTCATAAAAGTGCAGACTTACTAATAAACAACTCTTATCTCATCTGTGGCTAATCAATAATTTTATTCATTAGTGCAAGCTCTATGAAGTAGACAAAGAAGGGTGTGAAAAAGTTACAAACTTCTCTAGCCGTTCTGCAAGCACGTCTGCTGTGTCTTGAGATGGAGCTTGATATACATCTGCTGGCCTCAGTTTCTCCCTGAAACCCTTTCGCATAATAGGGCTCGTCCACCTGCAAAAAGGTCAGAACATAACTCAGAAGACCACAGTCATCTTAGCTTTGGATGTTGTGACTCAACACATCTACAGACCACAACCTGCAGCTTTTGTTAACTCTGTGGCCAACAGACATGTATCTAACATCTAATTTTGTACGCTAAATCCATTACATGCTTATTTTCTTCATCTATTCAAAGGGGTGGGTAGTAACTAGTTGTACTTACTCAGTTGCACATGTTGAAGGAAATGTTTGATGGATTTGTACTTACCTGTGTATTTTCAAATGCTAATTCTTCTCATTTTACTCAAGTATATCTGTGAGGAAGGTAATATACTTTTTACTCAGTTTTAGCCACTTGCTTAATTACTGATTCATTCCTGGGTATAGTTTCATGATGCTACACTGGTCATTTTTTATTGCTTTATTTTAGACCAAAAGGATCACAAAGAGAAGAACAGCACCAAACAAACTAGGTTAGTGGCAGGCAATATGACAGTATTCACTGTTATTGAGATAAATTATGTCACAGTATGTGTTTCTGAGCATATCATAGAGATCTTCAGTACTGAACGAACACTGAACAACTGAATGTTTAATTAAAAAGAGAATCAGCTCTGTTTATCTGGATTTAGTGCAGCGCAGTAATGAAACACCGAATAAAAAAATAACAGTAATCATAGTATTTGATAGCATGTTTCAGATGTGGCAATACAGGTTCATTTTTGTCTTTTCTAACTTATTAAACCCACAAAAACTGAAATATTATGATACACATTGTGCATTGTGAAAATGTATCATGATGTAATTTTTTCTGCCTTATCGCCCACCCTCAGATTGAATCCTATGCTGATAGAAGCTGGATGTACTAAGTAGGGCTTGGCAATATGACAGTATTTATCATTATTGTAATAAATTACTCCACAATATGTCACAATATGCTTTTCGGAGGATGTTGTGAACATTGTGATTTTTAAAACCACTCCCCAACTGCATGTTTAATTAAAAACATAGCATAACTAGTCCTGTTTAATCAGATTTAATGAAATGTTGAATAAAAATAATTGCATTGTAGTAATCATTGCATAATTGCGTGGTTTTTCATATTATTTTTTAAAATGTGGCACTACTTTTTTCTGACAACTTATTAGATGTCAGAAGAAAATATTGTATCATATCGTGTATCGTGAAAACTTTTTAAAGTATCCTGATATTACATTTTTGCCATATCGCCCACCTCTAGCACTAAGCAGTTCTTCAAGTCACTCAGTTACTCTTTGACCTGGTCCTTCTGTCCTGTTAGTTGTCTTTTGAAAGGTCCTTTTAGTCAGTATTTTAATGATGAGGTAACTACTTTTATACTCGAGTTTGGGTTTAGGCTTCTCTACCCACCTCTGACGAACGCATATAGGAGCTACAGGCTGACAGGAAACAGTTTTCGAGGCGCTGTATGTGGTGAAGCGTTTGATGCTAAAATGAGTTAAAAAGTGACTCCGATGTTTCACAGCACAGCAAACAACAGCAGTAACCTTAGTCCAGCTAGCCTGTAATTCGTCCTAAGCACATTTTCTTTTTATAGACTGACTCTTAAAAATAACTATCAGTTTCCTCAGTGTGCGGAATATTCCAGCAGCTCCTTACCAGAAAAAGTATCTGGAGAGGAAATTGGCCTCATCCACAGGTGACTTGTTCATGCTAGCCGAGCCCCGGCGCGGGAAGCTGCTCTCCGCTCACATCTGCTTTGCCTTCAACACTCCTCCACACACTCACTCACACTGCGGGGTCCCCGACACCGGCCACCGTCGCGAGGTCCCCCTGCCCCCCGCCTCAGGTCTCTCTCTCGCTCTCTCTGTTTCTATCTCTCACTCTCTCTCTCTCGTGTGTCCGCCTGGCGCCCTGCTTGAAGCGGCGCGAGCCGCACTCTGTCCGCGTTGCACTGCGCGAGCTCCCCTGTGGGCACGACGCTCTCGCGCGCCCTGGCTTTTAAACACAAGCAGCTCACGTGCGGCGCGGTGAGGAGACACGACAGATAAACAGAAAAACACGCGGAGGAGCGGTGGGGTGGAGATCTGACCGAGGAGCAATGATTCAGACTTGATTCAGATTTATTTCACTGAATATAAGCGGTTCATTACCCTTATATTCACAAATAAACAAATAAACGAATCTTACACAGCCTGCATTCACTATATGAACCGTTTCACATCTGTAGGGAGCATTTATTCCTGAAGCACCTTACAATTACTCCCAGGATACAGCTACAGACTGTATATTAATGGGTAAAAACGATGGCTCTTCAAGGGTTCTTTACAAAAGGCAATGGTTCTATTTAGAACCATGAGTCCTACCATTTCATGCCTAACACCGTAACAATTTCATAACTTTGTTGGTGCTATATAGAACCACATTCTCCATCAACCTGAAAAACCATTTCGCCATGTAAAAAAGAAATCTAAATAGAACCATGTTTACGAAAGAACCATTGAGGAACCAACTTTTTAAGCATGTAGTTTAACCTATCCTCATATTAAAGTAACACAGGCTCTCAGGTTCAGCATGGTTTTCTGAGGTTAAGATTCAATGCAATTTTAAATATTTGATGTGTTACAAATGTACAGATTCTACTTACATACCACACAGACTGGTTTGTCTCAAAAAAAAAACAAAAAAACAAACATTTTATTTAAGAACAAAAGACTGCAAAGTTCTTGTGTCTATAAACAATACAAAAATACAAAATACAAACATATAAAACAATACAATAGAAAATACAACAAAAGAATATACGAACATTCTCCTTCAAGCATATTGAGCTGTCCAATGATGTTGCATTAGTAGCAGTTCAAAAAGAAGCGGTGGAGCTTCACCTCTGAGGAAGACTTCACCCTCATAGTCTGGTAGTACTGTGTGATGGGGGAAACCTAGCTAATGGATAGAACTGACAAAGACTAAATTGAGGGGCAAACTGGGTAAAAATAAAAAATAACAACAAAAACTACAACCCCATTTCAAAAAAAGTTGGGAAGCTATGCCAAATGTAAATAAAAACAAAATGCAATGATGTGCAAATCATTTAAACCCTATATTTAATTGAAAATAGTACAAAGACAAAATACCAAGTGTTGAAACTGAGAAATGTTATTGTTTTTTGAAAAATATATGCCCATTTTGAGTTTGATGCCGACAACACGTTCCAAAAAGTTGGGACAGGGGCAACAAAAGGCTGGTAAAGTTGTGTAATGCTAAAAAACACCTGGTGGTTGGTTGGCAAAAGGTCAGTAACATGACTGGGTATAAAAAAAGCATCCAAGAGAGGCTGAGTCTTTCAGAAGTAAAGATGGGGAGGGGTTCACCACTCTGTGAAAGACTGCACAATCAAATAGTGCAACAATTCAAGAATAATGTTTCTCAACATAAAATAGCAAAGAACTTTTGCTTTCATCATCTATGGTATATAATATCATTAAAAGATTCAGAGAATCCAGAGAAATCTCTCTATGCAAGGGACAAGGCCAAAAACCAGTATTTGCCGGCCGTGGTCTTTGGGTCCTCAGGCGGCATATCATTAGACACAGACATAATTCTCTAGTGGAAATCACTGCATGGGATCAGGAACACTTCTGAAAACCACTATCTGTGAAAACAGTTCATCGCTGCATCCACAAATGCAAGTTAAAAGTCCAAAATGCAAAGAAGAAACCATATATAAACAGGATCCAGAAATGCTGCCACCTTCTCTGGGCCCAAGCTCATTTAAAATGGACTGAGGTGAAGTGGAAAAGTGTCCTGTGGTCCAACAAATCAAAATTTGAAATTCTTTTCTGGAAATCATGGATGCTGTGTCCTATGGGCTAAAGACCACCCAGCTTGTTATCAGTGCACAGTTCAAAAGCCAGTATTTATGATGGTTTAGGGGTGCATTAGTGCACATGGCACGGGTGATGTGCACATCTGTGAAGGCACCATTACTTATATATACATGTTTTGGCAACATGTGCTCCCATCCAGATGACATCTTTTTCAAGGAAGGCCTTGCTTATTTCAGCAAGACAATGCCAAACCACATTCTGCACATATGACAATAGCATTCCCCCCTATTAAAAGAGTCCAGGTGCTAAACTGGCCTGCCTGCAGTTCAGATCTGTCACCCACAGAAAACACTTACCAAATTATGAAATGAAAAATATGACAAAGGAGACCCTGAAATGTTGAGCAGCTGAAATCCTATATCAAACAAGAGTGGGAAAACATTTCACATTTCAAAACTACAGCAATTATTCTCCTCAGTTCCCAAACGCTTACAGAGTTGTCAAAAGAAGCGATGATGAAACACAGTGGTAAACATGCCCCCGTCCCAAATTTTTTGGAACGTGTTGCTGGCATCAAATTCAAAATGTTTCAAAAAACAATAAAATTTCTCAGTTTCAACATTTGATATGTTGTCTTTGTAGTATTTTCCTTTAAAAATATGGTTTACACGATTTGCATATCATTGCATTCTCTTTTTATTTACATTCTGCACAACATCCTAACTTTTTTGGAAATGGGGTTGTACACCAATCAGGCATAACATTATGACCACCTCCTTGTTTCTACGCTCATTGTCCATTTTATCAGCTCCACTTACTATATAGGTGCACTTTGTAGTTCTACAATTACAGACTGTAGTCCATCAGTTTCTCTGCATACTATGTTAGACAGCTTTTACCCTGTTCTTCAGTGGTCAGGACCCCCATGGACCCTCACAGAGCAGGTACTAATCGGGTGGTGGATCATTCTCAGCACTGCAGTAACACTGACGTGGTGGTGGTGTGTTAGTGTGTGTTTTGCTGGTATGAGTGGATCAGACACAACAGGCTGCTGGAGTTTTTAAACACTGTGTCCACTCACTGTCCACTCTATTAGACACTCCTACCTTGTCAGTCCACCTTGTAGATGTAAAGTGAGAGACAATAGCTCATCTGCTGCTGCACAGTTTGTTGGTCATCCTCTAGTCCTTTATCAGTGGTCACAGGACGCTGCCCACAGGACGCTGTTGGCTGGATGTTTTTGGTTGGTGGACTATTCTCAGTCCAGCAGTGACACTGAGGTGTTTAAAAACTCCAGCAGCACTGTTGTGTCTGATCCACTCGTACCAGCAAAACACACACTAGTGTTACTGCAGTGCTGAGAATGATCCACCACCCGATTAGTACCTGCTCTGTGAGGGTCCATGGGGGTCCTGACCACTGAAGAACAGGGTAAAAGGTGGCTAACATAGTATGCAGAGAAACAGATGGACTACAGTCTGTAATTGTAGAACTACAAAGTGCTGCACCTATATAGTAAGTGGAGCTGATAAAATGGACAATGTGCATAGAAACAAGGAGGTGGTCATAATGTTACGCCTGATCTGTGTATATCTTGAAACTCACACTGTGTGATATGATGTGTATTTGTGTAGCTGTGTAGTTCTTCATATGGAGTGTTTGAGTAGTTTGAGCATGATAACCTATTTAGCTCAACAGCACATTTTAAAATATAGTAGTTTTAAAGAAAAAAAATATCAGATCAGCATCAGTATCATGACTCAATAAGAAAGGTGACTTAGTATCTCAATATCAGTATTGTTATTCGATAAGAAAACATGGTATCGAGCCATCTCTACTTTTCATGCAGTGTTTTGAATATTCATTAAAAAACACTACTATATTGACTGTTACACCTTTATGGGTCAACTACTGTTCCATCAGTAACAGAAAAACATTTCCGGTTTTTATGCTGTAAGTGTGTAAGTGCATCTGAGTTTAAAGTCATACTGGTGATGTGCAGTCTGAGTGAATTATTTATCGTCCCACTGTCTGCTGCTGATGCACTCGAGATCTGTAATGGAATTTGGGATGATACAGGCAGTCACATGAAAACAACTGAGTGTCCTTGCTCAGTTCCATCTATTTAAACATTCAGAACTGTTCTGTTCAGTTCTATACAAAACCTTTCAACAGTGCAGGTGTGATCTTTGCTGGTGTCTCCTCAGAACTGACCACACCCTATAAAACAGGAATCATCATAAACTCCTGTTTCTGTATTGTATTGTTGACACAAAGTAATTATCTTATAAGACAGGGATATTCCAAAGGAAACAGCATTCAAGGAAGGAAATCAATTCCTGGAATATATCAATTCTTCTGACCAGAAATACTTTGAAGTCTGCTATAGGCTTATATTTTCCGTTTGGCATGAAAAAATGCTTTTTTAAATTGATGCAAGTTCTGAAACAACTCACACATCTCTCATTCCTTTTTGTTACTGGGTCTATCATCCTTTTCTGTCCAACAAAACCACTCCAGCTATAATGTGAATAGGTCATTATGATTGTAAAATGGTTAATTTAGGTGTTAACAACACACTATGGAGAAGTACAGCTAGATAAACCCTGTTTAGCTCCTAACCTAAGACTCCATATGACACAAACTTAATTGACAGGTAAAACACAAAAAAGAAAAAAAACTTTAATTTGACAGCTTGTGAAGGAACAGTTCGATGTAAAATCATATTTATGCAATTTTCAGTCAGCCACAACAAAGTGATTGTTCAAAGTGACAAAGTGAAAATTCAGTTGTGCACTGCAGCATTGAGGACAATATAATAAAAGTCCACATCATCGGCAACACTGCAAGCTACATTAGCCTCATAGCTTAAGTGCAAAACTAAATATGCTACTTTTGGGTTAAGGGATAACTGTCAGTGATTTTGCAGTGAATTATACTTTAAATGACCTTGACAGATTTACAAATAAAATAAACATAAATACTGTAGTGTGTTTGAGAAATGTTTATGTATGTTTATACTAGGTTTGTTCTCCAGTAGTTATTCTCTGAGTTTATTTTGTTGAGGACTCTTATTCTGTAGGGCAGGGCTAACAGTCGGTCAGTTGGACCTGGAAGCGAGAGAGTGCAGACGTGAGCTGAGTGTGGAGCTAGCTGTTAACCAAAAGCCTTGCTTAATGCACGGTGTGGCTGTGGCCAACTACAGCCCTTTAATAAAGCACAATGCCTTGTACATAAGCTTTGTCTGCTTTAATAGTGGAAACGCTAACGGTAAGCCTCGATGGGAGAGTTCAGACTATTCGGATGCTAACAGCTAAGCTAAGCTACAAAGCTAAGAAGAGAGATGGAGAACTGTTTGTGTAACAATTGAGGAAGACAATGGCAAGTTTGTGTTTTCAAGAGCAACGGGGGGCGAATCATACTGCCCGAAAGAGCCGTGAGAGAGCAGAGATGGGGAAAGAAGAGTCAAGCTTGGCAGCACCGGCTAGCCCAGAGGCCAGCCACCATTTAACAGCATTTAGCAGGCAGTCCTGCAGTCTGAGCTGAGGAGGGGTCACCACTGGCGTGGGAGGAAGTGATGACAGAACTGATCCGAGGGTTGGCCATGACCACAGCCTGACAGCCAGTGACGCGAGGCCGCCACTGCTGGACATGCGTCCGGCGGGCAGATCTGGCTAAGTCCTGTCCACTGGCAACACCTGCAGCCACACTGCCCATTGCACAGAACTTCCGTTAATGCCGGACGCGTAGCCAGCCACTCATCTGGCTAAGGCTTGTCCTTTTGGGGTTAGTCAGTGGGAACGAATGCTGGCCTAAAAAAAGAAAGGCACAGGCAGTGAACAAACAGTGGCCGTGGTGGGGCGAACGTCCACAACAGACTTCATGTTTCCACTGATATTGAAGGAGTTCCATGCACTGCTCCAACGGACACTGGGTCATCAGTCACAGTGGCCTGGCTAGAAGTGGTGACTTCTGGCCAGATTTAGTCTGGATACCTGAAGTCCAGGACATGCATTCTAGGCCTAAACTTTTTGAGAAGCAGCAGTTGCCAAATGAACCTAAAGGGGCCACACTGTGAGAGTGGCCATGCGGTGACAATCAAGCCACTGGTTGCCCAGTGCATAACAGACCACACAGCACCTATTTGTTGCAAACTGTTTAATGTGTATTATCATTATTATCTTTACTGTGCATCCGGTAAGTTCATCGGCCTCTCTAGCTTCATGACCTCGTAGTTAAGTTAGTATATCGAGACTGATGTTTCTGTATTAAAGCTGTGCCAAGCACTGGTTTTGCAATCTAACGTTAACTCTGCCAGAATCTCGCGACAACTTTCAAATCTCCTTCTGCCTGGACCCGCCTCACGCGGCCCAAAATTACAGCTCTGCCATTTTTACGAACGCAAGAGCAGCTTTTGTTAAAATCTGTTTCTATTAATTGCATAATTAGTCAAACTGTGTATACTTCTACAGTTCAGCTTTCGATTTCGTTAACTCATCTCATAAAGGCTTACAGCTTTTATTCCGTATGTAACAAAGAATGCAGTGCACTTCCTGTCTCTGTCGTGTTTTCATCTAAATAAAAATTGATGAAAAACAGACTCGGATTTAACGTGATTGGGAACTAAACAAGACGTGACGTTAGACCTGTATTGGACTGACTGCCTTCATGGAGACACACTGAGTTGTCTTCAACTGAGTGTCGTTAATTTCACATGCAAAATTCAGAGAAATGTTACATCTGTTACACCCCGAACGCAGCGACTTTTGCCGTGGTTCTAGGTACAGTCTTTCCAGCTCCTCCCCCGACTACAACCGGCTACTCTCGCCAACTATCAAACAAGGCGAGGCGCAGTTCAACTTGAACAAGGCCCGTGTTAAATGAAGATGCTAAATAGTGTCGACTACGGCTTTCCTGCTGGTGATGAGAGTGATGGAAGTAGTGGCGAATGGGACACGGGATATTCCAGTTATACCAAGAGTCCAGATTCTGAGGTTGTGTTACATTTAAAATGATGTATCTGTCAATTTTGTGCCAACCACTGACCTAAATAGCTAGCAGGTTAACCAAGCTAGATTAGGTAGCTAAGCTAGCTAGCTAGCTAACGAGCTTCACTCAGACGGTTAGCGTAACGGCCGAGCTAGCTAGTGGCGCTGTTTAAGTAACGCTAAATTAATCTTTTTTCTGTTGACAGTTTGGCCATATAAGCTGCTGCTGTGTAGTAAACCTTTAAGGCTTTTCCATGAGCATTTCCATGCTCCAGTGTGCTAAAATACTGGTATTTCTCACTGTTTTAGAAATACGGTGACTGTTACTCAAGAATTTTAGTCCAGCGTTAGTGGAGTGGTCAGTTAGCTAGTAGAAATATTGAACCAAATGAAATAGCAACAAATGAAAAACGAAGTTACTTAACCTGCATTTCAAACGCAAGACGTGTCTGTTGTTCAGTAGTAGCTAGTTATTTCGACACCTAACGTTTCCTCACCTTTACATTCACGTGTTCTTGTATTGCCTGAGCAATTGAGTATAAAGTTCTCTACGTCATGCCTATAGCAAGCTCGCGTTAGCTAGGAAGCTAACGTTAACTGCCAGGTTAGCTAGCTTTCAGGCGGCTTGATCGCAAAACACTGCATACCACCTCCTGGACCCTGTAGCTGGCAAGCTTAATATGAACTTTGGTTGCAGGGGTCGGGGTCGACTTTGCCCGGTGGTGACAACGTTTGTGCCTTGAAACGAGCCATCGCTGCAGGGAATGTCGAACTGGTTCAGCAACTTCTGGACAGTGGTTGGTATTTTCAGTTTTGCAGACTACAATATAATATATCCAAAAGTATTCAGACACCCATTCTAATTAGTGAATTCAGTTACTTTAAAGGGAGAGTCACTATTTGCGACATCTGTTGTAAGCATGCATACTTGCATCCCACAGTGGTGTCACAGCAGTCTATAAAGTGAGATTGGCTGGTTAAAGGATTAAGAAAACCCCTTCTGATGTATCTTGAAGGTGGGAGGGTGGATGTATGGGGATGGGCTGTTTTTAAATGTCTAAAGCTAAAGATGGCCTCTATTTTACTTTTTCCTCTGGTGAAAGTTAAAAAAAAAAAAGACTTGTCTCCCATATTATTTTGTTCAGTGACTGAGGTGGGAGGAACTTTTGAAAAACTACAACTGCACTGGGGTGGATTTTTGGGAAGGAGGCTGTTTTGCTTTTGTTTGATTAGCTGGTGAATTCAGAAGGAAGTCAGATAGCCAGCCCTATAACTGTAATAACTGTGTACAAATTATTACGATAGAGTGAATGAATTACTCAAATAACATAAATGACTCAGATGAGGAGGATGGCAAGCTAATGGCTAAAGTTAGCGAAGTAGCTACCTGGCTATCTGGATAACTAAGGGCTAAGGGATATAATGCCCCTCATACAGATTACTGCGTAAGGCCACAAATAACATATCAAATCAATTTTTAGGCTGTGACCCTTTAAGATGCAACAACTGCTGACGCAGGCTTTCTGTTGCGCACACAGCTTGTATAATTCATTAAAAAAATGCTAATAGATTACAAAACTTTGGAGCTGGACATGAGCCTAAGGTCACGATGGCTGGGATGAGTTGGAGTGGCATTTGTGATTCCGAACTATTCGTGTAATATCAGTACATGACCTCACTTATGGTCTTGTGGCTGAATCCAATCAAATCACCACAATGATGTTCCAACATGTAGTGTAAAGCTTCCCAGAGGAGTTTTACTACAACCGAGCAAAAGCACACCTCACCGTACTTTCATTATCAGTGTTTTTAATTAATTAATTAATCAGGTTTGCTTCTGCTTGAATTAAATGAAAATCTACAAGCATATTCGCTCTGCAGATATGATAGAATTCTATGTTCTTCTGTCAGGAATGGACGTGGAGACGCGACTGGGCTTTGGATGGACTCCACTTATGTGCGCCGTCCATGTGGCCCACTATGACCTGGCGCAACTGCTGCTGGACCGTGGTGCAAGTGCAAACTTCAGCAGAGGTAAAGCTCTCCGCTTGTCTATGATGTGTACTTGCCAGCCTCAAGGGTAAGGCATAGGTCTGTGTCTGTGGTGAATATGTGCTAACCCAGTAAGATCATGAAAATGAAAGTGTGGGTTTTGACTAAAATAAAGTGTTAATTACACTGAGAAATAAAATTACAGTGAAAAAAGGAGTATTTAGAAGGAAGACAAGTATAAAAAAGACTTTAAAAGAAATGCCATGGAACCTATTTAAATACTGTGCTGTTTTCTGCAATTTTTCTTAAGGTTTTTTTTTAAAGAAAGATCAAAGCAGTATCTTCTAAAGTCCTCTAAATTCAAAGCTTTGTCAGCTCTGACAGAGTGGTCTGACCATTTATATATGTTGGAGTTAATCCTGCAGTTATATAGGTAGCTTATTGACTGTAGAACAGTATAAGAAAGACAACATGCTTTGCTGACATGAGCTTGCGAGAGAAAACATAACCAGGAAATTGGAGTGGAAACCGGAGACTAAAGGACTATCTTTTAGATTCAGCTTGGGTTGCACCACAAAAATCATCAAACATAATGTAACACGTGATTTATCACTGTGAAATGTGCATCGCTAAATGAACAGATTTTTGAATAACTTTTGAGACTTAAACATTAGACTGTCAAAGTACCAGGAAGGAGGTGAGAGCTGTCACTTTGGCACTGCGTCAGATGGCCTTGCTGTGACTCCAGCCCTTTCTCTGGAGTTGTTGGAGATAATAGGATTTTTGTAACAGCCACAAGGAAGGAACCCTGCGATATCAAATCAAAAGAACACGGCTAGACTTAATCCTTTAGGGGGCGAGAGCTTGCTTTTCATTAATACTTTCTATGTTGAAGTAGGCCTATGCATATTCTTTTAATTTTAGTCCATGTGTCAGCAAAAAGATGGCAACCAAGCAGAGCTTTCTTCAGTGTGTTTCATCTGACATTACTTAATGGCTGTGACGCAAAAGAGGAACTATTGAAAACATGCGATTAATCTGCTGGTGTGTTTTCAGTTTACACGTCACATTTCTGTTTCTCCTAAAAATTGAACGCATCTGGAGGCCCCTGTGAAATAGGATGTTGGTGGTAGAGTGAGTGAAGTAATTTAGACAATTCCACCATATCCAGTGTGCGGAGTCTGGGACGGGGGGTGGTGGTGTTGATGGGCTGACTGGAGCTGCAGGCTTTGGAAGGAAATAATTAAATGTGAAAGCAGCCGCCGCTTCCTAGCTTCCTAGCCTGTGTTCCGCTTAGAAAGAGAAGAATGCAGAAGTGATTGATAACGCCAGTACACAGAGCGTGATGCTGGCGTCATTGCGTTGGCCCAACACCGGCGGTTTATTTATTTTCCTGCTTCACCGCAGACGCAACCAGACTGCGTCTGCATCCTAGCCTTAACCAGCAGTGCTCCTGTAGTCTAAACCCGCCTCTAATCACAGCAAATAAATCTGCAACATGACTGTGTCTACACACAACATCAACACCATGTCTCAATTACCTTAAAGAGTCACGTGGACAGATCTTTGGGCAAGTGTATCTTACTGTAACGAGAAGCCTTTGGAATGTGGTAATGTTGGCACAGTGCTGTAAGAGACTTACATGCACAATAATGCAGGAGTGACTGTGTGATTCTGTGATTGCATCTTGCTGTCATACTACATGCTGTTGCTAAATATACAGTCAGCTCCATAATTCTTAGCACCCTAGATGGGTTAAAAAGATAATGAAAAATGTATTTGTCTCTCTCTCTTTGCAAACACCACAGCAGTGAATCTTTTCCTATCATGCTTGATGAGATTTGAGAAAACAGAGCAAGCAGTCTGACACCACATCTCCAATATAGAATCTCCCCACGTCGCCCAGCTCACAGATTTTCAATATGGGTTTTGGTAAGTGGACTGGGATGACCATGTCAGAAGATTCTGTGGTCACTAAACCATTTTCTTTCTAGACAGTCCAAGTTTTAGCTTTTGGACAGAAGCAAACAGATTTAAATTTCTTGTATCTTAAAAGGTTCCCATGGCCTTTGAAAGAAAAACATCCCTAAAACATCATATATTCTCTACCGTACATAGGAGTGGATAGGAATTGGATATAAAATTCTTTTCTGTACAACCATCCTTCTTACAGCAAGCCCACCTTTAGTGTTTATTGCCAAAAAGTTCTGTTGTCTCATCTGACAATAGAACCTGCTTCCAGTCAAGTTCAAGTACTGTCTAGCGAACTCTAAGGCCTCTGAGCATGGAGGGTAACCATTCCAATGGTGTTTCCACGTGGACACGGTTCGACACGGAACACTAAAAAAATGGCTCAGCATGGTTTGTTTGGCACGGTTAGATAACCGTACTCGGGGCCACAGAACCGTTCAGCAGGATGATGTAATGATGTAGCTGTTCACTGAATGGTTCTACGTTTATATTGGTAGTGTGCCACAGCATCCTGCTGCGCTATTTCAAACCCGAAAGCAATCAAATAATTTCAGTTTGCTCAATTAAATGAAAGCAGTGCATGATTTTGAATCCACCGTTCAATAAACATTGACGCTTCAATCTGAGACCAATTTCTAAATGTTAAACGGGGCTGCTAACCAGAAGAGTGTCGCTGGTTAGCATTAGCTTAGCTAGCAAGCTGCCAGCACTGCTCACCACGGAACAGGTTCGATTCTGACTAACAAAAGCTTTACTAGCACAAATTTAGATGATAATGACTCATCTGAGGAAGCCAAGTCGAGCAGCTGATGTTAGAGGAACAGAACGCCAAAAATAAAGCTCTTTTCTGGTGTCTGAAGCTGGAGCCTCCTAGCTAAGCTAATGTTTGCCAGCTCCTTTCTCCTAGCTAACTTAGCTTAGCTAAAGAGAAAAAACTTATAACAGCGAAAGCAAAGTTGACTGATTGGTTTTGGGGTGACAGAAAGCTGAAATTGGACCTGTTCTGTAGTGTTTTAAGCTGTAGCCTGCTAGGCTAAGCTAATGCGAGTGCACTATGCCTCCCACCGCAGAAAGGGCTCGGTTCTAGCAAACTGATGATTGAAAACACCAGTTTAAAAGATAAAGACTCATATCTGAGGGCACAAATATGAATGACTGGTGTTGAAGTGACAGAAATGATAATGTGGCTACAGGTAAAACCCACCGCAGTACAATCTGTTTCAGTAACAAAATGCTCAAATCCCACCCGTTTAGCGGATAAACAAGATGAAAGCACACCAAGAGACTGGAGTTGGAGTGACAGACGGAATCAAACGTGTTTTGGGGTGGGTGGTATTGGGCTGGCATTGTTAGCAGTTAGCCATTTGAATGTGTAGTTTTCTTGGGTATTTCCTGGTTCTGGTTTAGTGGTACAACAAATGGAAACAGAAATCGTAACCAGTCTTACAACTATAGACCAGTGCGGAACAGCCCAGTACGGCCCTGAGAACCATTTGGCTCGATAGTGGAAAACGGCCTAAGTGCTTATGGTTTTTATTAGACGCAAGAAATGACTTTCTTTTGGCATGCCTTTCATGTAGTTTGTTGAAATGCAGGTGGTACTTAATTGTAGTTTTGGAGACTTTGGTGCCCCTAAAATGCTAGCATCTTTTGCAGATCTCTTGGAGAAATTTTTCACTCACAATGTTCACTACAGCTCCGGTTGTTTCAACCTCTTAAATATTGCCCTCCTGGTGGATGTAGGCATTTTCAAGCATTCAACTGTATATTTGTATGCATTTATATGTAAACTTAGCTGTTTGCTTTTTTTTCTCTTTTCTTGTCTCTTGGACCCAGATAATTATACTGTGTTGATGGCTGCATGCACAGCAAACTCTGCTACTGAGGAGAAAATCGCCAAATGTGTAGCTCTACTGCTGAGTCGCAATGCTGACCCAAACATCTACAGCAGGTAACATACAAGTGCATGCTCTGACAGCATGTTTTGTCAAAAGACAGGGGTTTGAGACAGACAGGTGTGTCAGTTTATTAATTGAGGGCACTGATAAGTAAAAAGGTACTTTTCACTTATCACTGGGGTCATAATGTGAAGTGAAATCCACTTTACATTATGACTCCACATGTGACTTCAGACAAGCATGAAACCAAAACGTCCACTCTTGATTCACAAGAGCTTATAGTGAGTGCTCTTACAAATCTCCAAATAGTAACATTGGTTAGATAATATTGGAAGCAAGGTGGTGATAGTGTGCTTGTGTTGCACTCAGGGATAGTAAGTATCTTTCAGGCCACCCCCAGCTGCTTATCATCTGCTTCCAAAGCTGTGCACATGACCCAATGTCAACAAGCATGTTTCTCAATTGACTGGTAAGAAAGTGATTGTATCCTGTCCAGACAAAATATTTGAAGAACAGTAACAAGATCCAGAGGGAAGTGGGTAAGTGATGGGTGTTGTCAAACACTGACCCTCTCCCCAAACTTCAGAAGACTTTGCACTTGTCTGGCATTTTGCAACAGCTGCATTTCCATAATGAGTCTGGTAAACAAAATGTTGTGTGCTTGCAACAGTATTGACATGCTGCATGCCTGCATTATTTCCTGTAGAGTTTTTTTCCAAGTGGTAGAGATCTGTAGTCCTGAGGAACAGAGGCAAGCATGAAGCTTGGGTTGATTTTGTTCACCGGTGTACATATTCATGTTCTCGCAGTAAGTGTTCAATAAAGCTAAATAATATCAGAATCATATAGATATTCGCGGTTATTTGGGCTCAAAAATGATCAACATTGTACAGATGTTTTCTGTAGTAAAATGTCTGGATTTTCATTATTTTATTAAGTTTGTAGCCCTATGGAAGAGTGTTACATTTCTCTGTTCAATTTTTACGTTTTAAAATTTTTCATGTATTGGCATCGATAAAGGCATCGGCAGATGTATACATGAAAAATGTCAGCTATCTGCATTGGCCCAAAATTGTGTGTACTGCACGAAACATAGAGTTCATGAAGATGAAGAGATTTTCTAAGTGACTGTGGTGTGTTACAAATACAGTAGGATTTACCATTTTTGAATTATGGAGTTCTTTTTCAAATCTGACTTTGAATAATGATCATCAAGTCACATATCTTTAGAATCTTTGAGTTATTTATTTTTTTTTATTAACACATTTTTAATGGAGTGAAACACGTTTAAAGGAGCTGAGCGCAGTACATTCTTACAACTCCGCACTAGGATTAAATGAAAAAGTAAATTGTAAACATATTAACTCCTAGATCACCCCCGAATTGTCAATTGTCAATTTCTGGCCAGAGGATGCTGTTGACTGGATATAGTTTGCTTGGTGGACTATTCTCAGTCCAGCAGTGATATTGAGGTGTTTTAAAACTCCAGCAGCACTTAAAAGAACCTGATAAAACGAACAACAAGTGTAAATATAAGGTGGGTTTAACTTCTAAAGTGGCCATTGAATGTATTTTTACAGGTCATATACTACAGATTAGGCAAAATCAAGAAAGCAGATAGCAAAGCAAGCTACTTTCAGCCATTTAACTATTCAGCCTGGGTCTTGTTCCTTCTTTCCCATGGTACTCTCCATCTCTCAGTCTATCCAGTCCTTTACCTGCTCTTCTCACTCCACTCCTTCTGTGCATCTGTCTACAGGTCTCTACAGGTCTTTCCTCTTGTCTTCCTTCTCTGTCCAGTGCAGTGAGCCCTGTGTTACAATTTAATGTTACAAATGATCAGTCTGACCATCCATCCATCCATCCATCCATCCATCCATCATCTAAACCGCTTATCCTTCTGACCAGCAGAATGTATTTGTCTTTTTAGATATCCCTTCTGTTATTAAAGTATTTCCTTTAATAAATATTAGAGTAAACATTTACTATTGTAAAATAGATTGCTACTTTTTCAAGTGTCTGTCTCATGTTGATTTGTTAGAAATAGACGAACGTCAGATAGACGAATCCCAGAACAGCGAAAGTTACTATGAATATCCTGTAATCCTATAAACAAGCAACTTGACTATCAGAGGTGATTTATGATGGCTTTGCTTATGAAGGTGTTAGTAGGTCATTAGATGATTAGGGATAGGGCTGTCTTCTTTCCCTAAAACTGGGTTATTTGGGTCAGATGCCTTGATTCAAGCTCAGGTGACTTAGTCCCTTACTTAGTAGATTGTTGTAAATCACTTGGTTAAAAAAGCAGAAATACTTGCACTATACTTGTCCAGAGGTATGTGGACACCCCTCCAAATTATTGAATTCTGGTGTTTCAGCCACACCCTTTGCTAACAGGTGAATAAAATCAAGAACTTAACTTTGCAATCCCCATAGGCAAACATTGGCTGTAGAATATGTAATACCGATAAGAGCTCTTGACTTTAAACGTGGCACTGTCATAGGATGCCACCCTAGCCACATGAGTTTGTCAAATTTCTGTTCTGCTAGATCTGCCCCAGTCAGCTCTAGGTGCTATAATTGTGACATAGAAGTGTCTAGAACAACAACAGCTCAACTACAAAGCATTAGACAATGGAAACTCACAGGGTGGGGCCGCTGAGTGCTGAAGCGCATAGCGCCTGTCCTCTGTTGCTTCACTCACCATAGAGTTCCAGACTGCCTCTGGAAGCATCATCAGCAAAAGAACTACATGTAGGGAGCTCAGGAAATGAGTTTTCATGATCGAACAGCTGCACATAAGCCTAAGATCAAAATATGCAATGCCAAGCGTCATCTGGAGTGGTGTAAAGCATGCTGCCACTGGACTCTGGAGCAGTAGAAACATGCTCTTGGGAGTGAATCATGCTTTACTATTTGGCGGTCTGATGGACAAATCTGGGTTTGGCAGATGCCAGGAGAAGGCTACCTACCAGCATGCATAGTGCCAACAGTAAAGTTTGGTGGAGGAGAGATAAAGGTCTGGGATTGTTTTTAAGTGTTTGGGCCCCATAGGGTTAAGTAGCCTAACTTACTCCTGCTATTTCATTTTCTACAGACTATATTATTATCTTTATTGTTGAGACAATGATTTTCAGCTGTAGTAGTCTTTAGAGATAGCTCAGTGTTTTTATAACCAAACAGATTTGTCATTTGGGATATTGTGTGTTCATCTTAGAAAAAATTTATGTAACTTGCTTAGTTTTGGTTGCCTATTATTGCCTAAAAGTAATCCTTTTATACTTGTGTAATCTCAGCACTCTCCTGTTCTATTAAAGCAGGAAGCCCCACCCTGTTAAATGCTGAGGCTGAAGTCAGCAAATACCACACAAACCTAAGCGTGTACCTGAAAAGTCTTGCTGCATAAGCTTTCTTGAGGGTAAAGTCCACTAAATTCCTTTTGCCTTCACATTTGGTTAGACTAGATGTAACTAGCTATAGTTGTAAATTTCTTTCCTTTGAAGTGGTACACACACTAATTTTACAAGGCTATTCTGCATTATTTTGATCATTTTCAATCGAAGGTGCATACACTGATAGTGCATGCTGTCTGTTATTAATGATTATAGCACTTTGGAGTGAAATATTGCTTTATGGTGCTGAGGTTCATCACACTACGGAATTTTGCAGTACTACATTTAAACACATATGGGCTAATTAGCTCAGTGGTGTCAATGATATTTTCTGAAGGTATTAAATGTTGTTTTGTCTTAATGGAATGTATGTGTTTCTTTCACTTCCTGCTTCACTCTTGTTCTACAGTAGATTAAGAGTAATGTTTTAATTACAGTTATGCTGCTATTCTTATCATGTTGTTCCTCTGTAGAGGGAAGAGCAAATAATAAAAACAGCTCCAGGAAACACTTAGTTTAAAGTTCAGCTGATAACGTTGAGTTTTGCTTATACATAAATATCTTAATAATTCATATATTTTAGAGGTGTTTAACCTGTAATCCGGGATACAGTGTTGAATTCAAAGAGAAATTTAATGTCTAATTTTTATAATTTACATTTTCTCATCCCATGCACCCACATTGTCACTTATACAACCACTGTAGCCCCTTCACAATACCAGTTTTCATGCTTGGACCATTTAGATTCCACACTGACAAAAACAAGGAAAGGATAAGTGACTTTAAGGAAACACGGCCCTAGTATTAGTCTGTTGTTGTTGTTGTTGTTGTTGTTGTTAGCTTTGTGATCAAGAATATTGCACTACTGTGGCTGTCATTTCTGGAATTTATCCTCATAATTAAACTAGGACATCATTCTCTCTTCTCTTAAGTCATAGAGTGACCATTGAACAGACAAATAAGGGTAGGTACATGCAATGAATAAGGGCACTAATTCATTATAGTTCTTCTTCGTTGAACTTATTTGTTTTTCTTAGTTGAGCTTGAACACTTGTGTCCATTCAGTAGCCATATTCTCCAAATGTTTAACACGATACTAAACAGAGGTTTGTTGGCCTACACACAAAATAGTCCAACTTCCACAAAACACTAAATAAACACCACAAATTTAGAATGTGATTTAGAAGTATAAGAAATCAGAGTGGAATGTTTTATTTTCTACTGGGTAGTTTTACCTGAAATACATTTCATTGCAATGCACTACATAACCAAGCAAAAACATCCCCAACCAAACACAAAATGATTTCATGCAAAATATTCTGAAACAAAATGCCTGCTTCTTTTTTTGGTGGAAGGCGACATTATCTCAGATGACACCAAACTGTAGGCCTCAGTATTTGTCAGTAGAGGGCTATACTGTATCGAGGGTGCCAAGCAGGAGGCCTTGGCATATGTACCATTATGAACTGAATTTTTTGCTGAAATTTAGACAGTTTTAGGCCATGCCATCAAGCATGGCTTGTCCTTGACAGAAAGTGTACAAAAGAAACATAAGTTGACATACTGTAACATACATTTTTCAAAATCCCAATAGGTAAGTCTGTTTGAATCATCTCTATACAACAACCTACTTATCTTTCAAATGGGAGAATCTTTCTTTAGCCTGCAGTTTATCATCATTTGGGACACTGTTTTTTCACATTTCTCACCTTTTTTTTCAAGAGTATAGGAAAAAGCAAAAATGTTTCTGAATATTGTGAATAAAATCCTTATGTATTTTTTCTGCTTTGCTGAGAAAGTGACTGAAGTTTTGTTAAATGTGTTATAGCAATCAAGAAAGTCTTATTCTTCAGATACATCAGAGAAATTGTTAAGATTATTATTGGATATTATTGAAACACAAACTGAATTCAGTAATATGATATAACATCATCTTGTCCGTAAGCATTAGTAAACTCAGCCAAAGCTGTACGGTCTCAAAAAATCATCTTCATCAGTGCTGTTAAAGATGAATAGCCAACATCAAATAAAATACTCCCCTAACTGTAGAGCTTTGCTTCCAGATTTTTTTGGTTATCTACCCACACAAGCAATTGACCTTAGTGTAATTCTGATTATCAAGGTTAATAATTTCTAATTTATTTTTGTTGTGTTGCGCACTGTGAATGAATCATTATATTCATATTCTCTGTCTACATCCTCCAGTGAGGTATTAGTCACCATTACCTTCCCAAAAGGTGGATTATCGCCCGTACAGTGTTTGCCTTGTATTAGATTTGATTATATCGATTTAGCAAACTTCCTGATTGTTGTAGCGTCACCTTCAAAGGAGGACACCCTGGGAAAAGGTGCACTGGAGCCATCACACATTTGTCACCCGATTTGTCACTGAGGAGGAAGTGCGTACCTGGCTGCAAGATAGTGTCATGTTGACGAATAATGGTGCTGTCCCTCACCTCTATGTGACGTAGATCTTAGTTCTGAGGTTTGCAGACCTCTTGTCTGGGGAAATGTCAGTTAAAGTGATGAATTACTTGAAAGCGTTCCCATAGACCACTTCTACATCACACACAGACCTCACCTTGCTGTGTAATGTTTGATGAGAGGTTCTGCTTTTCATTGTAGTCCCATAAATATTAGTCAGATGCTGATTTCAGTGACCACACACTGGGAATCTCTAGGCTTCTCACAATTCAAATAGATTTTATTTCAGGCTACTAAGATGCATCTTAATAGCCTACATTAGATTTGTTCGCTGTCATTAACTAAGAATAAATGTGCTGTTCAGCTGAATTAGTTCAAACTGCAGTCCCACAGTAAAAAAAAAAAACGAAAAGAAAAGCATTTAATTATTATTATTTACAATTATTATTTACAAGGATAATTTTATGATTTATGTAAACCCAGAGCATTAAGAGAGATGGTATTAAGCTAAGTGTATTCAAAATCTTAATTTATATGGTATTTTCTATTGGGAGGTGTCTTTTCCAATCCTAACCCCTAAATTTCAACTTGTGAAAATAATTCTTAGTTTACTTCAGTAAGTACTTTCCTAAGGTGGTTGTATACAGCTGTGTTGTTATGTAGGGTTATGTTTACTACATTTCAGGACTTCTATTTTATGTACATGAGCATTGTGACTAATTTGTGACTATAAATGTATGTTAATAAGATCCTATAGGGTATTTTTCCTCATTCAAGCCAGACTGTGCCAAAGTAACCTGCTTTCTCTGGCTGTGCATGAATTTTTCATACAGCGGGATAAATGCAAAGGGTATATAAAATCTGATTGTTTTCTTGTAAATTTATTTCAGAATCTTTCAAGAGAAAATTGTAATGCATCAAAGAACCAATTATTTTTCCCACCCAAAATACTTTCCTAGTGATAAAAGAGAGAAGCCCAGAAATTGTTGTACTTTTTTTCCCCCGTTTTTTTTTTAAAAGGAATATCAATTCACTCTATATCATCCTCCCTGTTTGCTTTATATGGAACTTAAGCATTGACTGTCTCTAGTACAATTGAATATGATCTTTTTTTTTTAATAACTGAATAAAGGTTTTTAAGATTGTTGAACGGGTTAACGATCTCAAACGTTTCCACAGTATGTTCTCCACCTTGCGAGAGTTTTATTTAGTTTAACAGTCTTCTTCAAACATCAAAACTGTTTGCTGTAAGTGTTCATAGATTACTTTTGTGTTAAATCATGCTTGACTGTAATAGAAGACTTAATCCATGTACTTCTTGCTTTGGAATACTATGTATGTAATGTACAGGCAAACTCAATAGAGGGTTAAAGTGGGAGACTGCCATTCTGACTTGACTGCCTCTCACCCATGGATGCTTGATGTGCCCTAAACCTGCTTTTCGTCCTTGTCCAGGAGCCGCATGACGTGTCTGATGCTGGCAGCCAGGGACGACTACTGTCAGGTGATCAATCTCCTGGTATCCCACGGAGCAGAGTTGGACTTTCAGGATGACAATGGCCACACAGTAAGTCAAAAAGTAATGTATTTCCTCACATAAACAGGAGTGTTTTCTATTTAACATTTGAAATATTTTTAGATGTTACCATCACAACTTTACCAGGCCCGTTGGTAAAGTAAGACCTTTCTAGAACAGTGAAATGCATGCTAGGGCTTGAAGTTAATATAAGGACAACTTGGCACTGTTTTGGAATGTGGTATAGCTGTAGTTGGAAATAAGCCAAATGGAACATTGTTATTGTACCCAACAGCACAGTGCATTTAATGAATAATACAGAAAACCTGTACTTTTTACTTTTCTTGTATTATAGAACTAGTCTTTTTATTCTCCTTAGGCCCGTCATCATTACAATTGCCTGATCATAATGATTTTAGGTTGACCGAAATTATTTTCCATGTTTGTTTGCCACAGTTTGTCGCAATGTGAAATCATATGTGCACATGGCAAAAACTGAATGGCCCTTATTCAAAGCAGCAACGTAGTAATGACGTAGAAACTACTTTGCGTCTGATTCATGAAACTTTCATATGACGATTTGAGTGCAAATGATGAATCGGCTTCAGTGCCCAGAATCAAGCTTCTGCCCCATGAGTACCTAATTTAAATATCTTTTACATGAAGTACTCCCTAATTCATACAGGTCTTCCAGTAGGGAGCCAATAAAACAACAGCAGTCAGCGTGAGCCAGTGGCTATGCTTCTAGGTGGAGGTCGAGCAGTGAGTGCACTTCGACCCCTACTGACCAGACATTAGTGTAAAAATTATGACAGCTGAAAAGAATAAATTGTCAAATAAACAAACGTCAGAGTGTTTTTGTTAAGACTGTAGAATGATGTGATTGTAGTGTGATTTTGTAGTAAAATAATATATGTAAATGCTGTTATTCCAATGTATGAGATGCTTCTGCACAAGCTGTGTTTAGCTTTTTTGGGTGGTGTCAGTAGTATAAAACAAAAAGCACAGTGTGAAATATGGAGTAATTGCCTTTGTTTACACCATTGTGCATGTAAAATAAGTACATTCATGTTTGTATAGGATTGTTGAGTGCATAAATCATTAGTATTATTGTTATTTTCTGTTTTTATACTTATTTTTGGCATTATAGATGATATTTGTAATAGTTTTGGTTAGTTAAATCAACTAGTTTTCAGGTTGTTAAACTGTTACACTCAGATTTATACACACTAATACTAGTAGTGAATTTGATCATACAGATATGCCAAAAATGAAATTGATGAATAACAAAACTGTGAAATTTCAATATGGTCATGTTATGATCACATTTGATCATATGCAACTTTGATAAAATTGGGCCAGTGTGATGTGGGTGCATTTTATTGAGTTGGTTTTGGGCATATACATATAATATAGAAAAATATATAAATTATGAATGTATAAAAATATATATTAAAATGCATTGTGGGTTTTACAACAAAGTTTTAACTTAAAGTTCTAACTTGTGGCTGGTACTTTAGGGGGCAGCGGTGAGTAATGCTCATTTGAGCTTAAGCTGTGTCTGTTGTCCATATTGACGGCAAGCGAACAAGATATGGACAAAAGTACTGGGACACACCTCTTAAATACTGAATTCAGGTGTTTCCTTCAGTCCCATTGCCACAGATGCATAAAACAAAGTATTAGACATGCAGTCTGCCTTTATAAACAAAAAATTGTATGGACTAACTCCATATTAATGCCTGTGGATTTAGAATGGGATGTCATAATAGCTCCTGTAGGTGTTCCAGTACTTTTGTCCATATAGCGTAGCTAATCATCCAATTCGGCCACTTTAGGCTTGCCATTATAATAGTTACATACAACGAATGAAAAGGACAAATTGTTAATTGCAATTAATTACATGGCAATTAATCGTCAGCTAAAATTTTATGATTCTGACGGGCCTAATTTTCTACTCTGAATTAAACATTTTAAAGGCCTGTATCTCAGTCAGTCTACCATGCACGAGTGGCCAAGTACAGTATCTCTTATGTCGGACAGCAGCTTTGGTAAGTGTGATCTGCCTTTGGTACACTTCAGAATTTTCTCTAGTAATCCAGGTATCCTGTTATTTCAGGCGCTCATGTTAGCTGTGCAGTATGGACATAAAGGAGCAGTTCTAAAACTGCTTCAGCTTGGAGCTGACAAGTCCATCAAAACCAAGGCAGGGAAGACAGCGGCTGACCTGGCCCAAGAGCTCAAACACCCTCAGGTATTTGACCTTTGGCCTTACGCCTTACTTCACCTCATCTGTCAAATGGGACTTAAACTTAGCAAGTCTTGTTTATAATACGAGTATCTTCATCAGACATCCAACACAAGAAGTACAGATATTTTATTTAACTAATTTTTAGGGAAGTCACATACGTTATGTATGTGGAGCAGTCTTGAATTTGAATTATTTGAGTATCTCACTCTTAGATGTATATTTGATATATTTGGAGTTTTGTGTCTTGGCTGGAAGCAATTAGATTACTATACATAAACACTGCAGTTATGTTTGAACTTGAAAAACAGTTGACTGTTCATTAAACCAATGTCTCAACAGATCTTCAGGATTCTTAACTCCTCAGGAGACTCCACTGATAACGGTGGAGTGCCGTCCAAAGCAGAAACACTGTTTAAATTCCTCAACCAAAACCCTGAATCTCTGTCTGTCTCAAAAGAGAGGTACAGTGAAGCCTAGTTCTGTCAGATTGTGGCTAAAGCTGTGATGCCCTCTAGTGGTGGTGGGAAAAGATGACACTGGATGGACTGTAAAATTGAGAGACTGAAAGCATGCTGTATTTGTTTCTCTGGTTTCTTGCAGTTCTGCTAAGCTTTGTGATATTGAACTTCTGCTGCATGGGCTGAACCTGGAGTACCTCTCTGATATTATGATGGTGAACAGATTTCTCACTACTTTGGCATAGAGGGCCTCAGTTGAGCTTTTAGTGTTCATCAGACTGAAGTACATTTACTTAAATAACTAATAATTTCCCAGTGACTCATTGTTAACCCTTTTTGTTCTGAGGTGAGAAAAATAAGTCAGTACACGGTATGAATATTTTCGTTTCTTTCACATTTTTTTGTCAGGAAAATGACATCACCTGGAGCTACTTGTTAACGATGGAAAAGGAGGACTTAGAAAAGGTATTTTTACAGTGAAAGACACATCACTGTCCAAATGCAGATTATAAAATATGTTGCCAGCAAAAAAGCTGAGCTTTTTCTAAAACAAATGTTTAAAACAAGCTGATAAACTCCTTTGGTGTGTCTGATATGTGGGTGGCCCCTCAAATTAAAGTTTCATGCCACACCTTGATAACATTCCATGAACTACCGTAAGCCGCAATGGCTCAGTGGTTTTGGAAGTGTCTGGGGCAAGTCCAACGCAAAGATCCGCTGTTATGCGGGCTTAATGATTGATGGAGTGTTGCGGTTATGGTGGTGGCTGAGGTACTCACTGTAATCAGACGGTCTCTTAAAGATGTTGCAACATGCTTTTCCAACTTATCCTTCCTGCAGCCCTTGGGAACTCAAAAAAGGTAGCTACCATCTTGGTTTATCTGCATTTTCGAGTTTCTAGTGTTTGGATTAAGGTCTCCTCAGATCAGTATTTTTAATGACGTCTTCCTTTCAAAAGACATTTTTATGTGTTGCATGATGCGGCCCATCAGTTTATAGATTTTGTTTTCTGAGCATAGAGACCATATTTATTCACTAATAGATATGCTCAGAAAAAAAGCATATAGAAAGGAATTCTTATGATGCTGATACTTTTTCTTTTTGTAATCAGAAAACCCAAACTGTGTGGGATAAATTAACACATGGAACACACTAGGATAATTCCAGTACTATTACAATACTATGTCACAATATAAATTACATTATTTAAATGTATTTAAATAACATGAACTAAATAAAGTGCTGTATTGAACACATCACTCTTTTTGTGTTTTTGTATAGATTGGAGTAAGAGACCCTGAGGACCAAAAGAAGGTTCTTAATGCCATTCAGGAGATGCACCTTGATAGAGTAGATGTGGACACATTGAATCAGCTTGACAACATAGATAGTGGGTAAGACTAACTGCATTAATATTTTGTGCTTTTGTTTGTTGTATACTAAGTGTATTATGTGCATCTGCATTATTAACTTCATCCAATCTTAGACATTCGGTAGCTGTCTTCAGTCTTGAAGGAAAAGGCCTGAACTTTATAACATCAAGCCAGATTCTCATTGTTTGAAGTGGAATGACACAGGGTTTCCTTTCAAGGCTGTCTTAATGGTTTAAGCTCTAGTAATGATTTGTAAAGTGAGGAATGAGCGAGTGCGTTTTCTTCATGCTTCATGTTTTGACTGATGGTTGTGAGCAGTTGGACCAACTGCCATGTCTTTACTTAATGAAGCTAATCAATCTGGGATTTTCTTTATTCAAACCTGAGGGTGTACAGTAAGGGCAGAGGGACATGCACTAAATTCTGTTTTTAAATCCTCTCTTGATAGGTAGTCTATAAACACACAGTAAAGGGATATAGAGTTACGGAGAAATTCATGGCGAGGGTTGGTTTCCTGGCTAATGGGATGTATGTAAACACGTGCTCCACCCTTTCAAGTTCATAAGGTACCTGTATGAGGAAGTTATTTCCTTGCAATAATTCACAGTACTTAATACTTTTAAATTGTTATTTTTTGATAAGTTGCAAGGATCAGAATTAGGTACAAAAAACGTACACTGATATCAGACCATAAAACAACACTTAGATAGTTGGAATTTTGGAATATCGCCTTGCCCCCTGTACACGTGCCCTGACTGTAAGAGGATGGATCTGCCTGTGGTGCCTGTTAGGACGGTGGCTCTTACCCAGCACTTAGTCCTCCTGCGAGAGCCTATCACTCATTCGGTCAAAGAAAAACTAACAAAGCAACGTTCAGAGCCCATCTCTCGTCTTAGGGAAGATAGTAACTCCACAGTGTCTGACAGTGTTTACCACAGCCTCTGACAGAGTGTTAGGAGAAGAAAACGGCTGCTTTGGGAAATACCCTGTTAAGATAACGCTATCAACATCGCTGGGTTTCTGTCAGCCATTACAGGGGTTTGACATTGTAAGTGATAGAAGAAGTGCTTCAAGAATGCTGTCACCAAATGAATGATGCTGTTTATCATTGACAAAATATTTGCATATGATTATTGTTTAATCAGGTCCCAAGAGAGGAGTTTTGTGCAAAATACTTCATGTGAAATGTTTGCTCACATCGCTGTTATCAAAATCTTATGTCTCCCTCGTAACACTTGGTGAGATTGAACCTTCAGTCAGGTTTTGCTAAAAGCTAAGTTACTTTTGTCCTTCAGGAGTGAAGAGCTATACAACTTTCTGATCAGCCTGAGGCAGCAGTGCTGTTACCTAACTGAGACGGTGCAGGATGTCATCAGCAGGTTCCCTCACAGCCCGTCTGAGGTGCATTTACACTCGCTCAAGATCTACTTTTCCCTTTTATCAACTAACATGCATCAGCCTTTATAGCCCATGTTATTTCTATATAATTCTTATACTGTAGTTTAGCAAAAAAGGAAGTGATACAACCAGGAAATTGTAATACAGCAGAAGCAAATATTCATAGGGAGTCTGCCAGACACGTAGAACAAAGCCTGTACAAGAAAAACACTGGAACTTGGGCATTGGTAATAAATAGCAGTAGCAATACCGTTTAGGAGCTTTTAAGCAGTTACCTATCTGATGATATGGTTCTGATATTTTTATGCATTCCTAAGCCAAGCAGACATGATGTCCTGTTTTAAATTATTAACCACAGTTTTGTATGTGCGACAACTATAACCCATGTCACAAAAAGTTAGAGCTGAACGTTGTGGCAAAAAATGTAATATCACATAATATCAGAAGTTTTCACGATACATATGTCACAATATTTATTTTTCTGGCTGGGTAGTTTGGAAGAGACAGTAGTAGTAGTAGTAGTGCAATATAAAAAAAAAAAATCTATAAAAAACTATGAATCCAGTTATTTGCATTTATCATTGCATATACTTTGCTGTGCTAAATCCAGTTAAACAGGACTAACTATGCTGTTTTGTGATCAATCATGCAAGTGGAAAGTGCTTTTAAGTACTGACAGTATTCACAATATGCTCAGAAAAGTTTGTTGTGACCTATTGTGATGTAATTTATCACAATAAATATTGTCATAGTGCCCTGCCCTAGAAAAAGATATGCCTTTTGCCATGTAGTTATGATTTATGTCCTGTAGTTTCTTTCCCTGCTAAGCAGCACTTTGATGAGCTGTCTTTGAAATGATATCTCTGACTAATTTTTACATACAGTTTTTTTAATGTAGATTTTTAAATACCTTTAAACTGGCTTGCTTACTACTCACTCACTCACTCATGTTCATCAGGCTAAAACTTCTCCATAACGGGGCACCATTAGCCTTCAAATAGCTTTTAATGTTACATAAGAGCAGTATTTCGCATCAGTGCTCTTGATATTGTCAAAAACGCTAAATTATTTTAAATTTAACAAAGAAATGTTACTGCTGGGGCATTGTCTTCTCTTTTTCTTTCCATAGTTTTTTCAAATGTGGCATGCCTGTATTGATAACTTACTGGCTGCCCCTAAAAATATTAAGAGCATTAAAATTAAAAGTTGAGTGCTTAACCAATATGACTGTGTACTTTTTGGATTGACAGCTCGTTCTGACTTGGGATCCAAAGAAGGAGGCTCAGGCCATTTGCACAGAGTTAGTGGCTCAGGCTGGAGACCTCCAAAAAGAAGTGACCTGTCTCAGGGACCTCCTCAGCAAGGTCAGTAACTTCCATATTTCTTTGTGCATTAGCTCTGCATTGAGAATCCACTGAAGACAGAGGCTGACAGCAGAAGCCTTCACAGCTCATAACTCAGAAGCAGTGCACAGTCTTTTGTAGAGAAGGGGAGCATGAAGGGTGGGCGCTTGGTGGAGGGCAGTCAGGGTGCCCTCCGTGTCAGGCTGGAATCTGACAGCAAATGGAGGCCATGTGGATAGACTGGCAGTGTGCCGAGAGGAGATGTGAGCTGATGTGGTTTATCTTATCTGCTAGTGCTCCCCAGGAAGACCACAGAGCATTTCTACAGATCTCATCAGTCTCACCACAGTGGGATAGACAAAAAACCAGCCTGAGGTTGAGTTAGTTGTTGCAAAACTTGGTGCTGCTGTGTTGATCCATCAAGAAAGAAGAAGTGGTCAGCAATATGATCAGAAATTGAAAAACATTGTTCAGTAAAGCATAAGAACTGACATAAAATACCTTGTTGTTGCCTGCTAACGTACATAAATGTATAATAATGTGCTATGGATATGAATCAGATTTCCTGTCTAATTAGTAAATTCACTTAGTTTAAGCTGCATCCTTTGCTTGTACAGGTGTTCGCACAGCTTGTATAATCTCCAGACAAAAGCGTTGCCAATAGAATTGGATGCTCTGGAGCAGCCAGACAGGAGCCTAAGGTGACCATGCCCATTGCTAGACGTCGGCTAGATGGGTCTAAAGCAGTGGAATTGCATTCTTTGGAGTGATGGAGCACCATTGAATACCTTTGAATACCCTCCTAACTATTATTACTACTACTACTATTAATATTAGTAGTATAATAATTTTGTAGGTAGTTTGACCAGAGGAGGATGGGTCCCCCCTTGTGAGCCTTGGTTCCTCCCAAGGTTTCTTCCCCAGCTCTGAGGGAGTTTTTCCTTGCCACTGTTGCCACTGGCTTGCTCACCTGGATGATTTACATTTCATGTTAAAACTTTGTCCTTAATGGATTTCTGTGAAGCTGCTTTGTGACAACATCAGTTGTAAAAAGCGCTATACAAATAAATTTGACTTGACTTTGAGATGAGTGGGAGTGGCACATGTCTGTAACATGTTTCAGAAACAGTTGGGACAGGAGCATGTTTACCACTGTGTTACATCATATTTCCTTTCAACAATATAATCATTTGGGGACTGAAGACTGCACAACCTTGCAGGGCCATCGTTTGCACGTTATAATGCACCACACATTTTTTCAGTGGGAGACCAGTCTGGACTGCAGACAGGCTATTCTAGCTCCCACACTACTTGATTACACAGCTATACTGTTTTAACATGCAGAATTTGGCTCACTGTTGTCACATTGAAATAAGCTTGGACGCCCCCGAAAAAGATGTTTTCTAGAAGCATATATTGCTCCAAAATGTGTATATATCTTTCAGTGTTAATGGTGCATTCTCAGATCTGCGAATTACCCGTGCCATAGGCACCGCTACACCGACATACCATGTCAAACCCTGGCTTTTGAGTTTTACACTCCAGATTTCTTGAATCTTTTGATGCTCTTATGAACTGTACAGGGTGACATACAGTTAGGCCCAGAAATATTTGGACAGTGACACAATCTTCATGATTTGGGCTCTGCATGCCACCACATTGGATTTGAAATGAAACAACTGAGATGCAATTGAAGTGTAGACTTTCAGGTTTAATTCAAGGGGTCGAACAAAAATATTGTATGAAACGTTTAGGAATTGCAACCATTTTTCTACAAAGCCTCCTTATTTCAGGGGCTCAAAAGTAATTGGAAAAATTAACTTTACCATAAATAAAATGTTCATTTTTAGTACTTTGTTGAGAATCCTTTGCAGGCAATGACTGCCTGAAGTCTCGAACCCATGGACATCACCAAACGCTGGGTTTCCTCCTTCGTGATGCTTTGCCAGGCCTTTACTGCAGCTGTCTTCAGTTGTTGCTTGTTTGTGGGTCTTTCTGCCTTAAGTTTTGTCTTAAGCAAGGGAAATGCATGCTCGATCGGGTTGAGATCTGGTGATTGACTTGGCCATTGCAGAATATTCCACTTCTTTGCCTTAAAAAAACTCCTGGGTTGCTTTCGCAGTATGTTTTGGGTCGTTGTCCATCTGTACTGTGAAGCGATGTCCAATCAACCTTGCTGCATTTGGTTGAATCTGAGCAGAAAGTATATCCCTGTACACTTCAGAATTCAACCAGCTGCTTCTGTCTTCTGTCACATCATCAATAAACACTAGTGACCCAGTGCCATTGGAAGCCATGCATGCCCATGCCATCACACTGCCTCCACCATGTTATACAGAGGATGTGGTGTGCTTTGGATCGTGAGCCGTTCCAAGCCTTCACCATACTTTCTTCTTCCCATCATTCTGGTACAGTTTGATCTTAGTTTCATCTGTCCAAAGAATGCTGTTCGAGAACTGCGCTGGCTTCTTTAGATGTTTTCTGACAAAGTCTAATCTGGCCTTTTTATTTTTGAGGCTGATTAATGGTTTGTACCTTCTGGTGAACCCTCTGTATTTGCTCTCATGAAGTCTTCTCTTTATGGTAGACTTAGATACTGATACACCTATTTCCTGGAGAGTGTTCTTCACTTGGTTGGATGTTGTGAAGGGGTTTTTCTTCACCATAGAAAGGATTCTGCGATCATCCACCACTGTCTTCCGTGGACGTCCAGGCCTTTTTGAGTTCCCAAGCTCACCAGTGCGCTCTTTTTTTTCCCCCAGTATATACCAAACTGTTGATTTGGCCACTCCTAACATTTCTGCTATCTCTCTGATGGATTTCTTCTTTTGTTGTCAGCCTAATGATGGTCTGTTTCACTTCCATTGAGCACTCCTTTGACCGCATGTTGTGGGTTCACAGCAACAGCTTCCAAATGTAAATGCCACACCTGGAATCAACTCCAGACCTTTTACCTGCTTAATTGATCATGGATTAACGAGGGAATAGCCCATGCAGCCCATGAAATAGCTTTTGAGATAATTGTCCTATTACCTTTGGTCCCTTGAAAAAGAGGCAGCTACATATTAAAGAGCTGTAATTCCTAAACCCTTCCTCCAATTAGGATGTGAGTACCCTCAAATTAAAGCTGAGTCTGCACTTTAAGCCCATGTTGATACAGTATACAACTGTATCTTGAATATGTTTTGGTAAACAGCTAAAATACCAAAACTTGTTACTGTCCAAATATTTCTGGGCCTAAGTGTACCAAAAATGCTTTCAATCACAAATTGAGGAATGTTGTTCTTGAACTGTCAGACTCCTCACTGATACATTCTTTGGAAATGTAGCAAGCTTCGACTCATTCTTTGTTTATAAAAAACTCAACCTTTCCTGGATGCTCCTTTTATACCCAAGCATGATTGCATCACCTGTTTAAGATGCATTTTGGACATTTCACAACTTAAATAGTCTTAAATTGTTGCGTCCCAATGGTTTTTGGAACTTTTTTCCAAACAAGCATGTATTTGTTAATGAAATGGTAAAACATTAAATATCTATTTTATGTATTATTTTCATATAAATACAAGTCAAAGTGAATTTACAGATCACTGCTTTCTGTTTTCATTTGCATTTCACTTACTGTCCCAGCTTTCCTGAAATTGAGAGCAGGAGAACAGTATGTGTCCCAGTATCTCCACCCATTTTTGTGCTGTCCTAAATTTTGTGCGATCTTTTCTCAAAGCATATGATGGATTTTATGTTTTTATTGCATTTCGCTCATACGCCAGTTTCATACTTCTCAAACACAGTGTGCATCTGACCCTGTGTGTAACTGATTATTTAACCTTATGATGCTGCTCTTTAGATGGATCCCACACAATACTCCTTCCAGCCTTCTCTGCCCAAGTCCCACACAAGCAAGAGGAGACGAGTCCTGACGAAGTTAGCTATGGGTGTGCTTGGGGCAGGTCTACTGCTACTGCTGTCAAGAAACTTCAAGGGCTACCCCTGAGAATTATTTTATGTTTGTCATTTGAGTTTTCTGTTTTAAGTTGTTGCCATCAGTGTTTTTCTTACATCTTGTGTTATTATATATTGTCTGTAATGATGATCAGGGTTTGAGCCTGTTAAAGCTGTATTGTGATGGCTCTATTTGTGTTAAAAATACAGTTGTTCAAGTGGATCATTTAAGCTTTTTGTTCTTCTTAAACCTTATACTGCATGTCAATAAAACTTTCAAGTTCACAACTCTTGCAATCACATATTATCCAACAGAGTTTAGTTATAATACTGATTTTCAGAAGTTACTGAGCCTACACAGAACTGAGAGACTGCATAGGGGCTGTTCAGAAAAGTTGTTGATAGCTTTTGAGATGTTTTTGTTTTGTGGAAAGTAGCAGAGAATGCACATACAAGCTGCTGTCTATGGTGCTGAAATGCATTTTTTATTGGTTAGCTTTATTTCCTTCACCCAGTGCCGTGCAATCAAGATGTGGTTTCTTGTTTTGGATTGCCAGGTATTTTAAAAAGCGATCCACATTTTTATTTAAAGCCAGTACATAATGTTCTCCAGTACAGGTTAAATAACCATTGAGGAAGTGATGTAGTTCAGCAAAAGTCAATTGAAACTCCTAATTAATTATGAATATTGATAATTCTTTGTGATTAAGTAATAATTGATTATGTTGTTGAACACAGCAAGAATATAAATCATTAAAATCGTGGATCTATTAAGTGCCTCCCCTTTGAGGGCACTATGCATTGCTTTAATGTTAGTGTTTCCTCATCATCTAATGCTTTCTGGTCTTCGTCCAACTCTTAGTGTAGTTTCAAATCAGTGCACTCTCTTTAAGCAAGTGAAATCAAACCGGTTGTCATGGTTTTGCTGGCCATTCTGTTGCCGAGTGCCATTGGCACCTTCATAGTGCCTGTCAGTACCTGGAGGTGACTCCATAAGTCTTTGGTCATTTTCTGATATTTTTCCAAAGTTCAAAAATGCGACAGACTAGAAATGTCTGCACTGACACTACTGTCAGAATTGGCTTTAAGTACATAGGAAATTACATCATCCACTTCCATAAGGAAGGGAAAACTCAATGTAAAAAGTGACGAAACAAGAATTTAAAAAAACTGGAAATCAAAGAATGATTAAAAAATACATAGAAAATGGAACTCCTACCAATCGTGCAAAACCTGGTAGACCACCAAACCTCAAAAGCATTCAACTTTGACAGAGGAGAAAATCAGGCTCCACTCTGGCTTCAGATCTGAAACAATCCACAGGTGTTTCTGTCCATCCTTCCACTGTGAGAGGACAACTTAATACTATGGCTCTGAAAGGTGTAGTGCAGCTGTGTAGAAAAGAAAATAGACAAAGAGGAAGAAAATTTACAGATTAAACAAAGAAGCTGCTGGTGTTCTCAGAACAATGGACTGACAACTACACAGTCCAGACATAAACATAATTAAGTGTGTTTACTTTGATCGTGACGAGGAAAATACAAGCAACTTAGAAGACTGGATGTTGAAGGTGTGGAGAAATATAGCTGCAGATTTATTTGAAAAACTGAAAGCAAGTTACCTGAATAGAAAGAAGGCTGTAATAAAGGCAACACTGATAGATTGAAGATTTTGATATTATATGTAATTATATAGGGGCCTCAGGCAGCACGGTGGCACAGTGGGTAGCGCTGTTGCCTCACAGCGAGAATGGCCTGGGTTTGATTCCCGGCCAGGCGACCAGGGTCGTTTTTGCGTGGAGGTTGCATGTTCTCCCCGTGTCTGCGTGGGTTTCCTCTGGGTACTCCGGTTTCTTCCCAAAGTCCAAAAATATGAAGTTAAGCTAATTGGACACGCTAAATTGCCCCTAGGTGTGAATGTGTATGTCTGTCTGTCTGCCCTGCGATGGACTGGCAACGTGTCCGGGTGTATCCTGCCTTCCGCCCAATGACAGCTGGGATAGGCTCCAGCACCCCACCGCGACCCAGAAGGATAAGCGGTTTAGATGATGTATGTATGTATATCGGGGCCTCTGTGTGATTTTCTCTTAAATACATGTTTTCTGTATTTTTTTCTGTTTCACCTAATAGCCAATTTGACTGGAAATTAAATAATTGAAGGGTGGTGCACAGTGCTGTATGACAAGTTGGGTTAGGCCTAGTTTGAGCATTCACTGTTTCACTCTTCTGGAATCTTATTCCAAAATAAGAGTCTGAATTTTAATGGCATTCTTCAGGAATGACTACAAGAATGATTTCCAATGTCCAGTCATACCCTTGAAAATAAAGGTTCCTAAACTTCGCATTATGTGTAGACTCTTTCATTAAAAGTGTCCTCCATCCTTCTTCCCATGCAAGAATTACAAAAACGGTTCTTTAAAGAGCCATTTATTGTAAGGCTGTTTAAAGAACACTTGTACATCAGTGGTCTGAAAACCCCTTTTTGGCCACATGCTGTACAAAGCACACAACACTGTAAAACAGGTGGAATTGAGACATCATACCATTAACCAGATGTGAGGGCGGAATGTGAAAATAAGTCTTATTGGACCTTTATAAGTGGCAGATTCAGTCATGTGCCCACTGTAGATTTATGTTCCCATGCAGAGTAGAGCAGCTTTATGTTGGGTGTTTTTGAAGTGGAAATGTGACAGAGTTGGTGTACATTTATAGAAGACAGTAGGTGGCCCAATAACCTACCCACTTCAACTAGTTTGATTATTGAAGACTACATACACCTTGGACTCAGAACTAATGTGAAGTTCTGATGTCAGTATGGCATGGTCAGCTAAGACCTGTGGTTAGAGTAGTAAAAGCCAGAGACATGCCGTCAGGGACTTCAAGGTCTTCAGTGGAGCCCCAGAATAAATTCTGGACCATTTAATAGATCTGAAAATAGGGCAATGACTACTCTATGCTCCCGTATCAAGGCTGTCTCTCTGTCTTCAGTGCATAGTGTGCAAATCCCATATGCAGCCTGTAGTCTTTACTCACCATTAAACGAGTAAGTAGGATACATGGTTGAACTTTACTTTCTCCAAGTTTTTATTACATTACCGCATTTTATTAGATTTCAAATGGGTTGTGGAATATGCTGCCACTTTTTATGTACCATATATGTGAAATGTTTTAGCCAGCTTAAAATACCTTCTTGTTGCTGGTGACTCATCTCATCTATAAAGCTACAAAACTCACAATGAAAGAATCTACCTTCTAGAATTTACTGCTTTCAGGAAAGAGCTTTAAAATAACTGATCTTATAATTAACAAGGACTACACTTTTCTTTTTAAGCATTATTTAGTAAAGGCAGTGGTTACATAGAACAGTGAACATTCAAAGAACCATTAGAATGTTCTTTGCATGGTTCAATGGTTCTTCTTTATGATGGATAACATGTATGTGGTTCTTTAACCCCTTGAACTCTCAGGGTTATTACACACTAAGCTTTATTATTCAGTAACTACAGGGACTTCAATGCAAACTGGCTGATCTATTTTTAGGTCATAGAAGTGTGTACTAAAACTTTTGGCCTGCCAGCCGGCCCTGGTTCTATAAGGGCTTAAAGAACCTTTTTGAAAAGGGTTCTGCTGTTTTTAAAGTCAAATAACCTTTTTGGTACTTTGTAGAATGTTTTTTTTCCCTCAAGAGTGTATGCAGTAGGACACTACACACTCTTGTACACTCAAAAATGGTTCTTCAAAGGTTCTTTTATTTAAGGCTCTATATAGAACCATGAACACTCAAAGAATCATTTGCATGCATGAATAGTTCTTTGCATGGTCAAATTGTTTTTAGCACCAAAAAGGGCTCCCCTATTGGTACACACTTAAAAAGATGGTTCCTCAAAGGTTCTTTAGTAAAGACAATGATTCTAGTTACAACCGTGAGCTCTACATAGAACTATTTCATGATTAAATGGTCCTTTGCATGGTGGAATGGTTCTTCAGATTGATGGAGAATATGTTTCTGTATAGAATCTAAAGGGGTTCTTCAAGCTCAACATCATAACAATAACAGAACCCTTTCTGATGCTATATAGAACCATTCTCCATCAACCTGAAAAACTATCTGTGTAGAGCTCATGGTTCTAACTAGAACCATAGCCTTTACTGAAGAACCCTTGAAGAGCCATTTTTTTATTTGTATATGAGTCAAAGAACCCTTTTTTGCTAAGAGTGTTGATTATGATTGTACTACAGGAATTTCACAGGATGTGAAAATATTATAGATTATTATTGTAATATTGTACAGCACTATAGAAAAATGTTATTGTATCATATTAATATATTACTGTAAATGTATTTTGCAAGATTTTACGTCATTTTATTTCATTTAAAGGCTAATCACACAAATCTGCTAAGTAAATCCTGCAAGTAATGGAAAAAGCTTAAAAGAATGTGCCAGTCAGTTCAGTTCTAGTGAACACATGCTAGTTTTAGAGTGATGCATGATCGCGGATTCTTCAGCGCCACAAAAGCTGTTGAAAAAAGCTTCCTTAGCGTGAACTTGGAGAGTTTATTCCTCCACAGTTGTCTAAAGGCTATATCCCACATATTTTTTTTTCTTTTTTTATTTTTTTTGAAGTCACACGGAAGGACGTCTCACGTTAGAGCACATTCTCCACTCGGCTGCTTGGACATCAGCCAGCCCGTGGCTGGTGTTAAGCCTGAACAGATACTCGCAGCCAGCTAATTTCTCCTCTTCATTCCTGAGGCAGGACTGCGCCCACCCCTTGTGGAAGCCCAGCTCAGCCTGATAGGAGAGCATCGCGCAGCTTCAGGCAGCAGATCTTCAGCACAGCGACTGACAGTCAGTCGGCTCTGCCTGCCGCGCGCTGCTCTCCGCACACGATGCTTTTACGGTGAGGAGCACTTTTTAGCAGCGCGTGTGGCCTCCGGCGCTTTTCTCAGCGGAGAGAGCAGAGCGGACAGACAGGCGGAGACTCCTCATCGGCATCACCTCTATATGAATCCTTCACTCTCCGCTTTTTATTAGAGCGAACACGGGCGCGAATGAGTGTATCAACACGGGCTTTGTAATATGAACTTTCTGCCAAGTGGAATATGTTTTTATCTGTCTGTAGCAGCCTGCTGGCTCACCTCAAGGGTCGACTCGTCTTGGTGGTGGGTATCACTGGCGGAGATGAGCAGATTCTCCACTGTTATGATGTTAAGTTTACTATTGACTTAATTATGGATTTTGTAATTATACATATTAGAAACGGGGCTGGATTTGGGTCTTTATTATGAGGCGTTGGATGACGGTAGATGCTGTACCAAAAATCATTACAGTTTCAGCTGGTGTGTTTTTTAGGAAATATTTGAAATGATTAAATTAATAAGTACTTTTTAGTATGAAAGAGTATAAAAGTGTCATTCACGGTCTACGACTTGCATGATATTACCATATTACTGTCGCATATGGCCTGAATTCACCCTTTGTTATACTTGGTATCGACTTATTGATAGCATTTTGACCTGATAAGTCACTTTACGTACAAACTGTATTTGTTAGGGTTGGATATTTTTTCAGAATTTTTTCTTCTTATAAAGTTAGAGACTGTTATTCAGTGACAGCTCTGTGTGTGGGACTCCGGTTTGGCTGTGCTGGAAACTGGAGATGTGAGAGATTCCCATCGCTCCCTTTCATCTCTCATGCAGGTACATGGGCACCCTCGGCTCGCAGGTGATGTGCGACAACATCCCCGGGCTGGTGAACAAACAGCGCCAGCTGTGCCGCCAGCATCCCCGCGTGATGCAGGCTGTCGGTGCCGGCGTTAAAGACTGGATCAGCGAGTGTCAGCACCAGTTCCGCAGCCACCGCTGGAACTGCAACACGGCCGAGCGAGACCACACGGTCTTCGGAAAACTGCTGCTCAGAGGTGGGTGCACAAGCTTTAGGCCTGTTTTTTCCTCCCCCACCCGTATTCAGACAAGCCCCGCCCCCCTGCTTAAAGATTGGCCAGTAACTCCTGTTCACAGTTTGCCGTCATGATTCGATGCAGATCTCTGAACTCGTTTTGACATTATGTGAACCGATATTAGGAACACCGGGTCTGGGCTGATGTCCTCCACAGGAAGAAACTGTGGCTGCCTGTAGTGAACAAAAATGTTCTGAACACTATACTTTTTGTCCTGTGTACATCTTTCCCTTCGCGTTTTCTCCGCGGGTCACTGGATCCTCTGAATTATATTTAGCAGTAAACGAATAATGCGACATACACAATACAAGCAAGCTGACAACCCTGCACGTTGAAATGATGTTTACAGAGCCCCGTCAGTGACATTGTGATCATTTTTTAGTAAGGCGTGGCAACAAATTAATATATTGAGCCCATAAAAATACATTTCTCATAACTTGTGGCCTTGAAATATTCATTTGTGGCCTCAAATTAAAAGTAAAGTAAGTCTACTATTAAGCAACGCTGTTAAATACCAACACCAACTACTAAAACTGTTAGCTACTGTTGCCAAAGCAACTTAACTAGCACGTTTGACAAAGCTTGTTGGTTTGTGTGGGGCACTTTGGTGAGGTTGCTAGTCTTATAATGTTAGCTCAGTGTGTGGCAGTGTTCGCTTGCATATAGCTATATTTATATTTTTACTTCTTAATAACCTTGTAATTCAGAGGATGCAGTGACATTTGAAGAAATAATGTACGTACAGAACAACTTTCTAGGTTCTAGGTTTAGAACATTACTGTTTACCGTAGCGTATGATAGTGGTTTTTGAGAACAGCACTCATTTTTCTCATAGAAAAATCCGCTTAGACCTGGAGTTCCTAATATGGGCGTGATACCGACAACAAAATGACATACAGTATGCAGGAACTGTCCTGCGCTGAGATTGGCTAGTAGTTTCCTAAATGCTGCTGTAAGTTTGGCTAGCAATTCATGCTTACAAGCAGTCCACCAATTGAAACAGCTTCTGACTACTTGTTTTTGTTTACAGTATTATAATATTATACATTTTCTAGTTTAATAAAATGATCCTAGTTCCACAGATGTGTTCACTATTTAAACAATGTACTTGGAATAAAATTTCTTTACGTTAATTTAGCTTTCAACATGCTTTTTCCTTCTCCTTTAAAGTTACCATTTTGTCAGTAAGACCATGAGCTAATATCTATCAGAATATTTTTCTAATATTATAAGACCAAAAAAAAATCATAACATTGAAAAATTTTGGCAGATGTTGTAATTGGTGGACTACTGTTGAGTATGAACTAGCCAGCCAATCCCAGTGACGGAGGGTAGAGCTTGTCAGAATACGGGTGGGGAAAAATACTTTTTTTTTTTTTTAAAAAAAAAGCTTGTGCTCTGAGATGAGTATAAAGCTCTGCCGTGGAGCTCAGCTCTCCAGATCGCCTCGAGTTAAAACTATTATACAGGGGATTCTCATGACTCTGCGCCTACAGTAAAATTCCTCACCCCAATCGGGTCATTCGCCTGTTACAAAAAGTAACACCTGATACAGCGGATTGAATTTCTTTTGTTTGCTCAACTAAACTATTGTTTTGAACACTGTATGTTGGTGCAATAATCTTAGATACTGTATACATAATGCCTTCACTATGATAGGTGCAGTTAGTCAGACACATAAATCTGAATAAAGCATGTTCAGCTGGCTGTGAGGCAAATCTCGCTGTGATTCTCAGTCACACACACTGTTTTGCAATGCGAATCCAAAGACACACACACGGTTCTCAAATATGGATCCAAAAGTGTGTAATAAATCTTGCTTGCGCCTATCGTGGAGCCTGTGAATTTTCTAGAATTTCTTTGCAGCTTGTCTCTGCAGACAAGCAGAAATGTCCAACACATGGCATGGGTTTAAGCGGTTCTCTCTCTATTCTCTCATCCTGTGTAAAATCATATTAATGGGAACATCCGCACAGGAACTCGGGGCCAGTCTCCCAGGCCACTTAGCTGGTCCACACATAAAAGTTAGGTTAAATCTCCGACTTTAATCTTCTTGCTTGGTATTCAGACCTCCCAGAAAGGCTCCCGACCCATCATGGGGCATTATGGGGAGGCCCTGATTGGCAGGATTTCTCTGTGGCACTGTGAGAATCTACTTATTGTCAATGTCAGTGCACTAATTTAGAACAATTGCAGGGATTTGGTGGCACGGATCCTCTCTTAGGCCTACAAAGCTCCCAAATGAAATGCTAAACCTCATAACCCCTGTCTCTGTTGAGCTGCCGCTCTGTGGAGTCGGCTGCTTTCGTTCTGACTCGCTCTCATGCACTCACAAAACATTAATGTTACTCTCCCTCTCTCTCTCTCTCTGACTTTCCTTCCCCCCTCCCTCTCTCACTTGCTTACACATAGAAACACTCTCACTTATACACATACCTCGTGAGAAGCACGTCCTTATCTCTTGGACTTAGAGAGTCTTTGATCCTAAAACAGAAAAAGAATACACTCCACATCACAGCATTGTTTTGAAGACAAACTGATAAAGAGGGAACATCACAGTGTTCTCCCAATCATCAAACGGTGCTCTCAAGCTTCTCTGCCTTTTGGTTAAGATCAAGTGTAGGGTTTGTTCTTATCTGGCACTAAAACTTGGCTTGGAGAAGAGAAGTGGGTGATAGACGGTGCTAGAGGTTTTCCATATTATACCTCATGCGTGTCATGTGTTTGAGTCTTGGTGGACTCATGTCTGTCTGTGAATGATCAGCGTTAAAATGATGGTTCAGCCAGAAATCAAATTCACACTCTCACCATTACCCCAAATATACATAATATACACTACTGTGCAAAAGTCTTAAGTGCTTACACACATTGTTTAAAAGCATTTATCTCAGTTATAAGGGTGTTTCTGCTTGTAGAAAAAGTAAAAAATAATAAGAATTTCATATTTTGAAAAAATAGTTTTGTGAGCTGTTTTGAAGAACAATTTGGTTTCAGATTTCTCCTTGACGCCCTCAGCCATCACCTGGATTTGTTTGATTCCAACACCAACACACCTGATTTAAATAATGTTGATTAGCCAAACCAGGTATTGGATAATAACTACAAATAGCACTGGGCTGCCACAAAGAAAGAAGTTTTGGAACTGGTTAACTAGACACATTAACACATGTAAAACCACTACTGACTGTAGTAATATTATTTGTATTTATTCTAATATATAATAAATTGTTTTTTATTCATACAATTTTTTGCACGGTACAGTATATAAGATTACTCGTCTAGTTTTGTGGCTATTGTAGCTAACAATTAAAGGAAGAATGTAGCCAGTAGTTAAAATCATGCAAACTGCATGTCTAAATCATCACACATTTGTCTCAAATTGTGTTGAGTTATTAAATAATCTCAGATAAACTTGTTTATGTCGGCTACCTACATGGGACAACACTTGCATAAGCGTTGAAGCTGTGTAGCAGCTTTTTTTTATAAGGCAATACTTGAATAGTTATTAACTGCCTATGCCAGTAATCACAAGATAACATAAGATCTGTTACGCTATAACGACGTTGTGTTGGCCTAAGCGATAGTGATAGTGATAGCACTATCACTTTAATTGAAGCGCGCTAATATATCAGTTCTGCAGAAGATTTTGATGACCCTCTAAGAGAAAATTTTGATGACCCCTAGAAATACCCTTGGTAAAATGTTACTTAAAGGCCAAAATTACTTGCTTAAAAATGTATATATCAAATATAAAACTTATGAGTTAATAAAGTTATTTTAAATTATTTTAATGAAAAAAATTCCACTAAGAAGACCTGTGTGGCATCTAACTGTTATACAAATGTGCAGACAAAATTCAGACTTTAAGACATTACTACTGATGTATTAAGCTGTGATTCTCTATTTTGTACGTAACAGTATATTATACAGTGCCAGAAACTACATAAGCAAGTCTCTCTGAGATTATTTAACAATGTGACTGGGTTTGAGGCAATTAAATGCTTATGCTTGTGTTTTAATGTAAGTATGTACGCAGCCTTCAAATAACATGTTATGGCTAACATTTCGATTACAGTATATCGTACAGTGTTAAAGCTGTCTAACACCAAACATGTCACACAATTAGATTTTTGATTGAACCTTCAAAAGTAGCTCATTAGAGGGATTATCTGATTCATGGTATCTCCTCTCTGCTTACTCTCAGGCAGTCGAGAGGCCGCCTTCGTGTACGCAGTTTCCTCGGCAGGCATGGTCCACACCCTGACCAGAGCCTGCAGTCAGGGAGAGCTGGACACCTGCTCGTGTGACCCAGGAAAGAAAGGTTCATCCCAAGATGCTAAAGGGTCCTTCGACTGGGGTGGCTGCAGCGACCATGTGGACCACGCCATTAAGTTCACCCAGGCATTCGTTGATGCCAAGGAGAGGAAGGAGAGGGATGCACGAGCGCTCATGAACCTACATAACAATCGTGCAGGAAGGAAGGTACATTTTTTTTGGTTTGTTTTACAGCAGTGCCTTACTTGTGTTTATTTTATAAGCAGGAGCTTTAGTAATTTGCACTTGTATTTATTTGTATTTAAACTGTCATTTTTCAACACATCCAACAAAGGCTACTAATGGCATGTAAATAGCATGAAAACATTTATTTTAGAATTTTAGTCACAACAAGTAACAAAATTATAAAGAAACAATAACCAGCTGCCATTTGAGAAAGAAACCTTTAAGACTTAACATTATTTCGGTGCCACTTTCTTTAACCCTGAGTCAGTGACCTGCTGTGACCTTCAACTTCAAACAAGAATCACTGCAATTTCAAACAAGACAGTGATTTTTATTCCACAAAAAAAAAAACTTACAATAATAATAATTATAGGCTTTATTTGTAGCACCGTTCATACACAATACATAGCTTGAAGTGCTTCACAGACAAAAATAGAAAATAAAATTTATATAAAAAAGAAATCATACAGAAATAGTGAGAATATGGGAAAATAACATTAAAGGAAGTGACTGTATAAACTCACTTAACTTCACAGTGACAAATATTGTGAAGCTCTTTTTCTAATTTTAGAATTTTTTTAAATTTTAGTGTTTTTTTTTACTGAAAGACAAACTATGTATTAAATTATAGGTTTAATCTTAAAATTATCTTAATTTCATATGAACTTTTCTATGTGAGTGGTGCTTTTGGTCACATGACCAGGGCCATTTAGTTCCACGATTGGTTTCACTGCGTTAGGTCTTCTCCCTCCACCACTAATCTAGAACCGCACACATCTTTTCCTTAATGCATCAGATCTGCCACAGTCTTTCTGGACTATCAGCAGTGCAGCAGAGCTGTGGTTGTATAAATGCCCGACTGGTTGGTAAACGACTTTACGTCACGGGAAACAGACAACCTTTCACTCTTCCCTCGTCCCATTATGAATGATATATTTTCTGTTCTTTAGGACCCCCAGCTGTTAACAGCAGGTGGCATACCTTGGTTTCAAACTTAGTTCCCAGTCAAATAGCTTACAACTACACATCTAAGCAGCTTTCATCAGAGCTGTGAGGAGGGTAGCTCCACATACCCCAAACACAAACTTACATACACAAACACAACGCTGCAGTCCTGTTTGGAAACAGCCAAGAGAAACAATGATCTAAGACCATGATTTCAGAGAAAAACACAATTGCAAAATCTGCCATCATAAGTGAGCTACACACGTTGTGGCCTCGCAAAATCCAAATATTCTCCCCCTTTGCTCTTTTACCCATTACCCAGGCAGTGAAGCGTTTCATGACCCTGGAATGTAAATGCCACGGCGTGAGCGGCTCCTGCAACGTGCGGACCTGCTGGCTGGCCGTGGGCGACTTCAGGCAGACAGGCGACTACCTGCGCAAGAAGTACAACAGCGCCGTCCAGGTGGTGATGAACCGCTATGGGACAGGCTTCACCAACGCCTACAGGAAGTTCAAGAAGCCCACTAAGAATGACCTGGTTTACTTTGAGGACTCACCCGACTACTGCATATGGGACCATGAATCTGGTGAGTGTGTCAGTTTAAGCAGTAGAAGGCCTGCAAAAGTCACTACAGCTGTGATCTGGGCACAGACACGAGCTGAAGTTTATGTATCGTAGCTGTGATGTTAATTGCAGTAATACAGTTTTGCAAAGTAAAGATTACATATATATTTTTAATATTGCCAATTACTTCCATCAAAAAAGTAGCTCCAGGAGCTTAGTGTAAAGCAACCGTTGTTGTTACATAGTAACTGGTGGTCAGTGGAATTATACAGGCAGTGTTGAGAAGGTTACTTTAAAATGTATTCCGGTATACCTATTGAATATATACTATGTTAAAGTAACATCGTAAGATTACTTTGGATTACTTCTTGAAAGTCATATAATTCAATAGAAATCAATTTAAAGGTCAATTTCAGTGTCTTTAAAGCTGCACTATGTAAGATTTTTTTTGTTAAAACTGATAGAAGTAGCATTACTGAGTCAGGAGGAAAAAAAAGCACACTGAAATATGGTGTGCGTGTGCTGTTGCTATTCACCCTGTAAAGCCTGAAATAATCATTTAAAAGTCAGAAGTGATGAGTCGATTTCGCGGGGATTTTTCAAACCATGTCATACATCTTTATGTAATAATGTCACATGCACAGACTCAAAAAGAACATTGAGCTCAATGTTTAGCGCTTCAAAACAAAATCAACATCATGCTGATGAAGATATGATGACAATAGTAGATCATTCACTTACATCCTCGGAAGACGTCCTTCACCAAGTTTTGACTGAGTTCTCTTTGAATACTCGTTCAGCGCAATCATCAGATTCATCCACTCGGGGAAGAGGTCCAAAGCACAACCAACGTTGCAAAATGTTCTTCCGCACATTGCGTACAATTACACATTTACACATAATCTCCAAAGCTATGCATGTTGAATGCGAGTTTATTTATTTATTTATTTAGAGGGATTTAGTCACGTTGTTTGCGCAATGGGGAAAAACAGGAGAATGTCTTGAAGTGTCATATCTTTTGCTCATTACAAAGACAAAGGGTGCCACTGAATTAGTTTCCATTTTGGAAAGGCAAAAGCAGCATGGAGAATTTCACCCCCTCATTCATAGAACTCACACTATCTGTAGCCCAGTTCAAGCTTGCTTTTGAAGATGCTAATACTATACAAGATAAAACAGAGAACAAACTCATCATTCTGATGTTTGTTAAAAGTTCTGTTTGCTGGGACACAACTGTCTGGTCAGCTTGGTTGTTACTAGGCCAGACACAGAGAACGGAAAAATCTAAAAGATTGTGAATAAAATACACAAAAATACACATAAAATGTCACAATGTTACTGCTAGTAATCACTGTAATATAATTATGTATCTGTAATCCGATTACTGACTTTTTTGTAACTGTAATGCAACACATTTAGTTTTTTGTGTTCGGATTACGTAATGCTGTCACATGTATTCTGTTACTACTCAACCCTGGATAAAACAAAAAAGCATGTTGTTATCAGATATAACAACACAGGTAGAACGTTTTTAACTGCACATTTTAGGTTTAATCTGTTCTCTTCTGTTCTCAGAAGTTGAGACAGAACGTGGCTTCCCAGCCTGTATCGCATGCCCCTGTTAGTCCCGGCTTGTTCCTCCATCGCCTGCACCTCCCACACTCCACTGACAATCTGTAAAGCATTAGTCTTGCCCCTGAACACAGAGCGAATGTAATCAGAGAATGGAAGCCATTTAGCAGGCTATTACATTCACAATAGTCATAACCCAATCTGTAACCTGAATGCAGTTGCTTGGCGTGCCCCCCAAGGCAGTAGACTATCTTCGTCTCTCTCTACTTTTTTTGTGCATGTGTGTTTGTATGCGTGAGCGTGTGTTTGTACTGAATAACACCAGGTGTACCTATGTGGGGGAATGGGAGGGGTAGGGGTGCCTGTCAGGCTACGGATGATCCTGGCTATCAGGTGACGCCGTGTTTAAGGCACATTACCACAGATCTGCGGACAGCACAGGAGCTGAAACACGATCCCTGGTCGCAACCGCTATAAATTACTCCCCTCGCCAGCACACCTCTCTGCTGTCTGCCCCGAACAGGCAGGAATATTTAGAGAGGTAGGTCATGTCTCATAGCTTCCCACAGGGTGGATGATGATCTCCTTGAAAGATTTTAAACCCTGTGTTTTTAACTTTTATGAACTGTGAATTATGTTTTCCCAACATAATAGCTGGCCATGTATGAATGATATGCAGGACTGAATGATATACTGGTATATAGAGAACTCTATGGAGCTATGGTCTGCATCACATTTATATAATTCGTATCATTTATATTGACCCCCACAGCCATGTAGCATATGTCTTGAGGTTTGTGTCCTGGACTATATGCCAGCAGGATTGTTTTGAGATGCCAGGGCCAAAGTGAAACGGTACAGTGCGTTAGCGTTGATCTCAGCGCAGTGCAGCGTGAGAAAGCCTTGGCGTAAAGGTTTGTTTAATGGCGGTCCCAGGAGGGCAGAAAGCTCTTCCCCCAAAAGTGTGAAATCAATTTCCAGCTTCCACCATGGCCCCCACATGCTAAACTCATCTCTTGGCACTCCCCTCATCTTAATTCAATAAGCAGACGCACCTCAGGTGGAGGCTGCCCATGATGTAACCAATATCGGCCCAGCATACCAGCCTGTTGGAGTACTGATGGAGCGACGGTGGGTGGGGGGGCGGCTGCTGGGTCATGCCCAGACACATGCCTGCCTGCTCACAATCGCGTGCAAGACACCAGCAGTGACATATCAGGGCTGGGGCTACCAGCAGAATGGAGCTCTTTTAACTAGGGTTGAAGGGTGGAGGGGCGGTGGGGGCATGGCTTCACCTTCAAAACATATTCATGATCCAACAATTATGGCTATAAATTTGATGGCTGAAGCCAGGTTACGCAAGAAGGCTGACATGAATCCCTTCTTGTGTGTCTGAAAAGGCCAACATCAGTGCCTTCACGGTCCAGATTGATTGTTTGCGTAGTGCAAGCCATCAGTCTGAGGGCCCTTGTGTACAAAGCCAAGGGGATTTTTCCCAGGGTGGCGCATGAAGGCTGGGGTTGATACAAGGTCTTTAACAATTTCGATATCAGCGGCCGATCAGCGCCGCGCCAGCCTTCAAGCCGGGTGGGGTTGTCTAGATTAGAGCTGTTGAAATGAGCACGCGATGAAGACTCACGGCAGTGGCTGATAGCTCCTATCATCAGTCCCTCATCTCATGAAGGACCAAGCGGTCATCCCCTTACCCCGGTGCAGACAGCCCTGCTGCTTCTTTGGGACAGCTACGCCTGGGGACCGCCAGACGTCTGCCAGACAACTATTGCAGACAGTTTAGCACATGGCTGCACATTGCAAGTAATTGTCCCAGCAGGTGCTGTATTAGTGACATCAGCTAATGAGATAATGTATAACTAAATGTGGTGGATGCAAATGCTTTAGTTGTATATCCACATTGTGTGTCTAAGAGAAGACGACATATACTGGGTCATATAAGCCCATATATGGAGCATTCTATCAAATTAATTAAACAAACTGTGGTTCCACAGTAAAAAAAGAAATCAGTATTCAGACCTTAGATATGTACTAGGATTATGTCACAGTCTATTTAAACATGAGGCATTAATTGATAGCTAAATATCAAAAAAATCATCATTCTTAGAATACTTGCTGTTTTGATTTGACTGTCCCAAATCGTAATGCCTAAATTTTATCTTGAGAAAATAGTACTTACATTTTTAAGATGTTTTTATTTCTTTTAAAGTGAAGTTAAAAGATTTAGATTTATCATGAGTTTCATTTTCCCACATTTTCATGTCACTACTGAAACACAAAGAGTTTTAGTCCAAAGGCGGAGCCTTATTTTAGCCACACTCTGCATTTTAGAGCAAGAAGTGAGACTGCATCCTTGTCCCTCATGGCCACATGCTGAGCAGTTACATCCCATTATTTTGAAGTAAATGTGCCTCTAAGTCTAAAAATCAGTGTGTAACATAAAAAATGGTCATTACTGAAACACATTTTCTGCAATTAAAGTAAACTTGTTTTGTGTTTTGGTAGTATTATGATTGTTTTAGTAGTGACAAAATTGAATCATTCAATCATTTGTTTTAATAAAATAAACATAATTAAAGTATAGACTCATTAAAAGCAAAAGAATTTTAGTCTAAAGTCCAAGTCAATCAAAAGTCCACGTGTTTTCAACTCTGACTTTGAACCAATTCAGTAGAATGATTCATACATACCCATTTTGTCTTTTATAAACATCTTGAAAGAATACAATTATACAACGATATTTACAGATTTAGGGAAGAACAAGGTCCTCCGTGAGTGAAAATCGCAGAAAAAATGTAGGCTCAAAGGGTTTGAAGGGCATAAAAAGGTCTTCCCTCCAACTACGAGTGAGATTTGCTGTCAACAGCAAATTAAAATATAAGCGTTCAAACGTTACAGCATTGCTGCAAGAGTTTCTGCCTCTTTCATCCCTCCAAAATTGGTTGAAATGGTTAGTGCTCGTGCTCAATCTGTCTGTCTCTTCTGTTGAAGGATCGGTGGGCACGGGCGGGCGCGTGTGCAACCGGACGTCGCGAGGAGCCGACAGCTGCGAGGTCATGTGCTGTGGCCGAGGCTACGACACGTCCCGCGTGAGCCGCACCACCAAGTGCGAATGCAAGTTCCACTGGTGCTGCGCCGTCCACTGCAGGGACTGCCATGAAGAGGTGGACGTCCACACCTGCAAAGCCCAGTCGTGACACTCATTACCATCTGCATCAGTTCCCAGGCATTAAATATGAGCCACTGTTCAAAAAGCTTCTGAGAGTAGCAGAACTGACCTAGGATCAGATTGTGTGACTGGCAGGATTGGAATGCAATATTATTCCCTTACCCCAAATCTATAAAGATAGAAAGGAAAAAATTAGCCTTCAGGAACTTAGAAAGCAGAAAGAAAGAAAGAGGAAAGTAGGAAGAAAGATTTACAGTTGTATGAAAAATGTTTGAACACCAAATTACATGTTTTGTTGATTTTTCTAAGTTAAAGTAACACATCTACAGCAGTAGAAATGATCCTGTGATCCTGGAGTGTCCTGCACATTTTAGTGTTTTCCCTGCTCCCAGCACCTGATTCAACTAATCCCCTTATTAACAGTCCCCTCCTGAGCTGAAGTGGGTGTGTGGGTGTGGATGGGTGTGTTGCACAAAAATGTGCAGGACAGGTTAGAAACCTGGGCTCTGCAGGGAACAAACTTAAATGTGGCATTTTTTCTGTAAATTTGAACACATAATTTCAGTTTATTTGCTGAGATTAACATGTTGGAAAAAATGAAAGATCAAATGTAAAATGTGCTGAAATGTTTGCACATGCCACATTTTATGTTTTTTTATATGTTAAATTTAGCAAATAAAAAAGCGCATTAAAATGTGCAGACGTGTCTCTATAGAGGATGTGTTAACTTACTTCCACTTAGAAAATAAGCAAAAAAATGGAATTTGAGCAGAGGTGCCAAAAGATTTGCTTATGACTGTATTTATTTATATTTTTACACAGTGTTGATAGAGACATACAGCTTACATTATTTGTTAGCTTCATTAGCCTTGTAGCTCCAGTGCAAAACTAAAGAAAAGAAAACTAAAAAAAGGGTAAGAGGTAAAATCGTGTACATTTGATTTTCTTTTTTTTTTTTGACAAATTGTTTCTTTAAACAGGGGTTACACAAGACTTTACGACCATCATAAGCGGAGGAGGAATCTGATCCTAGCTCAGCATTAATATACTTTATGAATCCCAGGACTGACCCTAAAGCCTTGAGCTGTGCGGTCAGTGAGAGACGAGGTGGAGGCCTCAAGCTCCTGATAGACCTAATAGCCAGCAACACTTAAATCCAAAAGACACAACTTCTATAAGAAAACTAGGTTTAAAGTCTTAGACTAGACATTCTTTGTACCATCTTTTGCTTGTTTCATTTCTACTATCATCATATTTATTAAGTCTTTGATTAAGATTGTTTATCTTCAATGCATTATATATGTTGAAATGTAAATAAAAACTATAATATGTAATTTAAAATAAAGCTTACATGTATATGTTAGGTGTCTCTGACAGGAGTGTCTGAAGTAAAGAGGTCGGCTCATTATAAGTATTTTCATATGTTACTTTCAGATATGGCACTTTCCATGAATAGAGTTCAAATAATGTCTCATTACTTTTTAAAAGCAATAAAGTGACTATTGTTTTTTTATTTCTGTAAAAAGTGAAGTGATCTGTACTTTAACTTAAAATAAAATTATTAAAAGTAGCATTTTAATGATTACAAAAAGCATAATGTTTGTATCCACATTTAATATGGTGACTTTGGGCTGTGCCACCTCACTGACGTTGAACATCTCTATGAACTGTGTTCATTAATATCTTCCAGAAACACCATAATTACAATGTTAATTGTGTAAGTTCAAAACAACTTAATGTTAACTGAATTATTTTTCCCTGATAATGTCTTTAATGTTACAAGTCATTTTAACTCTGTTACCTAAACCTCTGGTTTATTCTGTTTATTATGATATATAGGAAATTGCATCATCATCTTGTTTTCTGCACAATGACCATTAGACAAATCAGAATTCTCACTCTTTTTTTGTCAGTTTACACAAAAAATGGATTTGGCTCCATGGGATGGGTAAAGCTTGATCATTCAACTCTGTCACCCTGTTGTTAGAAAAAGAATAAATATTTATATATTTTTATGTAAACTATATGGTTATTAGTAGTTAGTATGCAACATATACACCCTGTCACATTAACCACTCCTGAATGCTGCTTATTTTAGGCTACGTTTGCAATCTGGTTACCTGTTTGTTTTAACCGTCATTTTTTTTAAATGAAAATGAAATGAAAATGGCTTGAGACGAAGATTTTAGTTAAAAGTTTTGATTAAAACATTTTTTAACATTTTCTTCTGCTCTTTGTTGTATATGTTGTATGTTTTTTACAGCATTAATATCAGCTTAATGGGGAATATAATCTCTGTGTTCAACTCTGTTACTCAGTCATTTAAGGTGAAAGTAGCTCATATAGTGTCTGGTTTGACAGCCTTGATAGATAGAAAATAACATTTTCTGAAGATTAAGCACTTACATTGATGAATACTTCGTCAGAAAACACCACAGAAAAAAGTAAATCCTTAAAGAATTTTGAGGCATAAAATGAAATCTATTCACAGAAAGTGCCTTATAAGTGACTATATTCATTACTATATAATTTTGGGTGATTTGTACTCAAGTATTACACTCTCAGAAATAAAGGTAGTAAACTGTCACTGGGGCAGTACCCCTCTTGTGACTGGGGTGGTACCCTCAAGGGTACATCTCAGCACCTTTAGTCAGGGAACATAACTGTACCATAATCCGTTGAAATGATATTTTCTAAGTTGTATTGACTCCGCACACCCTGTCACGTCTCTAGGCTTTTTATTTTATTGTTCTCTTTTAAAACATTAGGTTATGGAAAGGCACAAATGTATACTTTTCCATTGGGAAAAAAAAGATTCACAACTGGACCTTAAAACCACTGTTGTACCTTTGAGGGAACATTTATATTGTTTGTACTTTGATAAATGAAAAACCTGCACAGAACCTTTATTTCTAACAGTGTAATCAAGTTGATTACTGGTCCTTTTACTCAATTACATTTCCATACTCTTTTACTTTTTGCATGTTTTAGACATTCAGAGTATTTGTTTCAAATGTCAAAGGCCATACGATTTGTCTTTGTGCATTTTCTTACTGGTTCCACATATTTTCTTTTCTTAAAACATCCAGTCAGTTTAATATTGGTGTAAAATGCAGCTCCACTATGATAATTCATCTTTGTGTTAGGAACAGTACTGCCTACAGGCTTCCCACAGACTCTTAAAACGTCTTATAATGTCTTAAAAGAGATTAGGTTATAAAAAGACTGAACGTGTCTCCTTTTTTTATTGCTCTTACTACCTGAAGTTCAGTTAACTCAAAATGTTAAAGAAGCCAACTTTTTAAAGTTACATACCTGATTTTTTTACAGTGCATATACAGGGTATTTTTGGTATCCCAAAAGGAAAAGTGAGATTTGAAGTACTGAAAAAGTCATCAACCTTGTATCAACCTTGCCGGTAGTGATCTGTGAACTGTCATCAGAGGTAAGATATAAAGAAAAAGGACATTTTTAACTTTTCAGCTTTTTTTTTGTCTTTCTGATTTTAATTTAGTGTCTTCACTCGGGGAAATGTTGTGCTTGAAAATATGGCATATATGCTTTATAGGGAAGTGTTGCACTAGTTGTTATCTTAGCCTTTGGTCTTGTTAATGTGGGTGTAATCTTGCTATTGTTTTGTCTCAATTGGGGAAAAAATATGGGCTTATAGTGGTGACGTGCCCAACACTGCAGTTAGTGTGCTGCTATTGTGGTGCTGCATAGGCCTCATGTAACCTGCTGAAATCATAAAAAAAACATGTCACTGACCACCCAGAAAAGGTAGCACGTAGGAGCCCACCAAACAATTATACCAACGGACTGATAACTTGATGATCCGGGCCTGATTATATCATATATAATATGTTTAGATATTAATATTTGCATATGTACAGATGTTCACACATCTATTTAGCTCTTTTCACACTTGCTCTTTATTATTCTTCACCAAGACAAAGTCCTTGTAAGTGTAACATACTTGCTGAAATAAAATGATTCTGATTCTGAAAGGGAGAAAGTTTTAGCCTGGGAGATGAAGAGATCAGGTAACATGGAGGCGTGTGAGAAATAAAGCTTCATGCCATCAATAGGCCATTCAGCCATAAATGATACATGATCACAGCCTCTTCCCTACTGACACACTATCTGCTGCAACAAAGTGCAAACACTAAAACTAAAGACAGTGTAGTGAATATGTATATAACTATCACTGTATGCTTCGCAACATATGTTCTGCTGGATAGTTTACTTACTATAATGCTTTAACATTGTTGTGGACAAAGTCAGAGGACATAGACTGTGAGACAGATGGTTAGCATGCTGGAGAAGAAGAGTGTATGCCACATAGGAGATGTCAGTCAGGAGTAAATGCTGATAGGAAAGACAGCACAGTGACATCACAGTTGTTTTGTCCTTAAAGTCTGTAAACACCTGCTCATCCAACGCTTCCTCTGAAATCAAGGGAATTAATAAGGGGTTTGTCCCCCTTTAATTCAGTAACAGCTGCACTCTTCTGTGAAGGCTTTACGCTCAATGTCGGAACATCACTTTGACTGTGTTCAGTCACAAGAGCATGAGTGAGGTCAGGTGCTGATGTTGGGTGATCAGTTCTGGATCACAAACACCACTCAAACTTCTCCCAAAGGTATTGGATGGAGCTCCGTCACTCCAGAGAACACTGTTCCACTGCTCCACAGATCAGTGCTGGGGGGCTTTCTATGCTCTTGCTTGGCACTGGGCATGAATACTTTAGACTCTAAAGTAACTAATTCACAGAGAAGTGTCAGATCATTTTAGTTGTGTATTTGATTGCCACTAAGTGCTTCTCAACATACATTGTGGACTAATGGAGTTATTATTTTGTCATCTTTATAGATTGCAAACATGACATTGAATGAGCAAGAAAATCTAAATATCAGACTAACTTAGCTGAAGCACTGCATTAGTCTATGCTTAAATTATCTATAGTCCCTGTAGTCATGATTCAAGATTGGTTTGTTACCATATGTATTCAGAATACAGGGCATTCAAAAGCACAATACAATGTTTATACTTCAGCAGCGTGCTCCTATAAACATATAAATACATACAGTGGTACACAGGGGGCAATAGGGGAGGGAGGTATTGCATATACAAGACGGATACTGACATACTAGACAAACCTGCTGAAAGAAATGCACAGACCAGCATCTATTCCATGCTGGTGTAAGCTGGTTTATGTTGGTTTTACTGGTCTGCTGCTGGTTAGCTGGGCACCCAGTATGGTCATGATGGTAGACCAGCATACCAGCATCCAAAACTCAACATATGCTGGGTTTTGCTGGTGACCAGCCATGCTGATCTATGCTGTTTTTTCTAGCAGGGAAGTACACTAGAAAACAAGTGGCACCAAAAAGTATAGGTGACTGACCGTAAAGAATGAGGTAGATGGCCGTAATAACAATGCACTGTGGATATACAGTGTAACAAGGTGTAATACAGTGTAAGAGACCACATGTGGGATAATATGATATGCATTAATTATTTGATATAATGTAATGCTGCAATATATACAATTTAATACAATATTTACATTTATGTTCAGTCACTATGTGAGGAAAAGCCTCCTCCTCTGCTCAATATCTGAATGTCATTTTATAATTTGCTCTTTTTTTATCACAATAAGATGGTTTAGCTGAGATATGTATTGAGATGTTGTGTGTGTGGATGAGAGTGTTTATGAGGAGATAAAGCATAACTATTTGGGAGAGGGTGGGTTGCCATTTGTTTTAGTCTAGCTTTTTTTTTTTCAAAACTTACCACAGCACATCTTAACCTATAGACAAAACAAGGTGCAGTCGTGTCTGAACTTTTCTGAACTAAAATATCAGTGGAGAATCCCCATTGACGGGGAAAGTCCCCTGAAAATCTCCTGGGAAAATAAATATTGTGCATTGAAAACTAGAACCCACTTCAGATGCACGTACACAGCTGTTATATTTTTAAGCCACTAGAGGGCAGCAACAGCCTTTGTCCATTTCTACTACAGCGCTGATACAGAACTTACCTGTTCTATTTATCTGATTCCAGAGGTGTGCAAATGTTGATTCAAGTCTCATTCTGAATAATGTTGGAACAATTTAATGTAAATTCCATGTCATAACAAACACTAACTACCCCAGTATGAGACTTCATAGTTTGTCAGAATATTTATGGTTTGATTTTTACTGGGTTGAACATTGCACACATGTAACATCTCCAAACGTAGGATTTGTGCGGTCTTTTTGCTTTTGTACGTAAAACCGTGCTCAATAATTTTAAAACAAAACTCACCTGTTTGTTCATCCAACTGTTTAAAAACAGAATCTAAATTCCTCATCACGACCCCAGCCTATATGCTCCAGTGAGAATGAATCTTGTATGCCTCTAAATACATCACGAAGTTATTACTTATAAGGTGTTGTCTAATGCCTGAGTCTTTGTTTTACACTAGATCTGAGATAAGGTTTTGGCCTAAAACATATTTTAAGATTTAAAATCCATGTGAGATATTTACATACAGGGGAAAATAGTACCAAACCTAAAAGTACCTTTTTTATATTTACCACTATTTACCATTATCGGTACTACATATAAAATCTCAGCAGACACGTGTACGTTGACTGGTTGTTTTAGGTTTTATAAAATGGCTCTGGTTGAAAACACACGACCCCTGCTTCCTATCACCACTACGACTGTTTTCTCTGCAATGCACTTCAATTTCACATTAAAAAAACTGATTGATTTTGTTTACATTATAACGATTGATTTACGCAGAAATTTTGAATATTTGGTGGAATTCCCCTTTAATTGTAACTACAGATTAAAGTGGATGGAAACAGAAACTGCTTAAATAATCTCAGTCTGCGGCTTTAAGAAGCGTGTATTGACGCTCATTCTTCATGGCACGCTGGGGTTTGTTCGTGAAATGTTAAAAGAGCAGGACGTTCAGCGCTGCTGAAGCGGCTTCGGACTCTCCATAACGTGTCGTGTGTAGGCTGGCCAAAACAAGGTTTGGTTGACCCGAGCACAACACAGTAGCCACGCCGCTAACCACTCCGCTAGCTTCAGTGAAGCTACTTTACTGGCTCACTTAGCCAGCGAGCTACCTCTGTGTCAGGCGGACACTGTCAGAAACACCCCTCCTGACAGAATTCACTGCTTTGTGTCGGCAAGGTAGATATGTTTCACGAGGTTTGCGGTTCTTCTCCAATATTGTTTGCTACGAATATTTCGTGTTGTTGTGGGTGACACTAAAGTTAGCCGACTAGCTGTGCGGAGTGAGGCGTGCTAAAGCAGCGCATGGTAGGTGTGGTGTCTGTGTCTGTGAATGTTAGTGAACGCCTGCGTGCCCTTGTACACAGTGTACTAGTGAGTTCTACCCGACTTTCTCGCTGTGAGGGACGGTGCTTTTACTGAAAGGTAAAAATGACATGGCCTAACTTTAGGATGAGCAAGTTGTTCATCTTTAGGTTTGTTTAACTTGAACATGTTTTTGTATGGACGAACTTCATTCATTCCTGTGGTGGAGCTTTAGCAGTGCAGTGTGTGGAGAAGGACAGTCTCAGCTTTTAACCTGTAGATGAAGTTTTGTGACACTACTCAACTAAACCATTCCTGAGGACTTAATCAGAAGGGTTATTCCTGACATTTTACTGTCATGTATTTGTGCTGTCCGAGAACGTTTGAACATATTAACTTCACATTTACACCGATCAGCCATAACATATAAACCACCTCCTTGTTTCTGACCTCATTGTTTGTTTTGTCCAGCTCCACTTACCATATAGGTGAACTTTATAGTTCTACAATTACAGACTGTAGTTCATCTGTTTCGCTGCATATTTTGTTAGCCCCCTTTTACCCGGTTCTCCAATGGCCAGGACCCCCAAAGGACCACCACAGAGACGGTATTATTTGGGTGGTGGATCATTCTGAGTCCTGCAGTGACACTGATATGGTGGCGGTGTGTTGTTCCGGTCTGAGTGGATCAGACACAGCAGTGCTGCTGGAGTTTTTAAACAACTCAGTGTTGCTGCTGGAGTTTTTAAACACCTCAGTGTTGCTGCTGGACTGAAGAATAGTCCGCCAGCCAGCAGAGTCCTGTGAGCACTGATAAAAGACTAGAGGATGACTTACACAAACTGAGCAGCAACAGGTGAGCTACTGTCTCTGACTTCACATCCACGGCCTGGTAGGTGTGTCTGTGAGAATAGAGTGGACTGTGAGTGGACACAGTGTTTAAAAACTTTAGCAGCACTGCTGTCTGATCCACTCGTACCAGCACACTAACATGTCACCACCATGTCAGTGTCACTGCAGTGCTGAGAATGATCCACCACCCACATACTTGCATTGTGGTGGACCTGACCCCTGACGAAAAGGGTAAAAGGGGGCTAACAAAGTATGCAGAGATGAACTACAGTCTGTAATAGTAGAACTACAGTATAGTATAGGACCTGTATTAGTACCTCATGGTATCTACTTAGTATACTACTTAGTAGATAACTACTTAGTATCGTATTTGTGCACTACGTTATCATCTTAAGAGTTTAGCAAATGCTAAAATAGTGTTTTGTGTGTGTTTCTACCAGGACTTTTGAGAACAGTAAGCCAGCGGTGCATGTACCCCAGAGCCTGACACCTCTCTTCAATGGCTGCCTCTGGCCCCTCCACCACTGTGCCTGAAGGGTTCCACTATGAGACCAAGTATGTCCTCCTCAGTTACTTCAGCCTGCCCCCATCCTCACTGTCAAGACCTGCAGAAGGTAAAGAATAGCAGCAGGATGGACTCCTGTTCGCTTCATGCAGTACCATTTTTGTGATGAATGGGACAAATCCATTCTTTCACCCAGCATTCACAGGGTTACAGGGTGTTAAAGCTCTAAAGTTTTGAGTTGATGGCTTTAAATTTGCCTTCAGAGAGCATAGGTCACTTATGGTGCATATCATGATTGTATTGTTCTTCAAAAGTGAAGGTGACTACCAAAACCGAGCTTGTGACTATAGTTGCAGTGGCTCTAGATAGGGGCTTTAAAGGACAGGTCAGGGGTAGTGGGACGACTACTTGTATGGCGCTTTATTTTGTGTCAAATCCAACGGCCTCAGTTTAGTAATTCAGTTGTCATGTACAGACATTTAGGGCAGGATGTGAAAGAGTATGTTCCAAAGACACCCAATATAATTTAAATATATAAGTAAACTGCATTGGGGATTCTACATTGCTCATCATAATGTGTGTGAACAGTGGTGGTCAAAGTATATCTGCTAGTTACAGTACATGTAGGGTGCCTTGATTCTGTTTTGTGGGATTAACTGTATATTATGTACTGAAGCTCTGCTCACGTGTAAACGGAATGTGTTTTATATCTTTTGCATGTTAAAGAGGCTCACAACTATTGAGATTTTCTCAGCTGCATTCTGATTGGCTTTTCAAACAGCCTTATGTTTTTTATTTCTCCCAGTTTTTAAGAGGACTAGTTCTAGTGCTGTCTAATTCCACCCACTAACAGAACACAAACTATGTAAGCAGTTACTGGCTCTGCACACCATGACTGAGATTTAGCCACTGACTTAAAAAAATTGCAGCCTTGCTTCTTTAAATTATTTGTGAGTTTTCTCTTAGGCATTTAGTAATTGTTAGGCAAGATATATTTCCACGTTTACCCTTGGGTACCAGTATGTTTCCCACAGGTGTCTTTTGTTTGAAGCTCTGTTTTGAATAACGCCTTCCCCTGCAAGTCATATTACTACAGTGGTCTTTGTTTGGTCATTTTGAATATCAGTCAAATGGCCCTTAAAATGCACCAGTCTCTCTGATAAGAGGTGTCAAGGCCATATTTAAGACATTTTTCTACAACCATACTACTTGTTATACTCCAGCTTTTACTGAATGAACTTTTTTACTTGACAGAGATTAGGTCTCAACTTACATGGTATTTTCCACATTCGCTTCAGTGTAAGGGATTTTGGAAAATTGCAGGATGAAACAGTAAAGCAAAGGAACAAGAAATGCCCAAATTAGAGGGCTCAGTTACTGGCACAGGCCTAGTTTTACCTTACAACAAAAAGTTAAATCTGCTATTCACATTGATTACTTAATTAGCCAGCTGACTACATGCTTGCACTCTTAAAGGTGCCAAAACGTGTTCTTTGGAGCGATGTCAAATAGAAGAACCAGTTTTGGTTCCGTGAAAAACCTTTTAAAGAGTCGTTTTTGTGAAGAACTTTTCTGAAGTTTAAAGCACCTGAAGTGTCTTTAGCAATTAAGTGTTTTCATAGAACTGTACGTCCAATCATGTCCTTTTGAATTGCCTGCACTTAAGGTAAACATGTTTAATATAATTTTCTTTGCGGTGTAATTATTTCCACCCTTCTGACTGACCACATAACACTGTCATGCTGTTTGGTGCTCCTAAACAGGTGTGTGCTCCTTAGATCTGTATTTATGTAGCCTGTAGGAGTTAGAGTGAGTAAGACTGCTGTCAGAGCCTATAACTGAGCTGACTGCACTGCCCTTTTGACACAGAGGAATATAAGACTTTGCGACAATTTTAGCTTAAGAATGTTAAGAGACACAGTTAACGTTTAAATGGCAAAGGCTAAAGGGCTGTTGCGTAATGTTTTTTGAGCAGACTGGCATTCCTGAATAGCACATGGAAGAAAGAAGAAAGAATTAGGATTGTATTAGATCTGCTTGTGGAACTCCAGATGTCTGTTTTCATTGTTGCGGATGGGAATGCCATTGAAAAAGCGTCTGAGATTCACTAGTGATAAACTTTTGATCATTTGCTTTAACTGTAGATCAGGTTACAGATGGCTGGAGTATCATAGCAGTGCCACATGATGCAGCTAATAAGAATAATTTGTTTTCTGGACTAATCTGTAATAGAAATTGACCCAGGCTTTGCTAGATTCTTTTTTAGAGGTGAAAAGGCTATTTATACCCAAGTGAAGGCTGTTTAGTGCATTATTTTGAGACTCCTTACAGTTCCAGGCTTCATGTCTTTTTGTTCATTCATCAGCCAATCGCAGAATAGAACAGTATTGAAAAGGCAGCTGAGATTTCCCAGTGATACACTTTTGATCATTTGATTTGACCATAAGTCAGATTACAGTCAAGTGGTCACCTTTTGGTCTGCGATCTCTATTGGAGGTTCCCTCTGTCTCTTTTCAGAAATTAGCATCTGGCATTGGTTAGGACAATAGAATAGAGATGGTATGGCCCCTCAGGCGCATCAGCATGTAGATCAGGACTGCACTATGTTTCCTCTGCTGCACTTTTCATTCAGTGAGGTTCAAAAGCAGAGCAATGAGCTTCTGATCCCTGCTTTCCGCTCGGCCCAGTCTGCACCCTGACAGCCTGTCGAGTGCAATCACTGCTGGATTACTCACACGCCACTGGATCATTGTGCAGCAGACCTCGGCTGAACCCCGTCAAGCGTCATCTTGGCCTGCAGACAGGCAGCAGTGCCACTGTGCAAATAGTACAGGCTCGTTATGGAGTTTCCATTAAATGACCCTTCTCAAAGGAGCTTTGACCTGCCACACTTTCACAAGTCCATTACACATGCTGTCTACAGTCAGTCAGTCATTTGATATTTTCTCAAGCTTTCTAATTAACTTTTCTTAAAAGTGAATGATGAATTGCGTCATATATTTTGTTGAGAACCAGACACGCTTATATTGAAAACAAGGAGTAAATAGTAGTTGCTTTCAGCAGCCAAATTAATCTTTAACAAATTTTATTGTGGCAACAATGGAAAAGAAAGTGTGCTTGTTTACATTTGTCAGTGAAACCATGTGCAAAAACCTCAAGATCAGCCGATAGTTTTGATCAGTACTTTATGCTCTTCACATTAGCACCATAAGTAGTAGGGATGTAACAATACAACATATTGTATTGCGTTGAATTGTGTCTTAGCATTTTGTGTATATTGCGTGGTGTATATATCTCGTGAATTGCATGTTAGCTCATGACTAGTGTGTTATTTTAGGATTAACATATTAGCTTGTATCTAAAGCGTTAGATTGGGTCATTAAATAGCTGTTAAATGCTCTAATAAACTGAAATGGAGACATTAATTTATTAATTTCTCTCTCCTTTTCTTGATCAGTGTTTTGTTGATGGGTCTCTTGGGGTGGGGGGTGGTGGAGGGGCTGGTTGCTCTATTTTGCAACATGTACTTTGTCTGTTGCCTATATATTTTCAGTATTAATGTTATGGAGCAGTCTCTTGGAAATAAACATTTGATCACAAAAATATTTCAATGTAAGACATTTTCAGCCACTCCTTGTTTTTTGCTGTATGGAAAAATGTATTGAGTGAATACAGTGACATCACTGCATTGCACCATATTGGTTCAAATAATGAATTTTGTGAATCATTACACCCCTATTAATTGGTTCTAGTTGATCTAGCTTTCTGGTCAGACATCACTGTCATAAGCAAAGGCTAAAGCTGCATTACTGGCTTAGCCATGGAGAGAAGTTGCTAGTAGCTGATGTGCTGTCTAATGAAATAGAATTACTTTAGTTAGTCCCTGAGTAAGGATGTCTCCTTTAATGAAAGAAGACATTAATGTTCTTTCTAGTATCTGATCAGAGGTGATATGTTTTCCCAGATGTGATTTTATAAGGTTTATCTCGGCACAGCTTGTTTAGCTTCTTAATTTGGAATTAAAACAGGCTGCCTCTGCTGACAATCTGGCTTACGGTTTTCCAAAAATCTCTTTTTCCACTGAAAATGACCATATTATTATCAGTGGAGAAGCTAAGATGACTTCAAGTACAGAGACATTCATAAGAAGATCCAGAAGATTAAAACCTATACCTATATCTTAAAACTACCTATATCTTAAAAACTAGACAGTGGCTTCTGTTCCTCACTTAGCGATGCCCATGTTCCGGGTGCAACATCAGCTGATTAGTAATTCTTTTAACCTGCCATACTCAACGGCACTGCTACGAACTCTGCTTATAATATTGTCTACAGCTGCTAATACTGCTGGAAAAGAGAAGTCTGTATACCCATGTGTCATGGACTTGGCTAGGGGGAAACATGGCTATTTTCATTATTCCTAATGGAGTAATTTGTCTGTATCTTACTTTGTTTAGTTGGTACTGACCTTTGTGGCTGTGGGCAGCATAAACGCTGTAAATAGTTTCTGCCACTGTAAGAATATGTGGGCCAGACTGTTGGGTTGAGCAGCATGCAAAGACTACTAAATATACTGCATGTTTCATATTGGATAAAGGAGGAGGAAATGAAGGGAGAAAGCACTTGGTACTGTCAGTTTAAAAAAGAATTTTTGGTAACTGTATCTCCTAGGTCTCTTACCAGGAGCTAAGCAAATTGTGACTTGGTTTTGGAATATTTTTGCTAAATTGTTCTTAAAATTGTCCTTCATGAATTTAATACATGTTTTGTAGGTCACCTGTAGTCATAGATCACCACCTAAAAAGTTATTCTTTTCTTTCCTGAATTTCTGACCCATAATTACACTGCAGTGTTGTTTATGTTTTATTCATCAGGAATGTCTCTGGGTTTTTCTGGAGGTCATTCTACTGTTTGTTTCTGGCTCATATGCTTAAAATGTATGTGAAAGGAGCAGGAGAAGTATCATGATGAAATGAACTAGAGTTAAAGTCAACCTGAAAGCAGAACGGATCTTTTGTATGTTGAAGGCTCATGTGCCTGCTCATATTAAGTGTGATTTTTTCATATAATTTTTAAAAGAGGACATTTTTGTTTTTCTGTTTATCTTCCATCAAAATGTACTGCCTCTAAATGCACCAGCGGGAAGGAAAAATATTAACCGTAATATCATTTGTCACCTTCCCCTCCCACCACCCCTAACTGTCATCAAGGGTAGACTCTCAGCTGGTGCTGAGACCCTCCCTGATACTGTGTTTCACTCAGAATTAAAAATGTGTTATGATTTCCAGTTCACACTAACTTGAAAACCTCACTCTAAGGGCACAGCTGAACTCAACAGGTACAACAAAGACATGAGGACTAGCAATCTTGTGTGCTAAGTCAAATTTGTACTTGTCCAGCTTGGAAGTTAAGCCAGCAGCCCTTCGTTTCCTGGTGTGGAGCAGTGCAGAAGTGGCCTTGTAGCATTGTAGGATTGTCAGGCTTGTGCTTTTGAGAATGTATCATGTTTGATCTTATAGCTTATGAAGCACATTATTCAGTGTTGGCTTCTTGTTGATTGTCTCAGGATTGAATCATGAAAAATGTGCAGATTTATCACTGTGTGATGGAGTGGCTCCAGTGTGAATGTTCTTTTTCTGCTCAGCACCAGCTGGACAGACTGCACAGGAAAAAGATGTGGATAAGACCAGCAAGATGAAGCAGCAGATTGAGGAGGAGCTTAAGCAGCTAGAGGAGGAGATCAGTGCTTGTGAGATACATGAACACTTGTACATAGATAGACACAAATGTTAAAGCACTTTTGCTCCATATCCACATTATACATACGTATCATTACTGTATTTGCACAATATTACTGTTTTAAGTTAAAATGTCCTATAATTATAATCAGCTGGCTCTGTGTGTGTGTGTGTGTGTGTGTGTGTGTGTGTGTGTGTGTGTGTGTGTGTGTATGTATGTGTAGCTTTTCCCAGGACAGGTTTTGATCGACACACGTCTCCGGTGTTCAGTCCAGCTAATCCAGAAAGCGCTATAGAGGACAGTCTAGCTGTGTTGGGGGACCGCGTCACACGAGACCTGGACGCACACCTGGCTTCAGCAGTGCAGGCACTTCTCTGTGGGTCAGTGTCAGTAACATTTCAAGAAATGGCATGGTTGGTCATACAACAGATCACATTCAGCATGTACACTGGGGTCCAAACATCTGAGACCACTTTGAAAATGAAGAATTCTTTTTATTTAACCCTGCAAATTAACAGCAGAAAGTTTTAGAATTTTTAAAAATGTAAAACAAATAAAAATTATGACAGGTAAAAGGAAGAAGAAATACAGAAGACTCTTCTGTATTAAGCAAATCTAAGCAAATTTGTGTCGCTGATAATGTTAAGGCATTTGTACAAAAGGGACAGATTTATTTTATACAGTCTTATCCCTTCCATTGAAGCTTGTGTTCGGACGACTCAAATTGAATTTGATCTGCTCATGATTTTACTGTTCACTCAGATTGTTATGCTGAGAATATAATTTGCAATGAAAAACTTTATATTAAATTAGAAAAGAATGCAAAATTTTTATAGCATTTTAAAAAGCATTTTTACTCATGGTCTCTGACTTTTGGTCCCTTTTGTATATCTTTTGTATACGTTTTTTACTTTATATTATATATAATATAAAGTATATTTCATACATTTTCCTGACCACTTACTTCATATATACGATTATGCCTGGCCCTGTCTAACAGTAATGCATTCCATGGTCCATATGAAGACATTTTAATATCTCAGTGCATTAATACAGAACTCAGTTTATAAGAGCGCTCGTAAGTGTCATAAGTGTATATCTAGTATTTTACAATAGCTTTGTATGTGGTTCAACCAATTGGATTTCAGAGCCATTACTTTCTGTTTTATAATTGATCTTTTAAGTCAAGTCAAGTCAAGTCAGCTTTATTGTCAATACTACAATATGTACAGGACATACAGAGTATTGAAATTGCGTTACTCTCAGACCCCATGGTGTAGCAATAACATTAAATAGACGGTAAACAGGAAATGTGTGAATTAAATAGACACTAAATAAACACTAATTGTAGAAAAACAGAATAATATAAGAAGGTCCCTGAATTTAACAATAAAGTGACATGAGGCACATGCAGATTAAGGTCTGTGAGTATATATAGTGCACTTATAAACAGTAGTGCAATTAGAATGAGCTTATGGAGCAGTTAAAGTGATGAGTGCGTAACAGTCCCTGGGAATGTCAGAGTTCAGTGTTGGGGAGTGGGGGTCAGGAACTTGTGTTTGGGTCCAAACCTTGTGTGTGTGAGGGGCAGAAGTGCAAAGTAGGGAGAGAGTTGAGCATCCCGACAGCCTGGTGGATGAAGCTGTCCCCCAGTCTGCTGGTCCTGGCCTGGAGACTCGTGTAGTGGGTGAGTGGGATCACCTGCCGTGCAGAGGGCTTTCCGGGTGAGACGGGAGCTGTATATCACTTGGAGGGAGGGGAGGGAGGTGCCAACGATCTTCTCAGCTGCTCTCACGATGCACTGGAGTGTCTTGCGGCAGGACATGGTCCAGGCGCCGTACCACACGGTGATGCAGCTTGTCAGGATGCTCTCGATGGTACCTCTGTAGAAGGTGCACATGATGGGGACTGGGGCTCTGGCTCTTCTCAGTTTGTGGAGGAAGCACTGATGAGCCCTTCTGGTTAGTGATGCTATGTCGTTGGCCCAGGAGAGGTCCTCTGTGACGTGCATGCCCAGGAACTTGGTACTGTTCACCTTCTCCACAGCAGCACCGTTGATAGTCAGAGGAGCATGCTGGGTGCACGTTCTCCTGAAGTCCACAACGATCTCCGTAGTCTTCTCCATGTTCAGATGGAGATTGTTGTGTCTACACCACAAGGCCAGGCGGCTCACCTCGCTCCTGTAGTTTGTCTCGTTGTTGCTGATGAGACCCACCACAGTCGTGTCGTCCACAAACATTATGAAGAGGTTGGAGCTGTGCGACGGTGTGCAGCCGTGGGACATCAGAATAGGAGGGGGCTCAGTACACATCCTTGGGGGGCCCCCCGTGTTCAGTGTGATGGTGCGGGATGTGATGTTGCCGGCCTGTACTGCCTGTGGTCTCCCAGTCAGGAAGTCTAACAGCCAGTTGCTGTTGAAGTTGAAGTGTTCAGCCCCAGCCTGTCCAGTTTGAGAATGAGCTGCTGGGGGATGATGGTGTTAAATGCGGAGCTGAAATCTATGAAAAGCATTCTGACATAAGAGTCTTTTGTGTCCAGATGTGTCAGGGCTGAGTGGAGGGCAGTGGAGATGGCATCATAAACCGAGCGATTTGGCTGATATGCAAACTGGAGGGGTCCAGGGAGGTGGGGGAGGACAAACTTGATGTGTTGCATGACCAGCCGTTTGAAGCACTTCATGAGGATGGGAGTGAGTGCAACCGGACGGTAGTCATTGAAACAGGAGGGTGACACTTTCTTCGGCACAGAGATGATGGTGGTGGCTTTGAGGCATGTGGGGACAACAGCCTGACTCAGCGAGATGTTAAAGATATCTGTAAAGACATCTGTGAGCTCCACAGCACAGTCCCTCAGCACACGACCGGGTATGTTGTCAGGACCAGGAGCTTTCCGAGCGTTGATCCTGCTGAATGATCTTCTCACACTGACTGGGGACAGCGTCAGCACCTGGTCTCCAGGGGGGGAGTGGGATCTTCTGTGCAGGCGTGTGGTTGTCTGCCTCAAACCTGATGCCGCAGGACAGGTTGGTCCTAGCTGCCCTCAGGCTCACCTCGTCTCCTGCTGAGAAGGCAGCATTCCTAGCCTTCAGTAGCCTGTAGACCTCCTCTGTCAGCCATGGCTTCTGATTGGCCCGAACCTTGAGAACAGTTACATCCTCAATGCACTTGGAGATGTAGCCAGTGACTGTGTCAGCATACTCCTGGAGATCTGTGGTGGTGTTGTAGGTCGCCGCTTGTTTAAACACATTCCAGTCTGTAGTGTTAAAACAGTCTTGAAGTGTCTCTGAAGACCCTTCCGGCCACACTCGTACCTGCTTCCGAACTGGTTTGGTGACTTTAACCAGTGTTCTGTATGCTGGCATTAGCATAACAGTGATGTGGTCAGAGGCACCAAGGTGGGGGAGGGGAATGGTCTTGTAAGCTTCTCTCTGGGTGGTGTAAACATAACATTGCATCTTTGATTTTAGCCTTGTGTTAATTGCCAACTAATTGTGCTCAGTTGGTCAAAAGCATATGTTAGTTTGCGTCCCTGCCTAAGATATTTTTAGGCATGCTTGATGTTTGTATTTAAAAACAAGTGAGGTGGTGTGCGACATCTCTGTGTACTTAATCATCTAATATGTGCCCTTTTGATAAAATGACGAGAAATTCTGTAAAAGATTGATGTTAAAGAGAAATTCCACTGATTTACATAATCCAGTCATTGAGATGTAAACAGTAAAAAGTGGTGGATTGCAGAGAAACTTACTGACTAAGAATTATTTACAGTGTTGGTGATGGGAAACAGGTGGTGAGTCTACAGCACAAATAGTGTTTTTTGTTACTCTCCAAAAGGACAAGCGAACCTACACGAGTATTATGACACCACCACTACACGTGTCTTCTAACACCACCACTGTGAACGTATCTGACTCAAGAATGGCATGACACATCACATCAAACCACTTGTTTACATCTTAGCCATTTAATTGTGCAGAAATTTTGAAAAATCATTGGAATTCCCCTTTAAATGTCATGCTTCCTGTCTTGGAAATCTGTTTTGATCTTAGAAGTCTCTAGTGCGCACTCAGTGCATCTCTGTACTTATTTACCTGTTATATCCACCACCCAATCTTCAACAAAAATATCATGCATAAAATGAGTGTGTGTTGTGCAGCCAGCTGGACTATGAAGGTTTCCGAGCTGCAGTGCAGGAGGTGTCCTCCCATTCTCAAGGAGGATGGAGCAAGGTGAGAAAATGTGCAGGTCATTGAAGCATTACCCAAACTAATGTGCCTGTTTCCATAGGTACAGTAAATTTGTAAACTTCCATTCTGTTTCCTTCTCTTTCTGTCTAGGTGTTGGTCCCTTTAGTCTTGTTACAGGCTTTGCAGGCTGAGGGGCAGCCACTGGCCTCTCTGCTGGCCCTGGGTGTACGTTACCTCGAGGAGGTAGAGGCAGATTTCATCATCCAACAGGGTGGATGGGTGAGTGAGCTGTTCTGTTGGTCTTAACATGATGTAGATGGTAAACATAATTAGCTGGCTGTTTGAGCTATTATGTAAACGAGATGTACAGGACTTTGCTAGAACCTTTTTAGAGATAAGAAGACTATATTTACAACTTGTTATTTTGAGACTCCTTACAGTCCACCTGTGTGGGCACTCCACAGAAATGAGCACATACATAACATGGTCATTTGTGCCAGAACCAGGTTTTGTTTCTACCATCAACCAATAGCGTAACAGAATGAAATGAAGTGATGAATTTCATACAAAACATATAATGTAGGGATTTCTGTGTGTGTGTGTGTGTGTGTGTGTGTGTGTGTGTGTGTGTGTATGTATATGTATGTATGTGTGTGTGTGTGTGTGTGTGTGTGTGTGTGTATGTATGTGTGTATATATATATATATATATGATATATAGTATATATATATATATATATATATATATATATATGTATATATGTATGTGTGTGTGTGTGTGTGTGTGTATATATATATATATATATATATATATATATATATATATATATATATATATATATATATATATATATATATATGTATGTGTGTGTGTGTGTGTGTGTGTACACGAAGTTCAGAATATACACCTTTTCTGGCTTGAGGCTTGACTCTGAATGTAGTGTGTCAGACTGCCAGTTAGCTGTGGTTGTGATGTCTAACTTATCTATAGGCAGTTCACAAGCTCTATGCTATTAGGTTAAATTTCCTCTCTTAAACTTAAGACAACATTTTTAATAAAAAAAAAAAGCAGTTAACCAGCCAGCTTTGGGTTACAGATAGAACGTTAGTGCTGAGCTGTTCAAACATTGGACACGATACATCTGTGATCTACCCATCATTAGATAAAGGCCTGAATTCTTAAATATTATCTGCAAAATGTAATTAGATCTCCAAAATGACCGTTAGACAGCTTGTTCTTCGTTTTGCACTGTTTACTCACCATTCAGAGACTGGTTGGGTGGAAGAAAGAGGTCTGTTTTAATGCGGGGGGGGCTCTAGTTCTTCAAAATTAACTGTGTGAGGCTTAACCACACGGATTCCACCTACTGCATGTGCCATTTCTAGAATGTTGCTCACCACTGCCTCTGGCGCTGGGTGATTATGCTGTCATGGAGTTGCTTCTGTCAATCATTATGCGTTCTGACATGCCCACACAGTTCTAGGCAGCAGCTTAGAATTTTTGGAGCATTTATCTACCATAAATTGTGTTCATTTATAATCATTTCTTAAATATACCACTGGTAAACACGTATTCCACTGTATGTCTTTGTGATTAAAACAAAACTTTAAACATTTGAAACCATGTTGAGTGGCATTGCTTTAAATTGTGACATTGCTTTGAACTGCAACGTTGCTTATGCTGAGACAGAAAACATGTCTCATTTCTGCCAGGAGAGGGAGCCAGAGCTCTGCTCTCGGAGATCAGTGGGAATCCTCTCAGAAAACCTCACTTACTCATATAGCATGTGATACCAAGATGATGTCGCAAGTGGGGATTTCTGTGTCATATGTTACCTCATAATAGTCTGGTTAGAGATCCATAAATGCAGTATTCCTGTTTCCACAGCCATGTTTAGCTCTGTAGGCTATTGCTAAGTCGCTGAAAATGCCTTTGAAGTTCTGCACAGCACTGTAGAAATAGATTTTCTATGTTTATTTATCATTGAAAGCTACCCTCCATTGCCTGGCTTCCATTGGTTTTGTTCTCTGCTTTTGAAAGTCCCAAACCCATGACCCCTCCTCTCTCCTTCTCTTTGACCTTACAGGTGACATTCCATTAGTCACCGAGATTCAGTCTCTGTTACATGATCGTTTTCAGTTTGAGTTCAGCACGGCGGTGAAAGATTAATCCACTCCTGTACAGTCTTCTGTCAAGGTGTTGAAGTGTTAAACTGTCTTTTGAAGGTCACTGCAGCCAACAATGAACAGAAATGCTTTTTAGGTGAAGTACACATACATGATCGCAGTCATATTTGGATTGCACTAGCTGTAAACATGCTGTTCTTTTAGAGTGCAATACAGTTGCGAGGTAGTTGAGCTGTGAAGTGGACTCATTGTGAAGCTCTCGTGCTCTGTTTGTGTACACGTCAGGACACTTTGTCCCCGAGGGTTTACACAGCTTCTTTACTGGAGCTGTGTGTGCGTGTGTGTGTATGCGGTAACTACAAGGACTCATTGGGTGAAGTTAATTTAATTAGAGTCCCGCTTCTGCTCCTGCGGCGAGGAGAGAGGCCATTGTCTCTTGAATAGAGCCAAATTCCTCCTGTGCAAAACCTCCATGAGGAAGCCCAGCGCTCAGGCACAGATGACATGAACATGGAGGGAGGGGTGTGTGCGTGGGGGAGGGAGCAGACAGTGAACTCCAGAACAGCAGTTCTAATTCCTCTGCTCTGACAGCCCCCTCTCATTGCTGGCCAGACACTGTTTAGTTTGTTAATTTCGCTGTCGTCCACCCCTTTATTTCTTCTCTGCGCCGAGATTTCCGTCCCTCAGGAAACAAGCAGAGTCAGGTAAGCAGTCTGCTTTCTGCCAGTTGTTTAGGTTTGTGGTACCACAAAACAGATACACCAAGTGAACTGAAAGAGAGATCTGATGTGACTGTTTTCAGGTAAGGTCAGTTTATTTAATTTGACCAGCAGGCTTTCCATCGAGTGACCCTGCACTTGGGTCATGTGTCAACCCTGTAATACATCAGCAGACATTTAAAAAAATGTCTTTTCTGCATAGTTAAATGGTGAAGATATGAGCAGAGTCATTCAGAGTGTTTTGATGTGAAATGCTCCCTTCTGGATAATCTAGTCAGAATTGTGACATAACCGAACAGTTGTGTTGATAGTAACTAGATATCTGACATGTTTAATGCCTCTGAAAGCTGCCTCACATAAAGACATATAGAACTCAAAGACAACTGTATTTGACATCACACCCATTGGTTACTTTCACCACCACTGGAAAGAAATCAGTCAGTAGGTTTCTGTACAATGAACCATCTCACAACAAACCACTCTGCAAACCATCTCAGCAATTGAGTTATGCAGAAGTTTCCCCTTTAAGATGATTAGCAAGTAAAAGTACAATGAGGGGGAAAAAATATAATATCTAACGTTAGTTTTATTATAGGGTTTGGATCTCATTTGAAAGTTTCAGAATTTTAAAGTGGACCATTTTCAGTATACAGTTTACTGCTGTATACAGTGTGTACTACTCAAACTGTTAGTAAAGAGTTACATTCTAAGATAAAAGTATTATTGCTTTTAGTGATAAAACGCATTACACACCCGAATTCTGAGTTGGTTTGGCTAATGGCTAATCACTGGTAATATTTGATTTGTTGTTTTTAGATCCCTGGTAAACAAATTATAACAATGAATATGTTTGCATACTATGTCCAGTTTGTTTTGAAGTATTCAGTAATTTTTTTTATTTTATTATTTTTTAATCAGTTTTGCTCAGTGAGTGGGGAGTATGACTACAGGGTGTGTGTGTGTGTGTGTGTGTGTGTTGAGGGACATTCAGGGCAACACACCAAGGAGACATTTTGAGAGCTCCAACCACAGCACAAAATGGCTCATGTAAAGCTGAATGGGCATGACAGGGCACTGTGTCCTGCCGCTGGTGCGCCTTTAGAGGCCAGAGGTACAGGGCTGAAGGAGGAAGTTTGCTAGTACTTGGAATATTTATAATTGTAGGTACATGTGTCTGTGGGCAACACCTCCTTCAGTCCTCAGCCTGTCTGTACCTGCTATGCTCTGTCCTTCAAAACACTGCTGTTGAACTACAATGTCAAACCCTTCAAAGACTCTGGAACGTTGTGATGTAACATGACTCTTATTGCTAAAGCGTCAGCAGATCATCAGCACAATCTTCATCCTGATCTGTTAACCAAATTTGTTCGAGATCAACCTGTTCCAGCAAAAAATAAAAAATAAAAAACGAGGTAAGACGTAGCTGTTTGGGTGAGTGCCCTTGTCCAGTGAGTGGCCAGCTGTGTTGGCAAGATGCCATCAGTAACACAGTGAAGGGGAAAAAAAAGAGATGTTGAGAGAGTCTGAGCTGGAGCCATGTCAGCACGCAGCATCCTGCTCATTGCTCACACTGTTTTATGTAACAGACATTTCACACAACCGGTGGCGACAGCAAAGCAGTGACCATGTGCCACACACACGCGCACCCACAGTGTGCCATAGGGAAGTCCAGAAATAAATCTGATAAATCCTCGTATAAAATCATTTGGAGGGTGGCTGTCCTAGTTACGCTGCAGGGCTTCTCCACCCCCAGGAGAGGAGGAGGAGGCTGTGCTGTTATTCCTGCTGCTGATGACGGACCTTTTGAAATGTTTAAACTTCATGCTGTTCCATTGTTTCAGTGGCCTAAATCTGCAATGAAATTCCAACTACCAGATTCCTCAACTAGTCTTCACTTGTGCTGTTTGAAAAAAGCCTCTGACTGTCAGTTGCAGCATTTTTCATTGTGGCTTTGTGTGAACAGTCTCACTTTGTCATGCCTTGTTTAGTTAAATGTTTAAAGTGTAAGCAGTCGCATATCAGCACTCTCTCGCTCTCAGTCATTCACGTTCACTTGATTTCACTGATTCTCTTGCGCTCTTTAAGTCCATAAAAGCAGCACTTTGTATCTGAGCTACAGGCAGTCCAAAAATGCTATGTAGTAGATAATTCACAGTTCATACTACTGTGTGGTGTGCGATACTTGGAAATATACAATTAGAGTATGGTTCAGTTTTTGACTATCAAAATTTGTTTTGCAGTCTTTTTAAATTTATAATAGGACTCTATTGTACCGTTTTACCACAGCATAGGAAGCTGCATTTGATTTGTTTTGTTCCAAAACACATTACAGACCACTTTTTTTCTCTTTTCCATGATTTGATTTGAGTGAGTTTCACACATACAGAAAATATCAATCCTATGTCATTTTAAGTATCACCTTTATTAGAGAAAT